TAATGTCCTTTATCCCGAGCGTTTTCAAATTCTCTGCTGAACAGATAATGAAACCCGCCTTAATATGTTTACAAGTGCAAAGCAATGATAAAAGTTTATTGATTAAAAATATAATGACGTATAAATAATTTTAAAGACTTCTTGAAAGATCTAAAGGAGTAAATGTAGAAGCAGCAAGGAAATGCAAAGATAATTATAAAGGTAAAAAAATGTAAAGGTAAAGCAGATAAAAACTTCTCCTCGGATGGGCTACTCGGGGTCCCTGGCCTCGAATGGCGAAACTCATGACACAATAGCAGCTCGATCCAATTTTTCTTATAGATCAGTGGTTTTAACGAATTAATAACAGCAGCAATTCCAAGTCGGTTTAAGAGGACAGCTAAGACAGAGGAAAGCTAAAAAATTATGAATTCATTTATGATTATTCTATAACAAATAAACTTTTGATTTCAAAAATACCATGGAAGGGATTAAGCTAAGTCAGCATTAAGCTCAACGATAGTGTATAAAAGGAATGTAAATGCCAAATGATGACTCTGAAATCGTATTTGTATATAATTGAGTCTCTTTTGAATTTAAGTATTAGATATTTTGAATTTCATTCAGTGCTTTGTAAATTATTTAAAACTTAAAAATTTTCGGATTTTGATTGGCACATTCGTTTTCACGAAAATTCGCTTCCTCGAGTTTTAGAGAGCGGATGCCAACTGAATTTTACCGTTTAAAGTTGACTTTTTTGCACGTCCCCTTGAAGGCATGGTTTTGTTTCTTTTTTAGTTGGCTGAAAAGCCTTATTAGCTATCTGGTACGCTTCCCAAAGAGTTTCTTTTCCTTACCGTACACGAGGAAAACAGCACTGTTGGGGTCAGAGTTCACTTGGTTACATGCAGTTATTAACGGCATGCAAAAACCACCTTTTTAAAAGGATGAAACCAAAAGAATCCGCTCTCCAGTATGTAGTTACGGATAATGAGCTTCAGGCTTCCACCCACTTTCAAGATCGCAAAGCGTCAAAATATTTGGACGATCATACAGACGCTAAACTTTACGATGATATAATACATGAATGAGAGTCAAATTTTGTTTCATTTTCTTACAGGAGTTGCCTTAACGCAAAACATATCAAACGAAAAATCGCAAGATAGACCGGTACGCAATCCTTCCGACCCGTTTATGTGTAAACCGGAAAACTGGTCCAGAGAATGGAACGATAACTAATTTCTGATCGCTTGTATTATTGACGCTAAACCGATTTTTCCGACCCTTTTATTATTCACGATTGGAACTTTCCTATCTTTATTGACATCTGTACAGTTGAGAATCGCTATATCGAACTCGGCTATCTCGAAAAACTCTCTATCTCGAACAAATTTCCATTTCCCCTCGTTTTCCAATAGGGCTTGGTATAGAAATAAAACTCATTATTTTGAACTCGATTATCTCGAACTATTCGCTATCTTGAACGAATTTTTTTAACCTTGAAAGTAAAAACTCGGTTATCTCGAACAAAAAGTGCCAAAAATTTTCAGCTATTAACTTTCATTGCAATAATAATTCATTTTTAAAATTGAAATGAACTTAGATTGTCTGATAATGAATAACTTGCAACAGACTTGCACTTCTTTGGTATCTCAAATGTTTACACGATTGCTGTTCACCACAGCCACACAGGAATTAAATTAGCCTGCTCTGAGAAAGAAGATTGCCTTTGCAGATCTGCCTGTCTTTCCTTTTGGTAGATGTCCTACGATAGTTTCGGTTTTCTGTACACACACTGCGTATTTGTCGGCTATATTGTTTGGCTCAATCACGACCTTCAATTCCTCTCCAATCTTGAGCTGGCAAATAGAATGATAAACGTGTTGCCCTTAAATAAAAGAATTCACTTCGAATTCATTTATGATTATTATGGGCATTTCTTCTGTTGCTGCTACTTGACACCAGCAAAAGAAACAAAACCATTGTCGTTTGCCATTTTGCCACGAAGAAGCACTCCAAAATATAAAGCAAACTTTTTTAATAGTCTATTTTAATTCAGTTTGATGTTTAATCAAGTTTTGGAGACAAACGAGCTCTTTCCCTTGGTTCATATTCTACTTTTAAACACAGATGACCCTTTTTTGATAAAGAAAATCCCGAATCAGGATATCTTGAAGTCCCGCTATGTCGAAAAAATTTTCATTTCCCGAGCGAGTTCGAGATAGCGCGACTTGACTGTATATGCAAATTTCGTTGTATTTGTTGGCACAAAAGTGGAACGGAATGATTGTGTGCCCTTTTAAACAGGAACTAAATCAAAGCAGAATCATTTTAAAAGTCATATTACTGGTTTCACAAACTACTCGAAACGGAGCGCATTCGTTCTATTCCCATTGAAACAATCAAATTTCCCGTTTCACAAAATACAACGATAATGCGTAGATAGAAATCGTTCGTTCCCTTGTAAATAGAAAATCGACGCAGAAGGCAATTGCATGTCATTTCAATTACACAAGATGATACTTGAAGAACGAGCTGGAGTGCAGAATTTTAGCCTCTAATATATAATATTATTTACAACTCACCTAAACTGCTTTCCTGTAACACGTTTCGGGATATGAAAGTAGAAAAAGCGAAGTTGAATACAAGTCATATCGAGGTTATTTTGTTTCTAGTTATTTCAGTTACTGTACCTCAAGGACATTTAATGACATCGTCCTTAACTACTAACCTTGAGATATTTGACAACAGAATACTGTTCTTTGCTTTTTAACGTTTCAGAACACCGAAAATTACGATGTTCCAAAAATATTGAAAGTAAAATGAAAATACTTCCAAATTCCAATGGATGAAGCTCACATAGAAACATTTTTCTATCTAACATCATAAATTGGAGCATATTAAAAATAAAACCTTTGTTATATCACAGGTATATATCCGCAAATGTGAAAAAATTCTAAATATAATCACGACCTGCTATCAATCAGATTTCAGCCATCGCAAAAAGCTTGCTTTTTTGTACATCGCAAATGCCTTCAACCTTTGAATGGGTGGGTTTTTATTTGCATGAAATGTGGTAAATATTGGCGTTAGTGTTTGAGTTCTTTTCTGCAGTAATTCAAGAATTTAACCCTATTTCAACATTAATCACGATATTGTGAGTTTTTGGGAAATGGCTCAGGAGAGGAAAGAAGGAAATAAAGACATAAAAAGGTCTTTAAAGACCCTTAAGGGCTTTTTGGCAAAGTTTGACCATTATAAAACAAACTGCAAAAAGTTACATCACATTGCGGGCAAAAATAACATAAATTATATGAGATTTGCATATTCAACACATCAATAAGTGAAATTCATTCTACAGCAGAAAATAGCCTCAACCTACAGTTGGAACTCTGGGAACATATTCTAAATTAACATATGTGCACTCAAAGAGAGCTCTTCGTGTTCAAAGGCTCTTGCGCAAAGGAAGGAGCTGGAGTTAAAGATATCATGAATAATTAATTGTTTAGAATTTGCTTTCAAAAAGGTCCCTAAAACCCTAAAAACATGGTAGATTCCCATTTAACAATAATAACACAAGGAAAATCCAATTTAACTTTTTGCTTATCTTTTCAAAATTATTTTTCTACATACACCCACTTAATGCTTACAATACAGTTTTCAAGCTACGCTTCTTCACAAACTTACTTTGAAACTAAACGATACTATTTTGATGATACCCTTAGGGACAAAATTAATCTAAAATATCGTACATCAAGGCATTTTCATCCTCGAGAAAGTTCCAGTTTCTATCAGATTTCCAAGTCTCACAGTTGCAAAGTGAAGAACATCGCCGTTTACACATTTTTATTCAAAAGACCTTAAATACAATTGAAGAATAACCTAGTTATATTGAGTCTGAAAAATCTTCTTTATTGTGAATTTTTCGAAAGCTCACAATAATGGTGTCTCTAATGCTAGATTGGAAGACTGTTTCGCGCTGTATCCATGTTTCTAAAAGATTTAACTATCTCACTAGTGGCTTCTCTGTACATGATTACGTTTATATTATATATCTTACACACAACTTTTTATCGAAATATATTACTTTGTGAAATATTGAAATATTTTATAGTAAATTCACCAAATGTAAGAATATCCGGTATATAACAACGAAAGAACACCCGAATTCGAACTTCAATACTCCATTTCATAATCTCACGCATAACATAATATAACATAACATAACGAACCGGGCGCATGCCCAACATAACATAGATACGAGGCTAATAACGTCACACCTTTCCTCTAACAAAAGAATAAACGGAACAGTAAGATAATAAAAATAATTGTTTTTAAAGTTTGCTAATCAGAAGTTGTGGCCAGTGAGGTAGTCCGGCCGAATTACTTTCCTGCCACTCCTTGTCGTTACTGGCTGGTAAAAGTTCAATTGCCTGTGATCAAATCTGGTCTCAGCAGGTCTGGCGGCTGCTGTCTTTTCTTCAGTAGCATCAGGTCGTGAGTGAGGTGACTCTTGCGGATCAAATTGCTCCATTTCAGATTGGTGATCTTCATAAGGTCGAGCCACTGCTTCTCGTTCCTTTCTGGGGAAAATGATTGAATCTTCTTCATCTGCAAAGAAAGGCTCTTTGGTTTGACGTAGAAACTTTCTGTTTCGTCTGAAGATTCTTCCATCTTCGGTTTTTACATTATAAGATCTTACACCAACTTGCTCTATGACACATCCTTTGGTCCAGCGGCCTGTTCTGTCGGAATTTCTTGGCTTTATCCGGACTACATCATCTTTCTTTAATGCACTTAGCTCCCTTGTGCCTCTGTTATAATACTTTGATTGTATCTCTTTCCTCTTTCGAAGTTTTTCTTGGACACCAGTGACAACCTTTGGTTTAAGGAGCTTCTTCGATATGGGAAGCAGTGTTTTAGCTCGTCTGCTAAACATACGCTGCGAAGGAGAGCTTTCCATCCCCTCAGACGGCGTGTTTCGCCATTCTAGTAGCACAAGATAGAAGTCATTGCCAGATTCAGTCGCTTTTTTCATTAGCATCTGCAGTTTTGACGGCATTTTCTGCTTTGCCATTACTCTGTGCGTACTCTGGCGAGCTTAGCTCGGTGGTAAATTCATATTCCTTGGCAAAATCCTGAAATTCTTTAGAGGAGAAAGGTACGTTGTCACTCATGAGCGTATCTGGTATGCCATGAGTAGAGAAGTGTCGCTTGAGCTTCTTCTTAATTTCCCCAGCAGTTTTGTAAAATAGACGATCTATCTCAAAGTAGTTGGAGTAGCAATCCACAGTACAGAGGAAGTCTTTGTTGTTGACTGTGAAAATGTCAGCAGCAATTATTTGCCAGGGGCGGCTTGGGATTTCACGAGGAATAAGGGGCTCTCTGGTCTGGTTGTTTTGGAATGTGTTACAGATTTCACATTTCGAGATGAAGTCGATAAGATCTTTGTTGATGCCAGGCCAGTAAACTGCTTCTCTGGCTCTTCTGAGGCAGCTCTGTATTCCTGTGTGTGTTACATGCAGTTTATCCCGGATCTTTTTGCGCAGTGTTTCTGGAACAACTGCTCTCTGACCCTTGAATATTACGTCATCCTGTGTTGCTAGCTCGTCTCTAATTGAGAAGTAAGGATGAATACATCGAGGAAGGGTATCTTTTCTTTCTGGCCACCCCTTCAAAATTACTTCTTTCAGTGCTTGTAAAGTGCTGTCACATTTGGTTTCTCGCTGTATTTCCTTCAGCTGTGGCTCAGAGATGGGGAGATAATTTGACATGTGGATAGTTTCGACTTCTTCTTCAGTTGCGGACTTTTGTCTCTCACTTGTCGGCAGGTATGCACGAGAGAGTGTGTCTGCTAGAACAATTTCTTTGCCAGGTTTATAGCAGATTTTAACATCGTATGATTGCAATCTTAGTAGCAACCTTTGCAGTCTCTTTGGAGCAGAGGCGAGTGGTTCGCTGACGATTGAGACAAGTGGTTTGTGATCCGTCCTAAGTGTAATCTCTCTGCCATAGACATAGGTATGGTGATGTTCCACTCCAAATACTTGTGCAAGCAGCTCCTTCTCTATTTGGCTGTAATTTTGCTCTGCAGGGGTGAGGGCTCTGCTTGCATATGACACGGGACGTCCCTCTTGCATGAGCACGAAACCAAGCCCCTTTGATGATGCATCAGCCTGGCCTTCTGTTGCTGCCTTATGGTCAAAATACTTTAGAACTGGTGCCTCACAAATTGCTTTTTGTATGTCAGCAAAAGACTTGTCATGATCTTTTCCCCATACCCATGGTGCATCTTTGTGGGTCAAACTTCTCAGAGGTTCGCATACTTCAGATAGTCTGGGAAGAAACTTGGCCAGGTATTTTACCATGCCAATGAACCTTTGTACACCAGCGACATCTTTCGGCTTGCTCATCTTTGTGATGGCTTCAACTTTTGCGGGGTCTATTTTAAGACCATTCTGTGTTAGGGTATGACCAATGAAGGAAACTTCATCGCATTTGAACTTGAATTTGTCCTTGTTCAGCTTGATGTTTTTTTGTTGACAACGTTTCAAAAGTGCCACCATGTTCATGTCATGATTTTTGACAGCTTCTTCGTAAGTTTCTCCTCTTCCGGTAACAAGAGCATCGTCAGCGACTGCATACACCCCAGATAGGCCTTCAATGCACTGATCAAATTTGTGTTGAAAATGTTCTGAAGCTGGTTTAATTCCAAATGGCATCCTGAGGTACCTCCAACGCCCCCATGGTGTCTGGAACGTTGTGAGCATGCTTGATTCTTCATCGAGCTCTATTTGAAGGTACCCTTCCTTCAGGTCAATTTTGCTGAATACCTTGACACCTTCTAGCTCTGGTAGCACATCCTCAATGAGCGGTAAAGGATAATGACTTCTTTTCAATGCTTTGTTGAGGTGTTGTGGATCGATGCACACCCTCAGTTTCCCATTTGGTTTTTCTGCAATGACGAGATTTGATACCCAATCTGTTGGACTTGTAACTTTCTGAATGACATGAAGATTTTCCAGCCTTTCCAATTCAGCCTTGAGTTTTGCTTTAAGAGCGATTGGTACTCTGCGAGGCGGCATGACAACAGGGGTTTGTGACTCATCAACATCTAAGTGCAATTTGCCTGGCATGTGACCCAGACCTTCAAAGACATCTTCAAAACGGTTCTCTATATCTGCAATACTGAGTGGAGCCACTGCGGTGGTCGATAAGACTGTTTCCATGACAACCGTTGGTTGTGCCTGTTGATGTGTGCTGTTTGAAGCAATACTGTTAGATCTAACATTATCTACATTTGCGTTAAAGATATTAGCATAATTAACAGTCAGAAGTCCCATCTTTTGTGCTGCATTTGCTCCTAATAATGGCACATAGTCACCTTTTACAACAACAAATCTGACAGTGTACTCAGTCTGGATCTTTGGGTTTACTACCTTAAGTTTACAAATACCATTTATCGGTAATAAGGCTTGGCTGTACAGGCGCAAAGAGTGATCCGATTTTTCAACTTTTGTGCCTGGAGGAACGAAGTGTTCTGGAAGGACATTACAGGTAGCACCTGAGTCAATTTGAAAACTAATTTGCCTGCCTTTTATAATCATGGAGGCAAAAATTTTGTTCTTAGGAGGGGACTGGGACACAGCATTTATTGCCAGATTATTTTTGGGTGAAATTTCAACAATAAGAATTTCATCATCACTTGAAGTGTTTTCTTCCTTCACTGCATGTATTTTGGCTTTAGAAAATGTATCTCTCATACCTGGTGATTTCTTCAAGCTGCACTTCTCAACAAAATGGTTTCTCTTACCACAACCAGAACAATATCTGCCAAAGGCTGGGCAACTCTCTTTGTTTCTTTTATGGCTACGCCCACAAAATTTGCAGTCGGAAATAAAACCTCTTGTGTCTCCAGTGGTCTTCCTCGGGCTGCTTTGCTTTCCAACATAATGGGCCATGAGGTCTTGACTATCATCTTGGCCAGCCATTATTTTTGCTTGAGCAGTAGTTGTTTCTGTGGCCCTGCATAAGTCAATGCATTTAGATAATGAGAGTTTTGGTTCTTGTAGTAGCTTACGTCGCACAGCATTGTTGTGAAAGCCACAAACAATTCGGTCTCGTATCAACTCATCATTAAGTGGTCCAAATGCACATGTGGCTGCGAGGGCACGCAAAGAAGCCGCATAAGTTTCAATTGACTCTGTAGGGCCCTGTGTACAATTATTGAATTTATACCGTTCGTAAATCACATTTGTTTCTCCAATACAGTAAGTATTCCATAATTCGAAGATTCGCTCAATGTTTTGACGTTCACCTTCCTCCTGGTACGGAAGTGAATTGTGTATTCGAAGAGCTTCCGGTCCTATGCAAGTGATGAAAGCAGCCACTCGAAAATTGTCTGGTTTAGACTTCAAATTCGTAACAGTTTCGTACGCATCATAGATTTGCTTCCATTGCTTCCAATTCTCAGCCAAATTCCCTTCTAACCTTAATCGTGGGGGTAATGGCACGTTAGATATGAACGCCGATGTTCCGCTATTTCCTTCAGAGGAAGCACTAGGCCCAGGCACGATTGGATCCGGATCTGTCATCGCGAAACAAGAACCAGCAAAACAATCATTTACCTCCTAAACATCAAAGATGGGTGTTTCACCTGACACCATGTAAGAATATCCGGTATATAACAACGAAAGAACACCCGAATTCGAACTTCAATACTCCATTTCATAATCTCACGCATAACATAATATAACATAACATAACGAGCCGGGCGCATGCCCAACATAACATAGATACGAGGCTAATAACGTCACACCAAATATTTTACTTTTTGGAACTGTTTCAGTCTTACCCCGACTGGATAAAGTGGAAGTCATGAATTCTAAAGACAAGATAGTAACAGATAACTATCAATCAATCTATATCACATTTGAATTGAGACTATCTCAATACGGAAAGGATTCAAGTTGCTGTGTATCCACCTTGCCTGTGCATTTGAGCAGAAAATACAGAAGTAATTTAATTTTCAGGTCTAATTAAGTTTCATCAAATTATATCACTTTATTCGTGCTGTATCATAGTAAATTACAGTAAACCATTGTATATTATAATATGCTATATCATATATCATATCATATCATATCATATCATATCATATCATATCATATCATATATCATATCATATCATATCATATCATATCATATCATATCATACAATCATCAATCATATCATATCATATCAATATCATATCATGATCATATAATCATATCATATAATATTATATTAATATTAATTATATTATCATATATTATATTATATTATATTAATATTATATTTATTATTATATTAATATTAATATATTATATTATATTATATTTATTATATTATATTATATTATATTATATTATATTATATTATATTATATTATATTATATTATATAGCCATTAACAGCCACTTCATTTGCATAATCCTCTCTCTAACCAGACCTAAAATTAATGGTGAAGCGTCTAAGCTCATTTTCAAACCTGGTCTGCGGCTCTTTTGGTGCTCTTTGCGGATGCCAAAAAATCAGCACCACATAGATAACTTTCTAGTTTTGGAACGGTTGTTTACTAGCAAAACTTTAATCTAAAGACGTGCTTTTTATCGCAGACTCTGCTGTCAACTCAAAAAGCATCAGCGTACGCAGCAAGAAACTGCACTATAAGGGAATAACTGTAATGAAGCTATTACAAATACAGTATTCCGGTAAGCAACTCAGAAGGAGAGAAGTTGAATTTAAACGTAACCGTTTAGGAATAGTTGAGGTGAACAGATGTTTATTCCTTTATCAAGGTAGAACTGGAATCGCTTCATTCTTTACAAGGAAAATCTTTATCGTGCTTTAATCAGCCTAGTGTCATAATATCTTTTATTTGGTTTCTGATTTAATTCTTTGATTCTACTTACAGTGTCGATGAAAGCAGAAACCTACATTGAACTTACGGATATAACTTTATCTTATCTAAGATGCGTACAAATCAATTTGAATGGTGATGAAATCAAATCTTGGCAACTGGGTTGGTAAAAGTGAGTTCGCACAGTCTTCTTCAAAAAGGCCGCTCGAACTCGAATAACCAACATATATCGTACTGTGATATGCCGAGGAATGAATAACAAGAATGAGAATCAATTATTCTTAGAAGATCAGGCTAATTGTTTATGCAAGCATTGCTTCTAGTCAATTCTATGTCGTTTGGGAGACGGTTTACCCAGGGTTGCAAAAAGCTGTTGACCCTCCTCCAAACCTGCAATTTATGGTCTCGATCTTCCTCGTTTTAACACAATAACAGAAAAACAGTAAAGAAGTGTTTGGTACTAGACAAAAACATGTAATAAGGTGTCTTCCTGTGTCATTTTTCTGTTTTAGCGAAGCATCAGTACTCCGAAAAAACTTTAAAGGTTACTAATGAAGCTTGATTTCTGAACTGTGATTAATTTTGACAAAGAAACTAACCATTATCATGTATTTGACATGATTTTTAATAGAATACTATTGTTGATTTTATTTTCCTCGCTTGAAAGAACAAAAACATGGAAGTTTGATTTTGTCAACAAAAATTGCCTCGTACTTTGGGGAAAGCCTTCATAAAAACCAGATTTGTAGAGTTTGTGCGTCTCTGGAATAACGGCGGGGTTCTGCAAAAAGGGTATCCTTACAATAAAGTATTGTTCATCTAGCTTTTCTAGTCTCTGTGTTAACAGTTATTTTTAATGCAACCCTCCTCTTTCCATCTAACTGTCCTCTTCTCTCGTGCTGTCAAATAATAGCATCTCCCTCACATCATTCCAATATAATAAGGTCATGGCAAAATATTGTGCAAAAATACAAAAACATTTATCATTCAACAACAGGTACAGTGACGTAATCGACTAAGGTTGGGGTTAGAGCGATTCCTAAGGGCACCCAACCGTTGGGGGTCCTGAAGGGGCCCCCAAAGATTTTTGATAGACAGGCTTTCTTGAACTATTTGATGTGAAAAGGGATTTAAAAAGTCAATATATGTTTTCTTTTCGATGAAGTAGGAGTAATCCATACTTTGGATTAGAGGCCAAGGAGATGGTGGTGCAAACGTCATAAGTTGAACACATGCTGGTGTGCAAACGTTGATAAAGAACATGGTTGATAGCCCTGTTCCGTTTGTTAATTGCGGCAGCCAGAACTTGAATCTGGTCATTAGTGACTTTGTGTGGGCAGTACCGGAGAATGATGATTTCTTTGGGACATTGAAAATGTTTTTAAATTTTTCGGTTCAATATATTCGGTGATAGATATCCACAAAATATGACAAACTTGCATTACCTTGACATCAAAAAACAAAAATGAGCGAGATGATGCAAAGAGACGCACAGAAAGGATGGATTCTTATGAATTCGTTCTTCTTTTTATTATTGGGGAACGAATTCTACGGCGGACATTCGGCACAACTACTCGTGAATAACTATCCCCAAAAGTTGACTTAACTGTTGCATCTCGATTGATACGTTGCTCTATTTCCGAGCTTGTTGTGCCACGCGAGTCCTGGGAATCTTTAAAGCAAACAGCGTCTGCTTTAGCTAGTGCTTGGCACACAGTAGTTGATTTCAAGCCAAAAACTAGAAGTAAAAGGTCCGTTATTGGAGCATTTGAGGACAATATTTTCAATACCCCAGAACAAACATTCAAAATCAATGTGTTTCTTAAAACTGTCGATACTGATTTGATGCAGCTGAAAGAAAGCTTTTGTGGCCAAGATCTGGTTACTCCATCTTGAAAAAATTTCATTGTGAATGAGCCCCCAAGCAAAACATCCCTAAGGGCCCCAAACTGTTCCGTCACGCCACTGAACAGGTACTCTGTTCACTAACGTAAATTTTCGAAAAGGATGAAGTCTTTTTAGCGCTGCTGGATTTTGAGCAAAGTTTCAAGATGATCCTAATTCGTATGCTATCTTGCTTTGAATTGTCAAATGAATTACCACCAACAAAATTGACGATGGAACCAGAAGAACAACAGCTGATATTTGCGCAAATGAATCAATGCCAAAAAGAATGTGCAAAAGACTTCAGGACATGTTATCTGATGCTGTAAAAATTAATCAGTGTAAGCGATGCTCGTACACTATTTTTGGCTCTTAAAAATGTTTTGGAATTAATTTGTCATTATTAAGCCACGGCTCAGCCGGAATTCAAGCCGGAGTTCCGCCCGAGTCAAAGTTGTGCAAGGAAGGTCATCTGACTCTCAGACCTACAACTTTTAGAGAGTCTATAAGACCTCAATGGGGGACGCCTTAGCCAGGTCCAGCTAAAAATTGGACACAAAATTTGAAACCAAAGAACAAAAAGGCTATGAAAATTATGAAAGTCGTATATATAAACTGATTTGGAAAATTAACCAAAAAGTAGCGAAATATAAACAGGAACAATTTGAAGCTTGTAGCAAGTCATTTAATGCAATTAATGCTAGATAGGCAAGCATCAAATGAATATCTACAGGATTGAAGCAATTCATGCACGATGTCATGGGTAATGAAATTGTCATCTGTCTGCTAACTATGACAATCCTCCTGAAACAGCTACTGGCAATAAAAACTAGTTTTCCTGGTGTACTTCAAATACGCATTTTCAAGAACCGGTCATACGTTGTTGGCATTTTTACAGCATATATTTGGTGCCAGGAATACAATCAATATTATTTGGTTTGATTTCCAGGAAACGAGAAGAGGGAATACAGTGAACCATACATTAGTTTAGAAACTAACTAATTAGCATCAGTCATGCAATTCGTGAACCAGAGCCAATGCTCCCACCGCCCATGACTTTTTGCGAAGCAAATAATTTCAAAGGTGCAACAAAAAGTGAAAGAGGCCTTGCCCCCCCCCTCCCCCCTCCACTTTCGGATTTGTGGCGTAGGCCCTGTGGAGACTGTCCATTAAGCAAGTTTAGCCACGATGCTATATTTACTTGAAAAGGTCCAAGCCAACACAAAAATGAAAACGACGAGTACTATTGTCTATTCTAGTTGTTTTATACCTAAATTAAGTAATCAAATACGCTAAACCATAGAAGTAGAGACCATGCATAGTGTGTAAGATGCAAGTCAACTGATTACCATTTCAAGTTTTCTGATAAAGTATAATGTAATTTCTTGTGAGAGAAGGCTTTTATTAGCTGGAAGCAAGGTGTCGAGAAACATCCACACAAGTTTGGATACATAATAAATATCTTTTAAATACTCTTTCTTATCATAAGAGTATCAAAAAATTACCCGGCTTTGATCCGTTTTAAGCCGAATATATTGTTATTTAATTTCTTTTATTATTTTGAATTCTGGCATCACTTCAAGAGGAAAAAGCAAAATAAATTATATGTCATTATGATGAAATGATCGAAGGAAAGAAAAATAAGTCTTCAGGAAGAGAATATTCTAAAATCAGGAGTGTTTTTGACATAATTTTTGTTGTCAGAATCAGCTACTTTTAAGATAAAGAGAAATCACCATTGTTTTGCAAAAATGTATGGACAGTTCAAATTAACAACATTCATTCGTAACGCTGTAACGAGTTACAATTTGATTGGAATACATTAAAACCACTCACTTTGTCACTTGAGGATCATTTGTCACTTCTTACTGCGGCTTCGTGTCTAATAGAGCTTTCAGCTTACAAGAAGCGATGTTAGCTAATCACCTACGGTAAAGTCACCGAGGAGAGTAATGTGTGTTGCAAGTTTTGAATATGAACGTAAACGGAACTTCCTGATCTCACCGATAAAAATAGCTTTAGGTCGATGATGAAGCGCGTTTTGCGAAAAAATGACACCTGGAACTTCACATACACAATACATATCAAACAATACTTAATTAAATGGGCAGTACTCAACGATCTATTTTCCTGATTTTTTTATCTTTTTGTTTCATGTTACGCGCAGTTAACAATGCTTTGTTGATATACCAACAAATGATATGAAACAAGTGTTTTGACTTATCTTCAAGTTAGGGACAGATTTTCCGGAACCAAATGGAATTTGCTTGCGAAGGGTAGACTAAATAGAAGCTTTGTGAAACTAGACACAAAATGAGACTATGAGATGGCGGACTAACGAGGCTTGCGTGTGACTCATGCATTTTATATACTATCTAAACACAAATATCATCATTAAATGCGAAAATTGCTTGTTTAGAAATATCGATCCCTGACTTTGCACTGATTTGTTCAATTCATTGGAATCTTGACTCACATGCAAAGTTTCAAGTCAAATGTCGGCTGCATCGATGCTAATTTTACAAAATACCCTGACCAATATCTTATAAAAAATGACCGTTTCATTGAAAGACCCTAGAAGACTATTCCCAAACAAGATATCTTGATCTTCGTCTTGACACTATGTACATATTCACATGGTAAGTCAAAAGCTGGGCAAAGCCCATGGTCGAACAACCATAATAAAGCTAATATCGAAATAGCAGATCAAAAGAAAACAACTACAGTGTCAATTCAATATTTCTGTGAATTTTGGGTTCTCTTAAATTCATAACACGACCCATAGGTTTTGCTTTCAGAAATGTTTGACGGTAGTGGTAGTGAATAAGTGAACGAGAATCAAACTAAAAACTCATTTGTTTGATTGATCAAAGAAAAACGTTACAAAAAAAACATTTCAAGTTTCTTGACGATCCTGGATACAGGTTATAAACAGACAAGCATTTGATTTTCTTGATGTTGAATAGTCATTTAAACTTCCAACCAATCATGCTCAAAAGCAGGGGTGGGCAATCTGTTTATAGACTGGGCCAGATCCTTCAAAACTTTTCTTTAAGTGGGCCAAAGATAATGAGAAAAATGAATTGGATAGTTTTGATAAAGTGGCAATAATGATTTTAAAAATTTGCAGGAAAAGACTGTTGCAATTGCAAGTGCAAAAAGAAAACTGTAAAAAAGAACCAAAATTAAAAAGAATATGATTCAGGGTTTGGAGAATTCATCCTAGGAAGGGACTACAGAATTATCCATCAATCAACGTTTAGCATCGGCATTTTAGCTCAGACCATTCACATTAACCTACGTAAACACCAATTTATCCAATAAAGGACTCCCAACACACAAACAATTGAGACATAACAAAATAGGGACAACCGTGATCCCTACCCAGCTACTATGAGTACGTCAGTAAGATTCGTTCTGGCTGCATTTTTTAATTTTTGACTAGTCCTTCAAAGACTCTGCTGTCCTGTCTTTAAGGCCGATTTCCATTTGACATTTTTTTGTGCGCGCGGGCGTAGCGCCCAAATCTGAGCATGCAAAGCTAAGTGCTGCTGTCAGGTGGCCCAGCCCACAAAAAAGTTGAGACCCTATCAACTTTCTGGCGCTCAGAGTGGACGCAAAATCGAGACCACTTGATTTTAACTACACATGCTCAGATTTGGGCGCTACGCCCGCGCGCACAAAAAATGTCAAATTGGATCAGCCTTTAAGCAAGATTAATTCACGACAACGGATAGCGAGCAAATCTTTCCATAATGTGAATCGACATCTTACATTCACTATTTGCGAACCCGCGGAAATAATCCTTGCCAACCAAAAAATATCATAATTTGATATTTTCAGCTCGCGGGCCACATAAATTCTCTTCCCGGGCCGGATTCTGGCCCGCGGGACGTAAGCCTCTATCGTAAAAAACAGAATTCGACGACCAACTTATTTTTGGATTCCTCTGTATATCTCATTATCATAGATTATGTATAATATGAGATATGATCATGTTAACAGCACAGCTACATATATTGCGACGCTAGAAGTTCTCACAAAGCTTCAACTAGTGCCCCTCATTCTTGACCGACAAAACAATTCAAAAACATTCAACCCAGCTGTCGCCTTCAGAAAGGGATTCCTCTAATTTCTCAACCACCAACTGTGCTTTTCGCAAAAGCGCTTCTAGAATTAGTCAATTTACAGTCTTTTTTTACAACCAACTACAACATAGATCTCATTATAAATTCTGTTTTGCTTTGACTTTTTACCAGTTTTTCCGATAACTAAAAATCCTTGTAAGATAATATAAAATGTCTCCAAAGTTGCTCTTGTCAACTGGATGTTTTTAGTGCCATTGTTTAATACCTTCGAAACTAGATTGAATTAAAATGAATCGAAGTTCGAGCAAAATTAGACTACGAAGTATATAGTCAATTCGTGAAATAAAATTGAAGTCTGAGCTATAAATTCTGGTGCTTTAAAATATCTGTATCTATCTGAGCAGACAGCATACTAGTTATTTTTAGCATATCTTCCAGCACCAACTATAATATCCTTTCTCAGGGCTCTACTCGCCCGAAACAACAGTATTAGCAACTGGAAGTATCCTAATGCAGGACTGATTAAACGCCTAAACATGAAGGTTTTATGTAGTTGAAACCTCCGAACTTTTTATGCCGACAGTAGAAGAGAATTCTGCCCTAGGCAGTCAAATTAAAATACTCAAGATTCAGTTCCCTTGACCTGCAGATGAGTTTGGTAAACAGTCTTCCCCTAAACACTGCAAGCTTTAGTTAAATGAAACGGTATCCTTGAACGATGCATTGATCAAAATTGCATTCGTCTCCTATTACTAGGAGAGAGATAAAATCTACGTGATCAAACCTTGAAAGCAAAATTATTGATAAAATTCGAGGTTTCAATGAAATGATAAGAAATATGGTATTAAAATGAATTATTACCTGAAATATTAAGTCTTGCTTTCTCAAAGAGACGTTATACAGAAAAAAGCTGACCTGTGTAACTCTAGAGGGATTTTGGACCCTTGATGCAGTTCTCTTGCTAGTTCCTCTGCAACTGCCCCTTTCGGACTGTGAACAATACCTGCAGAGTTTGAGGACATTTCCTATTAATATTTCAAGAGATTTCCAACAATTGCGACTTATTTCAAATTTAAGGCGTTCAGCAGCAAAAATTTATAATTCGATTAAACTGCTTTAAGTTATCATTCACAAAAACTTCAGGATAGATCAAAACAATGTTTTAATGCGAAAGAAAGGAATTTTTTATTGTTGCGCGTTATTGAATTGTAATTCGCGTGTTAACAAAGTAGACTTTATCTGTAATGTAATGATTTGAATGATTAACATATCATGTCTGGTGTCATTCTTCATGATTAATATTCGTTCTCAATACGTTCAGATTTGCAACGAAATACTGACTCTAATTAACACGAGTACAGATTGCTCTGTCAAACGTGTTTCAAACTCTGGGGGACTGGGGAAAACTGGGGTCTCCGCGCAGGCTATCATGGCAAAGACAAAAAAGGCATCATTACCATCTATTGATTGAAACATTAATTGTAATCAAGATACCGGAAATTCACTTCTTATATATGGCTACCTTCCAAGATTATATCGCAATATCCTTTTATGCACTTTCCTTGCTGGCGAAACATGAAAGAGAAAGTTTTTAAATGAGTGAAGCAGCCCTCCGTTTTGGAATCAAACAGTATACGCATGGAACTAAGTTACTATTACGCATCTCTCTGACTCTAAGATTTTCGCTCGCTCGTCTCCCCGACAATTCCAGACTTTACAAGAAAGGCTGACCAGCAATTAACATCTTCTGGATAGTCGTCATCCAGAAAGACATTTTTAGTAGATCAAGTTCCGTTTCGAGTTTTGAACTCGATTAATTAAAAAAAGATTCTTCTGAGTGACAAGTCTTTCAGCTGAATTAAAGTTTGATCCGTAAAAGTACACAGGTTATACAAAACTATCATTGGTCAATAACATTTCTTGTGATTCAAAAGTCAGATTAAGCAGGTAATTCCATCCATTGAAAATGATTGTGCTCTTACCACTCAAAAGAGTTTCCTTATTTATGATTTTGCCCAGTTTTGGAATCGATCTACATAAAAAACGAAAAAGCCACTATAGTGTAGATAGAAGGAGTTCGTTTTCTAGGACTTCATTGTTGATTTTTTTTGGCTCGCGGTACTGGCCGGTATAAAGCCAAAGTTTGTCCCAAAAATATTGCTTTCTTTCAAAGATAATTAAATGCTGTTATTTGTTTGAATAAACATGATGTTGAAAACTTTTTACGTTGATCGGCGTAGAGGCAAGTGAGACTGTCACTAAGTGGGTGAGAATTTAATCAGCTGGCGGCAGAAAATCGAAGTTCGTCGAAAAAATGTCTCTTTACTTACGTGATGCAATTCTTGGTATATTTGCAAAACATCACGAAAAGGGCCAATCACGAAATAATAAAAGGTTTTCTGAGAGCCACATAGGGACGGTTTCCCATCTACAGCAAACAGAATATAAAAAGAGGCTATGAATGATGAATATGAATTAAGATTGGAATTAAAAGTACTTTCAAAATTATCTAAAACCCGCCTACGTTGAGATGTACCAGTAAATGACAAAAAAAATAATTAAAAAAGTAAAATAGAGAGAATTAAACATTTCTTTGCTTTTATTCTGTTGTCATAATGCTTGAAGTCCGAATGTTATTCACTTTAAAAAAAGGACGCTTTCCTGTAAAATCAAGAAGCCGAAGCATTAGAGTTAATATTGCCAAATTAAAAATCTAAGCCATGGAATCTAAAGGAACTAAGACCAAAAACTCTGCCAAGTTGTCTCTTCCATCACATCCTCCAATGTATTTATCGACAAAATTGCTATTACAGTCTTTGTCATAGATTTTTCATGCAACCAACTTCAAAGAATGAGTAAAAATTCCTTCAAGCCAGTATTGCTATCTTCATGTTACAGTACTTTCTTTGTCGCTGAAAGAAATAATCTTACTTTGTATTTACATTCACGATGTGACCTCTCTCGGTTAAAACGTTCAGATTGTTTGAACTTATGTCCTTCGCTGTCTGACTTTGAATGCCTTGCTGGATGAAGAAAAAACCATGTTTGCCGTTTATTTTGCATGCCTTTTGTTTCATCTACCTTTTGATTCTGAATCATCCTGATCTGAAGGAGACTCTGACTTGCGATTAGAGCGTGAATCGTGACCTACTTCTACTGAAACTGATCCATTTCTACTATCCCGATTGTTGCCTTGAGAGTTGGACCTTTCACCACGCTTCTGCGATCTTGATCTTGACCTCTGACCACGTGATCTTGACTTTTGACTCCGTGATCTGGACCTCTGACTACGTGATCTTGACTTCTGACCACGTGATCTTGACCTCTGACTCCGTGATCTTGACCCCTGACTCCGTGATCTTGACTTCTGACCACGTGATCTTGACCTCTGACTACGTGATCTTGACTTCTGATTGCGTGATATTGACCTCTGACTACGTGTTCTTGACCTCTTACTACGTGATCTGGACCTCTGACCCAAGGATCTTGACCTGTGTCTTCTGCTGATAGATCTGAGTGGACTTGAGGACCGTCGCCTGCGTCGACGTGAAGTGGATCTTGATCTCTGCCTGCCTGATCTTCTTGTCAAACGACGTTGCCTTGACCTTGACCTGCAGAAAAATACATCTATCAGTATCATTTAATGCTTTTATCGTGAGGTATTTGCATTAGAAGAAAACATATTTGACACATCAATAGCATGGTATTGGATAGCTATCGAGTCTGGAAGCTTTAAGCTACCTAATTGATATTTTCTTGACTTGCCAGTATGACCAGCGCTCGGCTCTGACAGTGACATTAAAGAAACCGATACAAAATCGGTACCCTGCAAGTATATCCTTCAGTGGTATTATAAACACATCATTCTTGAACTTTTGCAAATTAGCAGAAAGAATATTACGGCGGGAGAAAGAATCTCATTGCAAATCGTTGACAACAAACAGTTGAGACACCCTTAATTGTTATCTAAGTTTAAACTACAAGCAGGGTTTTAACGCTTAAACGAAAAATTACAATATCTTCCTCTCTTTTGAAACTTTATCTTTTCACGCCGTTTCATAAAAACCTGCTAGAAGTGAGCTTCCCAGAAAATGTTTATTTGCTGATTAAATTTTTTTAACTTAACACCATAAAGATAAACATCTTTTAAAAAAAGTGTTGTCGAGATTGGCAATGGTAGCCTCATATTATAACTAATGGGGAACGTAAAATTTTCTGGATGTGATACCCAATATTTTGCAAATACTAGTATGGTGTACATAAAAATGCTAGTCGTTTTGCTGGTTAAAAAATATTTATGTTAACCATGTATGTTATCTCGAACCTTGCATAACATATTTTATGACAACTCCCTTAATTTTTAAAATGAAAAAAAATATAGAAAAGATCTCCCGTGTGTATTTGCCTCAAAGTATGTAGCGATTTTCAGAGGTGTCAAATATCCATTTGAATTAGTTTGCGCAGCGTCAAAGTTATAAGATACACTTCAGCTAGCGAAAATTCAAACAGCTATAAGCTTCGGGAATGTTAAAAAAAGTTAATATTTCCATTATTCAAAAAGTAATTTTTTTAGTTTTCGATAAAAAAGTGTCCCAACTGGTTTGAAGCTTTGTTTGGTTGGCTTTCATTGAAAATTGACAACAACTGGCATTACAAAAGTAGTTTCAATGAAAATGTTGTTTACAACGCTGCTGCCATTAATATTGGTCGAAGTGGCGCATCACTTTTTCTCACCTAATTTCCTTATTTCTCCAACTTCAAAATTTTTTGAAGAGACAAAATTATGTCGTTAAAAGTTTCTTTCAGAGCAAATTTAAAGCGAAAAATTTGAGGACTTATTCATTTTGCATAAAACAAGGAACTTTTATTCATTTTATTCAAGGCACCGTCTGTTTTTAAAGCAAAATGGTAGTAATAAAGCAGCTAACGAATCCAAGAGGTTGTAACGCCTTAAGAGGTGAACAAAGTAGAGGTTGGCTTTGTGCAAAGCTCTTTCTAGGGGGTTCTAATAATCCTTAGCCTAGAGAGGACAGGCTAGATGGTCCGGGCTTGAATGGTCTTAGTTTGAGGTTTTACCGCTGTTAACATCACAAAAGTCGGTTTTACCACTTCCTTACGCAGGCAGCAGGCAGCTTGCGCAGTTCTTAAAAATTGCTTCATCAAAATTATTCAAGTTTCACCTTGGTAAGCCTTCATACTAATTTGGTAACTGTAACTTCATCAAAACTGAAAATATGACCAGAGGGAGCTCTGAATTTCTACCTTGAGTCCTAATGATCGAGGATGAAGCTAAATAAATCCGCCCTTGCATCTCGCGCCTACACATTCGGACGCACTGAATGATCTGTCTAGCCTCTGATGCGGATTTCTAATGCTAATGATATGCAAATGACAATTATATTTCTCGATCGTGTTGGGCTGTAAGAAGAAAGATAAGCAGGGAAACCAAACCAAAAAGAATCTTGGAAGACATTCGTTTGACGCAATCCTTATTTGAAGGAGTTCCTATTTAGTCAAGACATGGGTCGACTGACGCAATCCTTTGTTTGGTCGAATGTGGCTTGAGGAAATAGGTATCATCTGGTTTCTTCGACAACCAACGCTTTTAGTGATATGTTTACTTCGAAAGGATTTGCTACACGAGACAATCGATCCAAATTACATAAATATAGAAGATCTTTTCGCGCAATTTCACTAAATCTTTCAACTTCTTCATTGCGAATACAACATAACAGGATGATTCCAATGAACGATAAACGATTATCCATCTTAAATCTAAGAAGATATTGGTCAATTTTCATTAGTGAAAATTAATTTTACGGCAAATATACGCTTATTATTTTGGAAATCACCCGATGACGTCTGTGGTTAAAAGCAAGAAACGATGCAGCTTATCTTTTTGTCTGGTCCATGATAGGCTCAGGGTTAGAAAAAATGACACCGTAGATATATGCTTAGTCAAAAAAATGGAGACGCGGGCAGCTAAAAATCAATCCATTGTCAATAAGGCCACTTTGCAAAACCAATAGGCTTGCAAAAGTTATAGGCATGGCTAGGCAAATGGAAATTGTCGGTAAAATGCACACTCATTAATTTAGCTTAAAACACAGTTTGTCTGGGTTTAGGGATGTTTTGAATAGTGAAAAACTGAAAAATCTTTTTACCGTGTCCTTTTTCTTTGTGGAGATCGGCTTCCGCGTGACCGTGATCTTCTTGCCGCACGTCTAATTCGTCTGGGGGAAGATGAAGGATTAGAACGTTGCATCCTGAATGGTTCTGGGCTCAGAGATGGAGTCCGGTATCTCTAGAATTACAATAAAACGAAACTCGATATGGAAAGAATGTGACAAATTTAAAAAAAAACATGCTTTTCCAGCAATCTTGATATTATGAAGCAAGTAAAGGCATTTTTCAAACAGTAATAATGAAATTTGCAAAATTCGATAAAAATTCCAGATTGCCTTCCTTGTCTATTCTAACTTAACAGTGCTTGATGTGCAAAAGCACAGAGAACATTTTCTCATTTCTAGCCTATCTTCTATTATATCTCAGTCGATATTATAGATATTTTTATAACGTGATACAAAACGAAATTTAGTCAATCTGAATTAAGCCTTTCCATTTCAATTCATCATATTAAATCTATGACTAGCGAAGCATTTGTTCTCTTGGTACTTTATTTCCGTCGCATTCGAACTCTTAATAGGCTTTGGAGATTCAATGGATCTGCAGCCCTTCTAATCAGGAAAAATTTATCTCTTTCAGGCTCAATTCGGGCAGTTTTATCCCAATAAGCAATAACATTCGGGCAAGATCCATACTGAGCACCCCCCCAACCCCCACCCCCTTAAGTGTGTGCCATCCAAAACAACCATGAAACTCTTAATGAGCTAATTTGGTTGCGTAGCAGGTAGTTTCAGAACGATAAAGCTTGGAAATTCCAGCATTAATAAAACTAATGCAGATGTTTCTGGAAGTTTTACTTGTCATATAATCGGGGAATGACATCTTAAATGACCACCAAATCCTCGCATACAAAACAGCCAAAATATCGTCAAGTTAGCTGTAAACAAAAATCAAAGGCTAGACAGGCAACAACAACAGAACTATCAGAACTACTACATAACTAACATTCAATAGATAAAAGGGATTTTAAGTGACGAAATTCTGGAAATGACCTAGGAAGGTCAAACATGTCTTTGCAATATTCAAATTCTGCTTGCGAAAAGCATTTACAACGCGAGAAGTAAGTCAGAAACTGTAGAATTGTAGGAGGCTAACGTTTTTGGAATGATATGCTGTCATTGTCGTAGGGACGAACTTCGTATAGGGGAAGGATGGCTACCCGTTAGGTACCTTATCTTTAAATAATCTGTAGTAAAAGAAATAGAACACAGATTTGCAGTTTTGTTAGGGGGAGGGGGGCTTCTTTCATCCCGCATCCGACAATCCTGCGTATATACAGCTGTTTGCATCTATTATATTAATACAACAAAAGAAGGAAGGAAGGAAGGAAGGAAGGAAGGAAGGAAGGAAGGAAGGAAGGAAGGAAGGAAGGAAGGAAGGAGCCCAATGTTGATCATGGTCAGAAAATCTGCATCGGGAATTTCTCATTAAAGCAAGGTTAATTATATCTCATTGAAACAGGGCTAAAAGTTAATAACGCCTCATTTCTTTGATCCTATACTCAACGTTCTGGTCAAAGTGCTGAAGTTTTACTGCATAAACAAGGCAACCTTGAAAATCACGGATGCAAAATAATCCGATTCGAAGCAATGTGTAATACTCCCTGCAGAGTTGTAAGCAAAATGGCAAAGATTCATTATCTTCTGTATTTATTCAAGCAGCTTATCAATAATTCATAGTCTCTATATACATTCTTATGAATAGATTCTAAAATCGAATTTACGATAATACGAGTCCAAACGAAAGGATAGCCGACATAGACATGAACCTAAACTACTTAAACTTTGAATTCGATTTCACCTTATGGCATTCCTCGAAGTTGCCTGTGAAGTTTGTTTACTTCACTAATATCATTAATGAAGGAGGTGGAGGTAATTATCAGGCTGGAATGTTTGGAACTTTGGAACTTCTTTTATTCATAGAAATCTCCAAGAGTGTGAGAAGCAGAATACTAAACTGAAAAAGGAGCCTTACAGCAGAATACTAATGTTGAGCCACACAGCTTTACTGCCACCTTAAAATCCTGCACATTTAAGCCCTGTTTACACTACACAAACTAACCTAGAATCGCCCCATCTCTAAAGGTGTTATTCAACCCATCTCTAAAGGTGGGTTCGCCCTAGGTCGAACCTGGGTTAGTTTAGATGAAGTGTAGTGGAAACACAAACCTGGGGCGAACCTGGGTTAATTTAGATTACAACACTCCCTGCTAACAATGAGCCATTGCGCTACGTAAGCATCCCATAATGCATTTTTAGACTGTCTAAAATCAATTACTGCCATTGTTTGGACCGTCGCCACGCTCGCAAAGGCCCATTGTTAGCAATGAGTCTTTAAGTGTACTGTAAACGCAAATCTTTCTTCAGGACGCATGCGTAGTGACAGAAATGGCGCCGAAACCAAACAAAGCACAGCGTGAAAACAAATTTTTTTTTATTGTACGAAGCCCACGCTCGGAATAATTGTTTTTAAATTCGATTTATTGTACTCTGTGAAGTTCACAAACAATATACACGTTGGCCGCCGCCATTTTGTTTATCCTCACATTCAATTTTTTGTGTTACGCATGCGTAGATATCAAATTAAACCGCAATTGCTCTTGATTCCGTTTACACTACAAAGTTGACAGTTTCAAGTGTAAACGCATCAGGGTTCGACCCGGGCTACTCTTAACCTAGGGTGAACCTAGGCTAGTTGTTGTAGTGCAGACAGGGCCTTGCATGAAATACCCTAAGCCCTATGTCACTTGTTACCATCTTCAGCTCAATACCGTTGTATACCTTCGAAAACCTTTGGATAAACCAAGGACCATCAGCCTAGAAAAAAAAGATATCACATACCATTGCTCCTCTGCCACGAAGTTTTCTACCGGATTTTGATGTCTAGAAAATCAAAATAAATTTTGTGATACAGATCGTATCAGCCAACATTAAAATTCGAGGATTTATATAAAAATAACATCAGTAGTGGCTTTTTAGGCTGACGAAAACAGACTCAAAAACTCTGAAAAATTTACCCTTTTGAATAGACAATCCATTTGAAAAAGTTTCTTAATAAAGGCAAGTTTTGTCACGTAGACCAGTTAATCGGCTAGTAAGGGAAGCAACTTAAACTCCGTTGAAATTCAGAAAAGAAACACTCCTATACGAGTTTTATTCGCATTGCTGTAACAAACGATAGGAATGGGAGCCACAACCCTCTAATCACGAACACTTCAAAGTTTTATTCTCTTATAGATATTGGATAAAATGGGTCTCGAGTAAGGAAACGATTTCGATAAATTCTATCAATAATCTAGGCTTTCTAAACGTTCTGCAGATTTTCACGTACATTCAAAGGGTATTTGCAAATAAACTTAAGCAGACTAAACGCTCTAATGAAATATTTAAATGGGATGGAAACAAGACTATCACCTAGGCGTAAGAAACCAGATCAAAGGAAGGTGCTCTTTTCTATTGATAAAAACATAAAAAATCTTCAGCTGCACAAGCTTTCATTTAACAGGAAGATCAATCGTGCCGAATGGAACAGATGCTTCGAAACCTTTGCTTATCTGTATGTAAAAAGAATAGCTTTGACTGTAGAAAAACTCCAAAAGCGATTCAAAGACAAACCCAAATTCTTGGTTTCACTACAACAACGTGGAAACAACAGAAATAAAACAATATTACTGGTTTAGAGAAAATACGCACGGGTTGGTTATTTCTTAAAAGACTTACTGAATTGGGTTTCCGATTGACAGTAGAGGCTTTCTCGTCAACCGTTCTCTTGAAACCTTTAGGTGATTCTCTGTTAGAGATGAAAAAGTTCTTTTGAATTGCAGAAACACAAAAACATCATTAACATGCTAAAAATGATGTACTTGATTGCGTATTTGATAACATGGCTATGTTATGATCACGATTGATTCACTGATTTCTATGGCATGTTCTTCCAAGAGAGCAATGCTTGACCTACAACTTGTATTGCGACCAATTTGCCGAGCTATAAAATTAATATCTCCATCTAACAGCAGCTAGTCTTATCTCCTTACAATTTACCTTACAAGCAAATTGCATAAAAGGCATCCCTCTGTTATATGTCTTCCTCTAATAAACGCCTCTACAAGTTAAATAAAGGTGGAGGACTAGGGTATGCCATTACCTGTTTTTTTCTCTTTCCTTTCTAACAGGGGATGGAGTTCTACTCCTTCGATAAAGAAAATTGCTAACGGGCACCGAGGGTATTGCCTCTCCAGCTTCTTCATCTGCCTCACCGCCATTTGCCGCTTTCTCACTGCAAAGAATCCAAATCAATACTTTGAAAGTTAATCAGTATATATTAAAATAATTGAAGAGAATTATACCTTGTGTTTCACAACACAAGATTTAATGAAATGTTTTTAACTAAATTGACATTTTTGTCGTCAGGTTTTGATTTCCTAAGGGACAAATAAATAAAAATCAAAACCCTTTTTATCAATTATCTTAATTATTTAAATCATCATCACATTGACAACCACAAACATTTAAAGGTTTGAGCATTTCCGACAGACGTAGCAAAGCACTAGTGGGCACTACGTCTAAGCAGAGAATTTCGCCATTTACATTTATTAAGAAAAAAAGATTATTAAGACCAAAACACCTTATAATAAATGCAAAAGTTTTGACTCTGAGCTTCAAAAATGGCTTTTTAATATATGCTGTTGATAAAAAGAACGTATTCATAGACTTATCCTTTAATGAAATGTGACTTTCTTAAAACCAAATTCAATTCTTGAATAAATCTACCTTTTGAATAAACCTACGATTTATCCTTGCCCTTTCGAGAACTTTTAATCGAAGCCGTCTTTTTCTTCTTCTTCTTTTTCTTGGCTTTTCTTCGTTTGTGGCGTTCTTTTTTATCCTCTTCACTTTCTGATGATGATCTTGATGAAGACCCAGCCTCACTTTCAGGTGATGATAAAGAAGATTCCGAAGAGGAAATAGACCTTCTTCGTTGTTCCTTTTTCGTGACTGTAAACAAAACAAATCTTTAGTCCACATCAAGTTGGTTCAAAGGCTTCTAATTTCTCACTACAAGTTGAATACCAGAATAGAAAAAATTTCGGGATAATTTAAGAAACTAATCATTTCTATATGCAGGGTTTCAAGAGTGTCGATTGTTTCAAGAGAAAGCTAATTAAAAACAGGTTTGACCCAACTTGATAATGCAACTTAACGGAAATAATTATGAATAAATTTGAGATTGTAAATATAATAAAGATAATCACAGAAATCTATGCTCAAAATACCGAGAATGAAAATCAAATTATGAATTCTTTCCAAATTTAAAATCTCTTACCTAATACAAAAAAATTAAATAGAACTCATGACCAATTAAATTTTGTACAGATTCTTCCGTCCATTATTCTAAAATATTCGGCTTCATAAGGATGATACCAGAATATGCCAAGGGTATGCCTTGGGCGTTCATTATAAAGTTTGAGACACACATCCTCGGTGCCCCCTTGCTTCCTAAAGTATTGCACCTCCATCCGAGAGGATCGAATGACGTCCCCACTTTTTACCAAATTTCAGAGCATCCCATTTCTCATTTGAGTTTGGAAAAGCAAGACAGAATAAGAGAGCTGTTACTGCTAAAACAACTGTTGCGTGGCATCATAACTGTTTCTGGTAGACACTTTTTAAAAAAAATTGTAAAATACATCGAGTAGTGTATCGGACTGGTTGTGGACCGTTTGAGGATCTTAAAACTATAGAAGTTCTTGGTTTTAAAATATCAATTTCAATATAATTGGTTTCAAAGATCTGAAAAATTGCACTTTATGTGAGAAAAGGCTGTTTTCGATCTCTGAACAGAATTATTCATACAATGTGCACTGTTCAAGAATAGCAGCAACAAAATCAGCTTCAGTTTTCTACTTCTCAAAATGGTTTAGCAAAAATGAGCGTATGATAGAGGAATTTTTCACCTTTATCTATTTGTTTATTTGCTTTTGATTTTTTGATAAGTTCTCCACAATTTGTAACTCGAACATCTGCATATGGCTTGTGAGATGAATCTGTTTTCTGACTTTCTATTTCACGAATTAATTCAAAACCAGTTATGGCATGACCAAACACAACATGGATGCTGAAATGAAGAAAAAATATGCTATCGATAAATTCATTATTCAAAGAAATCCAGTTTCTGATTCGGTAAAGTGATAGCTCTTAATGCTTGCCGAACACTATAATAACCAGGAATGCTATTACATATAGGTAGGTTGAATTCGAAGCTTCCATTGAAGATGCACTTTTGAACAAAATTTGAAACAATATCACCCACCTGTAGCTTGTAAATATTTGTCTCTGCAAACACCATTTTGCAGGTAGCTTGCAAACGTCAACTAACGATGGCAAAATAGCTAGAAGCTAGATCTAGAAACTTTGCATCTGCTTGAACATAAAGACACAGCAAAAAGATCTTTATCTTTACAGACTTGATTAGCTTAAAAACGTTATTTAGATTTCTATTCAGAATCTGGAGGGTCTTAGTGGTATAGCAGAATTAAAGAAAACTGATGGCCACTAAGTAGGCCAAACTTTAGTACAAATTTTTTTAGATTAACTGAGCTAAAATAAATATGATTCTCTTTATCATCGATGTGCAGTCGATGTCTTAATCAAAGCTATTAGATAGAACTTACTTGTCTAAGTGATGAGCAGGCTTCACAGTTCTGTGAATAGCAAATTATCATATTAAATATTTCCATAAAAAAACTGGCAATAATGACAAGCATTTTTGTGATAAAAAGCGTCTAAATGAATTTTTATATATTTCAGCAACTGAACACTTCTATCTCAACACAGAAAATAAGCCTTTCTCCAAAAATCAATTATTTGGGAATGTTCCATGACTCAGCGTTATCATTAACATATTAAGATCAAAAATTGGGCTTAACAAATTTTCTCTTCCTCCTAAACAGTTTCTTGCATCCCAAATTTACAGGTCCAAATAAAAAATAAATTTAGAAATGTTCAGGTGAAAAACAACAGGATAATATTTTATGAATACAAACCATTAACAAACATGTAATATTCCCCTAAAAATTTCCTTGCAAAAGAGAATCATACAATATTATTGCTGATAACAACACATATTATGTGATAATCATTAAAAATTGTTATTGAACTCCATATAAAAATGATTTCTATCACTTACATAAAGAACTGTGACCCATTTGTATTTGGTCCTCGGTTGGCCATGGATAATAGGTATGGACGACCATGTTTAACTTCAAAAGCTTCATCTAAATTCGTGGGAAGTAAAATATAAGTGTAGATTAAAAAAAGAAAGGAGCATTTTGCTAAATAGAAGATATCCGATCAAAACAGCTACCAATTAAGACTTTGAGTTTGTAACAAATCTTTTGGAAATGTTTTCTAAAAATTAAAAACATTTACAATATAACCATTAAAGATAATTGGAGCTTTAAACTGATATATATCATGACCCAAAGTCATATATAACCCTATTGTCAGCTTCCAAAGGAAAATTCAGCAACTTCTCATTCTAAATGGATTTCTACATCGTACCTCAACCTATTCTTTTTATGATCTTCTCGTTTCTGTCAGTCAAAAGGTGACCCTTTTGAATCATGCAGTTTCAATCCATGCAAGGTCGATGGTGACTCAAGTTACTAGATGATTCAGGCAAATGCAGCAGAAGGTGAAACGTTTTAAGAAGCATTGATACACCCTATGTAACATTAGGCATTAGGTGAACCTCTGCAAATACTTTGTGATTCCCAATATAAATTTCGAAACAATTTTGCAATCAATGTCTTGAGCAAAATTTATATTAGCTTCAAAATTAATTGATAAATGCAGGGCATTTTCAATATACTCAGTGGTGGGGGAATCGACCCTCTGACTTCCCCCACCACTGACAGCCAAAATGCTTCTTTAACCCCCCCCCCCCAAAAGGCCTTTTCAAAAGAACTGGCATAATGAAAATGTGCTGGTAAATATATCAACGAGGTGTTTTGGTAAAATGGGGTATATCAACGAGGTATATCAACGAGGTGTTGTGACGAACATAATACCTATTGTGTTTTAATAATGAATTTGTCAACTTTGTCTAATTTCTGAAAGGTTCTGTCGTCCTGACTCATAGGCAAAAGGAGTGGTGGCACAGGGGAGACATACCTCTCTTTCACTTTTCAAAACTTTAGGGGCATAGGGTAGAAGCCCTTAATAAGTTGCCCTTTTTTGCCAACTGCATAGCCAAAAATTGCCTTTGAATATTATGTAGGTGCTATACAAAATGAGCAAAGAAAGTGGAGTGACCTTTTGGGACCATGATCTAAAATATTTCTATGTGATCTGCTTTTAGAAATACGAAAACTACAAACTTACAACTTATGGCCTTGAGGATAAGGAGGCCCCTTGAGGATTTTTTTCGTAAACAAAGGTTCCAATTTGCAGGCCTCTCAGGGAAAAAAACAAGGCGTGCTATAAAAAGCTCTTGCTATATTTGCTGCGTGGGCTATCTAGCCTGTTGTTAATTATTTTTATATTTCAGTATTTACAAAGGCAAAAATGAATTACCTTACAAATTCTTTAAACATTATTCACCTTAAGAAGGCATTCTTGTGTGTATTACTACATTTAAGTTTTGTAAAACCATTACTTAAAATGAGGCAAAAGAGAAACATAACTTTTTTGGAATAAAGCAAAGTTTTGTTAGGTTTTGCCAGTCAAATGTGACTTTTGGGAATGCCTAGTTTATATGTCGTGAGTTGAAAAGCACTTGTTTTGTATTTGACAGCATGGTGTAATATTTCTCACCTTAATTATTCATAGCATTAATCACGCTATATGTTTATCTTTCATGCGAACACCTTTTCTATTCCATTGCAAGTTTTAGCAGATAAAACAGTTAGTTTGTTAACATGTGATAAACACAAAGACATCTAAGACCTCTTTCTCTTTATAATATTTACTCGCACTCTGATATTTAGCGGTAAGTAGTACAAACATTGGAAAGCTAAACTGCACAGATTAAATGAGAACATTGGTTTGAAAAACTGCGTGTGTGGAAAAAAGCCCTTGCAAATTTATTTTGCATGGGGTTTGTGCGGCACGGGCTATAGCCTTCGTCTCCGGGAAAGGCCTGAATTTGGTTTTTTAACAATCTCTATAAAATTCTTAAAGAGACTCTGTTATAGTAATTCGAGTAAAATCTTACAACCCAAGACGCAATCGTAAAATAACTCGTCATCAAAACAGCATGATCACTATTCTACAAAAGTATTTTCCTAAATGTGAGAAATGCAAACACCAAGGTTACAATTCCTCATCCTAAGCTAAATTGTTTTTCCCTTGGCTTATGTCCTTGGTAAGAGCAAATATGTTTTCAAGAAATATGTGTGAAACATTCCATTTAGCTGTCGCAACAATACCTGGATTTTTTAGAGAAAACGAAAGCAAATTGCAATTTGAAGCACCGTAAATTTCTTGTTGTGAGCATGGCCCCTTTTGAGAAATGCCCCACTACTGAAAAATCCTTAAAAAATGCCCTGGATAAATGTATATCATCACTTTACCTTTAAATGTTCCGCCATATACAGATTCACCACCAGTTCCATTTCCTAGATATAAAAATGTAAATGCTCACAAAAGATAAAATTATCCTCTGTACAAGGAACATTTAATGTGGTACCATATCTGGTTAATGAATCCAAAGGTGTGAGTCTTCGAAAAGACCACTGAATTCAAAGAGCAGAGTACTTAAATACTCCAATCTATCATACATATATTGTGAAAAAGGAAAAATTTATGTTTTAGAAATAATTCTACTCTCGCATAAGTCTGCCTCTCTAATAAGTACACCCTTTACAAGATGGTTTAACTCCTGCAACAGGACTGCTGAAGTAAATCAAATAGTTCAAATTCTCCAGGGCTGTTTAAAAAAACAAGATTCAGTTAATTCAAAGAGAGCACATACCTGCACTAAAATCACCTCCTTGTATCATAAAATCTCTCACAACTCTATGGAAAATAGTTCCTTTGTAATGCAAAGGCTTTTGCGTAGTTTTTCCTTCTCCTTTTTCACCTAAAACAATAAATAAATTGGAACTATATACACCTCATCAAGAAACACATATCATATTTCCTCATACAATTGCTCATTCAAAATTCAGCCTTCTAAGAGAGGTTTTCATATGAGCAGTATTCCTATAAAAAAGAGTGTTTTTGAGGGGCATCCATCTGAGTTTCTAGACACAGATACAGTCTTCCCCAATAGTTTACCTGAATATACAAAACCAAAGTGATATGAGAATAAAACAGATAAATGACACAATCAAAAAACGACCAGAAAGGTTCACAAAGCAATATCAATTGGTCTTTTGTTCTAAGACAAATGACAAATGTGATGTCATCTTATTAAAACAATAGGCTTGCCCCCCTCCTCCCCCAATAATTGACCAAGTGTCCATCCCTGCTCACAAGGTCAGATATATTCCATAAAAAGTCCACAAAATTTGCTGACTATATGGAGCATTATGGGGCTTCATCAGAGTAAAGTAAACAGAGTAAAGTAAACAGACGTTAGTAAGTGACTTATTTGTGGATAGTAGCTATCTATTATTTGTTTCTATTGTTATTGTTATTTCTTATTTTTCTAATCAATAGGGATGTTACTTAACAAGAAATTTACTTGTGAGCTCTTCATCAAAACACAGTAATTGAAATTCTAGCAATTAATGCAATGAAGAATTTTTAGAGATATTCATACTCCCTGAAGCCATTTTTTAAAAAATGTTCAAAAACATTATTAGAATTATAGTGTTAGGTCTTTAATGTAACTTATCAGCAACATGTGTGTAGAAGAGATTAAAATAAAGTTAAAAGATATGCATGAGAATAACATACCTGTACACAATGCCCTGAAATTTTCAGCAGTTTTTGGACATATATCAGCAAACAGCTCAAAAATTATTCTTCCAGCTGAAAAAGGTTAAAGATTTCTTTTATTCTTTATAAGAGAAAAAGATTGAGTGCAGGCCCGATTCAGATTCAATGTATGTGATTGAGATTTCACTTGCCAGAGTTCCATGTCACAGTTTTAAACTGCGGATTAAACTACAAATAAGCCTTCTTCAGTTATTCTAGTAAGATCTTGAGCGTGCACCTGCAAACAGTCCTGGTAATATGAAATTTGTCAGAGTGCTGGTAATAACATGCCTTGAAAATTTTAGGTGTGGAAGGGGTGCAATTCCATAAAATGGAGACCTTACAACCTGATAGCATCTTAAATGCCATGTATGTATTTGAAGGGTTGTATCACTGTTTGAAAAAGGGTGCAAGGGTTTCACACAACCAAATACTTTTTACAAAATTTAGAAGAAGTTTCTTGAAAACAAAATAATTTAGTAAATAGATACAAGCTTTTAGGCCCTGTTGCCATTCCTCCATTTTCATGTGAGAAAAGATTTGAATTAATTACTTTTAGATTTATAGTTCCATTAATATGCTCAAAGGCACAGTCATTCAATACCAAACCAGAGTCATTCAAAAACGCTGTCCAAAGTGGAGTCATTCCAAAATGGAATCATTTGAACCACATCGTTTTATTGGGAACAGCATTGGAAAACAGAGCCATTCAAAAAAGAGCTCGAAAAAGGACATGAGACATATAAAAATGGAGTAATGGAAACACCTATGTTATCATTTTGACCAAAACAGAGTTGCTCTGGGAAATATGTTTAAGAAAATTATTTTTTATCATTATCACAGATTATCACACAACTTGACAAGAATTCCACTGCTTACAAACGATACCATTCATACATAGAAAGATATTGCTGAAAAGCAACAAATTTATCAGATGAAGATATCTCAAAGCATGGTAAAAATAAAAGTAAGAAAATACAAAGAACAGAAAAATTCCAGGGTGGAATCCATGTAGCTTACAATGACGTGGAATTTATAATTTCCTTGCTGTGCAAAGAAAAAAATGTGTTGGCATAAAGGTGGATGGGTTTGCTGCCTATGCTAAGGCCAGCACATGACTTGTAAACATCTAGTGGTGGTGAAAAGGATGATTAATAGTTTCTATTATGCATTGTATCATACAACTTTGTGCATAAGTATTAAGATGTAAAACTTTTGGTGCCTCTTAATAATTCACTGGCCAATATTCTAGGTGAGGTCTACATGGATTCCCCCTTGGGAAAAATTTTTCACACCACCTTTACTTAGCTGCTGGTACACAAATGATGATTGTATTGTGTGGACAATTTTAGAATTTGGGATCAAGCATTTAAACTCCAAACTAGTTGGCCTTTTTGAATTTCGGAAATTTACTTCTGAAAAATATTTTTTTATCATATCATGTTATATATTTTCAGTGGAAAGTTGAAAAATGCAATGATTTAAATTCAAAAATTTCCACATCTTTCAGGTTTTGGGTATCTACTAAAGAAATATCAGAGCAGTGATTTCCCTGAAAAACTGGACTATTTGGTAATGATGACACTAGCACTAGCAGTACAAGGTCAGCAGCTCAAGGTCCTCATTAAGTCCAGCTGTGCTGATGAGCCCTGAGACTGTTTGAGATATCAGTGGTTTTCTTTACTTCACACATAAAATAGTGTAAGTCTCCAAAGCTGCAGTCTGCAAAGCGAAAACAATTGTGTCATGACCTTGAACAAATTTTCAGAATATTTTTATCGACTTGAATAAAAACGAAATTTATAGAAAAAGCTTCTACCTGGAACGTTGTTTATTTGCATATCAAAGAAACACCTTGGCCTATATCCACGAGCTTTTGGCGGCCATACTTCATCTGAGTCCGCCATTTTGAATGAAAGAACACAAATGATAACGAGGTTATTCAGCAGCTCTCCTTTGACTTTCTGTTTTGGCGGGCAAGCGCTGCGCTGTGGATGCCATACCAAAAACCGCATAGCCAGTGGCGTGGTGACTCAAAATTGGCTAGGACCTTTTAGGCGCCCCCTAAAGTTAAGTCCATGTGACAACTCTAGCAGGGCGGGAAAAAGTGATTTGAAATGGGGGGCACAATGTAATCATTGTTCGGGGTTGGTTCATGAAGGCCGCCACCATGGTTGGCGGGAAGGAAAATTATAACATTTTATCGACTGCCGGAAACAGCATCTAAAATGATTTCAACATCGATTGAGAATGAAGTGAAGAAAAATCCTAGGCAGTAATTATAAACTTTCTTTTATCACTATGCCATAATGGTCCATAATGTTTAGATCGTACATGTGTTAATGAAGTGCGTCACCATGTTTAGCAGCAAGAAAACTGTAACAAATACGACGCTCTTGAAACTCTAAAAACTCTTCTAATATACTTAAAACATAGATTTAGAAACCAGGAAGATTCATGGAAATGGTCATAAATTTTTTTGCATCATTACGCCAAAAATCTCATAAATTAGTGAAAGCGTAAGAAAAATTTTGAAGTATAACTTTCTAGGGATAATTGGAAACTGCACTCGAAATATCTACAACATACGTAGTTTTAGGCCTGATAAAGATTTACAAAAAAAATTCGTAAGCTTATCTTTATCATTACGTACCATAGTCTTATCTGTTTTGAATTTGAAAAGACTGCTAAACGAAGACGGTCAAGGTATTGCAAAATTATAGGAACACGTTCAACAATAAAACATGAGTATGAGAATATTGATCAAATAACAATGCTATTGAAAATACCAGCCAAGTATCTTTTTAAATTCAAGCACTACTTTTTAAAATCTTATCGTTGAATTTCCCATAGTATTTATGTCTCATTTCTAACCTCCGTGAGGCCAAGTAAGTCAATGGGTTGCTTGCGGATGTTCGGTAACTTGTAGTGGGCTGCCAAGGGATGCTGGGATGCCATTCCTACCCTGGGTTCCAGAACGTCAAGGGTTTTGAACGAGTTGCAAAGATGGCGTATTGGCGCGGGAGTGCGGGGGAAGAAAAAAAGAGACGAGAGTAAAAAATTTTTATATCGAAAAATGCGCCTCTTCAGAGCTCGGCTATTTCAAGACGCCATCTCCGTTCACGTCTGTTTTCGACGTGATTTTGGCGCCCCTTTCAAGAGTTGGATCGCCTTCGGTGCCCCCTGATTCCTGGTCACTAGAAGGACTAGAAGGACAGTTAATTAAGCATATTTCTTGCGCAAAAATGCTTAAAATTGAATTATGGTCTGTTAAGTGGGGTTAATTAATATTGCACAGTCCATAAGTGGCAGCATTTGTGGACTGGGGCACAGGCTAGGAATATTATACCAACCCCTAGTTTTAAGAAATAAATTTGGACTGACCATCCCATGAATCACTTTGAAAACTGTACGTAGTAATTTTGTTTATCAATGGTCTTCGAAAATATTTCACCCGTTATATTGAGAAACTGGTGTAAGAAAAACCCTTTGACACTATATGAACGTGCCATAATATCTTAAGGCCCCCATTTGTTAGTGGCCCCCGGCTCAGTGGGAAGCGCGGCACTGAGGATTGCGTCACATAAACTACGTTGCCAAAATGTTACCCTTTCCCCAACATTTTCGCATTGAATTTAGACAAACTATCAAATTTAACCTGCCGAGAACATTAACTGTAAATTGCCAAGAACATTTTCTGTGAGTTATCAATATTCTTCCTAAGTCATATTTCCTATCCCTCGTACGACTAAATTAGTTTTCAATAATCGGAGCGCACAGTTGGAATAGCGACAAAATTTTACAAACACATCCGATGGGTATAGAACATTCCAAAGTTACTACGACCACGTGAAGAATAATGGATAAACGGATAAAACAAAATATGAAACTGAATATGAGCGTGAAGATGATAGTATAAACTGGTAAGCTTATTCATGCAGCTCCAATTTGGTCTCTTCATACAGGCTGCATTAGGGCGTTTTCATTAGTCCGTCAAAGTGTCTGGGACTTTGACAAACTATACTTGGAAAATATAGACTACTGATAAGAAAGAAAACAAAGTAACGAAACTTTGTTAAAATAAAATGGTACGACTTACTTCCAATGATACTGAAGTAAAGCATTTTTCACAACAACAAAAAATATGCAAGCTTAAAATCAAATAGTCTTGAATATCAATAACAGAACTACAGATAAATTACTGCCACTACTTATTTTAAGAACTGATAAACAAGGTTGTCCAATGGAGCTAACATATCTGATTATTTGAATACATATATTCTTCACTATAAAGGGGGGGGGGGGGTGGGAATTTTTCAGGTCTGAAATCGATCAAGGGCAAAAAATCAAATCACATTACTGAGCATGAAGTTTTGGTTAAAGAAACAACAGCCATAGAAGTATGCTAATCAAATTAACATTCAACTTAATCAGCTACAGTATAAACAAACAATTAGCATTTTCATCAACAGTGTGCAACAATTGTACCTTCTACAAACTGTTAATTTGAATAAAAACCTGTTTCTTCAGATCACTGCACCTGCCCCAAATCATGTGGGTTGCAATTCACCTTCAAATAATAAAGTTTTCCAAAAGGTGCTTTTTGCTTATCGTGCAGCAATTAAAAATATTTCTTAAAAAGAGAACTGTTTTGCTCAAATAATTGTTCCCCTATAACCCTACAGAAAGAAAATAGATCCTCTTAAACAGTGCGACATAGATAGCTTGTATGCAGCCAGTTAACTGAGCTCCACATCAGAATAAAGTTTAATACAAAATGGACAATGACTTAAAGGGTGAACACATTAAACTGTCCATGATAAAATAAGCTTTTCACAGATAGACACTTTGCTGTTTGATTGGGACATGCTTGATTATGTTAGTGACACCCTACAAAGAAACTCTATTTGCCACCAGTCTGTTCCTGGTAAACTTCTATGACATCATCATCTTCCATTTCAAGCTAAAACAAAGATAATAAAGCTGATAATCGTACAAGAAAATCATGACATTAAATCTCAATTCCAACGGCTTTATCTGAAAGCTTTACTAAGAAGAATCACATCCTACAATATTTCTAAAAGCATATAAAACAACAATCACAATATTTGATTATTAATATGCTGAAAATGTGGCTAGTATCCTTAGCATATCATAAATTATCCTAAACATTGACCACTTACTGTTACTTCACTTTAAGACTAAGCTAACTGACCAAAAGCAAAGAAATTGGATGAAAAAGCAGGCAACAAGAAACAAAATATTCCTACCTGTTTGGGTGTTGTGTCATCTGTTATTCTCTGTCCATCAAACAGAAACCGAACTGAATTGTGGGGTATACCCTACAAATAAAGAAAGAGAGCTTGCTGTAGACATCTTAACAAGCAATTGGTGAAATAACACTTTATAGTTGGTACCAGGTTGGTCATTTTTTAAATACACAACTAATCATTTTGAAGCTTTAAAGTAATTTAAAGCAATGACAATTTTTCATTTTTTAATTAACTTGCATTCAACAAATTTTCCCTTTTTTAAAGCCTTATTTACACTCAAGTTGATTGAAAAATGAAAAATTTATCATTTAGGCCTTAGGATATAATCAAAAGGGAAATTCATTACTTTATTGAGATCAGCTTTATCTTAAAATAATCTCACATCTATCCCTTATTAATTGTAAAGGAAGTATCACTGAAATACTTTACATCAAAACTTGCAATGTGGACTAAGAACATGCTACAATTTCCTGATCAGGGTTTTAAGAATGGATAATGTTGCACGAATGTAGAGTAAATTTTTCAAAATAATAATCTTGTCAGACAAAAAGTAAAAAATTTATAAACACCAGAATCTAGTGAAGGCACATTTATTATAATTGTGTGTCATATTTTCTAACTAAACAACCAAAATAAAAGTAACTTGATCACTTCACTCTGAAATTATATCTATGATCCAAAGAATTAACACCCCCCTTCTATAACCTTGCCCCCCCCCCAAGGTGTCTGCCACTGCATTGCACCTACTTTAGCAGAACTTTAAACTCACCTGGCGATCACAATATGCTGTTTTTAGTTTCTTCAATTGTGTTGTCCTTTTAATTTTGAAGTGCACCTCTGAATTATCCTGGAAGATGTAACATTTTATTATAATTAGGCAAAATTTCTGACAACAGGGGTATCATATATCCCCCAAAAATTCTTTTGCTCATATACAGAGAGGATAAATTCTGGCCATTCTGTGGCCTCAGTTAAATTATCAAAAACATTTTGAGGATAAAGCTTGCAGTGTCTCAGTACTGTAAACAAGATAAAATTATTAGAAGGCATCACTGTTTGAGAACAATAAGAACAAAAGGGATTGTTCACTGTAAAATTTTAAGGGGCACGAGCCCCCTTGTTGAAAAAAAGCAGTTTAACCATTAACATGTGAAACAACAAGGACACTTAGCTATTACTGGGAAAAACAAAAAATAAGCGCATAATAAACTTTGATTTCATTACCAATAATAGTTAACATCAAGATAACAAAGATAGCATTGTTTTCTGAATCAAATTGCATTTCACTCAATTTACAAACCAAATAATTTCATAACAGTTGTAGGCTTTTGTTGGAAAGGCGTGCGATCGCACGCGCACGCCCTGGCGCACGCCTATCGCTTTCCAGGAGAGCAAAACATTGCACGTATTCTTTTATAATCGGAGCAAAATTCTTAATTATTTGTTTTGTGGGTTTTTGAGATGAGTTAATATATTTATCCTTCCTTGGTACAATTACTTCATGCCACTTCAAAAAGACTCAACACCTTATCAGGATTGCAGATTTAATAAAAAATTTTGAAATAACCATATGACTAATCTACAGTGGAATCCCGATATTATGAAACCTGACCTGGTTACAAGTATAATTAATTTTCCGGCATGACAAGAGATATCTGGCCTCTTGAATTCTGCCTCCGCACAACTTCTCTTGGAATAACTTATCCCGTATATAACGAATTCTCGTATATTAACAAACCTAATTGTAGTCCCTTCATCATAATTTTCCTCAATATGACCAACTTTTCCAAAACTTTTCACCGCTATTTTGGTCTACTTATTCTTGGTGTATTTATCGCTATTTCACGGTGGAATCATTATTGTCAGCGACAAAACATACATTGGCAAACATGCACTTTTAATGATGCAAAAAAGGAGAAGAGATTTGTGCGAACGTTTGCACCTTTTCAAGGCTTAATGGCATTTCATTGAACAAATTCAAACACAGAAGACTATAACAGACATTTTTGTTCCTGAATTTTAAGAGGAACATTTGGTGTTTTGAACAAGATTTTCATTTTTGATCAGTATTTTAGAGAAAGCAGCTGATTATGCAATAAAAATTGGCCGATTTGCTAATGATGCGATAATAAATAGCAGATGACTTACGGATTTCGCTACCCCCTACGGCCCCCTCTTTAGACATCGCTATGCTTGAAATCTAGATTTAGCCAAATTTGGTTTAATGAAAAAGGGCCATCATTATCTTTTATGCATCTGGCCAGTGAGGTTCATAAAATAGCTGTCATGCTTGATAACAGAGGGCCCGTGGGGCAAGAATTTACACGCAAAAACGGCCATTACAACCAGATGAACGCCACATCATCAATGACTCTACAGGCCTGCCGGAACCGGGGGGCTGGGGGGCTGGGGGGCTGGACCCCCTCCCCAATAATTGTCAAACTGTGGTATGTTTCCTTTATAACAGTGTACTTAATGAGAAGGGAAACAATGGACAGCCCCCCAATATGAATTTCGTTCCCACGGATGAAACCTGCTTACGACATGGTAAACATATTTCTGTACTTGTAATGCCGTTTTTTGTTGATATACTAAATAAGCTCAGTTTATACTTGTTTAGAAAATTTCATCAAATTTTTGCTGTCATCATTTTCGTGTTGGCAATTTATCCGTAGATCTATCATAATTACCAAAAATTTTGTGAAAAAATGTCACACGCCATCACACGCCTGGATGTTTTCAGGGGTGCGGTGGTTAGCACGCCTGCTATATTTTTTACACGAAAGCCTGAGTTATGAAGTATTTTGTAACAACATTTCCATAGTGCAAAATCTATAAAAATATACATTTTCTGGCTAAAACAAGACAAACGTAGCAAAGCATCTCAAAGACCCATTTGTTCTTACAATATCCAAATTCTTTTTGGTGCATTAATGATTGTTTCATAATTTCAAGTCATGGTTTTATTGATGATATATGAAAACATTATAAAATTTCACATTACAGTCAAGTTCAGACTTTAAAAAATTAAAAATGATCTGTTTATAATCTATGATTAAAATTCAGATAAAGAACTTCCTCAAAAAATATCTTCATACTTACACCTCCTACAACCTTAAGATTGATATGTTCAGCATCAGGTTTTACTTCCTAAAATAGATGAAACCACATGCATCAAATTTCTGATGATTTCAAGATCTGCCATCCCTGTTCTATGTCAACACAAGTTTTGTATAGAATAGCGCTTAATCTGAAAAAAGCATGGAAGAGCGAAAAAATAACATGATAAAAACCGACGAATAACATATACATAAACCTCAAATCATAAAGTGAAGCAAAAATGCGGATCGAAAGTAACAAAAGAGTTCAGAAAGGGTGAATGAATGGTTCTATGTTTTTGACAAATCCCAACTGCCGATCATTCACCTTGAGTCAAAGAGTGAAAGCGAATTATTTCTGAAACCTTTTTAATTTAGTTCCGATTGCCATGTTGTCGTTTCTTATAGCATGTTTCTTATAAAAATGAGTGTATTTGTAACACAAATTTCGTACTTGACAATGTTGTGTAACAATTCTCATTCTTTCTATTTTACGCTATCTGTTGTTCCTTTCCTGCACAACCATTTACTATTCCATTGCTAGTTCTAACAGGTAATACTAAAGTCTGTTAACAATTGATGTTAAACCAAACGGAAATTTCCTTTATATAACGATGTTTATAAAAACAATATATCTCTTTGACACGACGTTATTCACGAATACCCTGATATATAGCAGTAGGTGGTTTAAACATTAGAGAGTTTGACGAAGCCGATTCAATGAGAGCATTGTTATAAACAACTGCATGGGCAGAAAAAAGCCCTCGCAAAATCTTTTTGCATGGGATTTGCGCACTATAGCCGGCGCCTCTGGGAAAGGCCTGTCCAGCATTTTACAAAAAAGGATAACAGAAGAGGTACAAAAAGAGAGGAGCTGTTCTACACAATATACAAATGTATTTATTGAATGTTTAATGAGTTGATTGCTACTTGAGGATCACAACAAGCATTATATACTTATAAATATTGCTGAGTAAGCTATTTTCTATATATAGAACAGCTTCTTGCTCTTAGTATTCCTAAGCCTTATGAATAAACATTTTAAAAGCTACAGAAAATTTTCAACAAAAATGTTGTTCAAGTAAGCTACAGCTGAACATGGCAAGCTTAATTAAGAACCACAACAACAGCTTCCACAATGAGGAAACAGCATCAAGGCAGAGACATGGAATTGCAGGAAAATGGATCAATGCCCTCTGAATGGAGCAAACTTTGCTTGAAAGAAAAGCTTTCCATCAATAATTCTGGTAAGAATTCCACCCTAAACAAGAGAGCTGCACTCATCTCAAATCAACACCTATGAGCATTTAAATTCCTGATACCCCCAGGGATATAACAACTAAATATGACAACAAGCATAGAGAGAGTAGTTTCAACAGTTGCCTGATGACCAGACAAGAAAGTCTGTCGCGCATCCGCAATATATTGCCAGGGCACACAAATTTTTCATTGACAAACCTTTGCATATTGGCTGCGCAAAGTCCCTATTTGATTACATTTAACATAGTAACAATACAAATTTTGTGGCATGATTTCAGTGCATGATTTCAGACACGCAGTCACATAGTCAAGCATGTGAACTTGCCTGTGCAAGAATCCCAGTTTGGCTTGATGATCACATTAAGCATGATACTCGGAGTAGCATCCTGTTTTATACACCTGTTCTATACTTAAATACATCCTATTCTATACACCAAATAGCATGTACAATTCTGCCTATACAGCGCAAAGCACTTTATTACAGACTCGTAAACATAATTTTTGTTATATTGCCAAGTTGCATATAGATACATATCGATATATTGTTGGTAAGCAAGCCATTCCATGACATCTGAGTTGATTAGTACAACATTAATCAAATATATTTGCTTGAATTATTGAAGTAGCCTAGTATGAAAGATTCCCTGACTACGGATACTTTCATCCGCCAAAAGAATATTCCAAACAAGCCTCTGCTGTTCCTATTTAACTTAATGAATGTCATTTTTGCTTGCCAGTGTGGTACAAACAAAGAACAACAGTTTTTGAGGAAATACACATTGGCACAGGCTGGATACACTTTCAAATGCAGCAATAATTTTGATTATGTGATCCTGATACAAATATTTCCATTAATATACTGTTTCAAAATAATACTTTTGAGACTATGTAATCTAAAGTTTGGAGGAAGGAGTAAGTTTTGGTTATTCTGTTGAATGGAAAGAGGCAAAGCGGTTATCCGGTTAAAAAAAGCTGCCTGTGTAACCTAGTCCCAAATTAAAGTGAACTAAAACTCGAAGCCCTAAACGTTCAAACGTTACACGTGAAATTTACACCATTTGAACCGAGATTACCTGCAGTTTTTAAGTCAAAAAATGGCTGGTGATTTTATAATTCAAATTATAATTAAAGCCGCTGTCTGAGACTTGAACCTAATGAAGTCACATTACCTTAGGCCTATAACAAAACTTAAATAAGACGCCGTTCAACATTTACAATAGGCTAACTGTCACTACCACCATTTCCTAGCATTGAGGAAATTTTTCAATATACTTCAAACCAGCTTTTTCTACTATTTATAACCAAAAAACACTTAAATACATTGCATACAAGCAGGGCAAATTTTGCGCCTGGAACAATCTTGAGCATCACATTTTTTGAAGGCCATTCCGATGTTGATTACAGAACAGCAACTTTTTCTCTCAATGATTTAGTTTAGAAATAGCTTTTTCAAAAATAATAAAGAATATACTTACATTGCTGTCACCCATTGCTTCAAAAATTGGCGATCCTAGACAATTTCTTAGGAAGCAGTACAACCAGGCTCTCCACTTTACTGCAAAGGACAGTTCTGCGTTCTTTACCACGAGGTTCAAGCGCGAGATGAGTTAGCACTATTATTGTTTTGAGAGCTATTTCTTACCTACACATAATGCCAAGAATCCCGCCAAGCTGGATAGTGGAGAAAATAAGCAGAATGAATGCGCAAATTATGATAAAAGCATGAAAATTTATACAAACATATAATCTGAGATGCTGAAAAAGATAGGATCGGGACCCAGTCTGAGAAATGCCTCTAAGTGCTATTTTTAGACCGATTCATGGTTCCCAGACCCTGGAAATGTTTATCTCTTAACTTCGTTGAAAATGAAATCAATTACATTAAAATTGGTATAGATACTAACCATAACACGGTTATATGATTTAGATTCACACCCATCCTCAAAATGCCCCCCAAATGCTATTTAGACCATGTACTCGTCCTCAGACCTCTAACACGCTTATCTCCACAACTCCATTAAAAATAAAATCAATAGCAAGCATCTTGATTTAGATACTAATTATAGCACACCCAAAGAATTTGGATCGACACACATCTTCAAAATGCCCTTGAATGCTATTTTTAGAATGCTTGATTGTTCCTAGACTCCTAAATTGATTATCTCTGACTTTGTTGAAAATGGAATCAGTGACATGAAAGATAGCAGGAATACTAATTATGACAAAGAAGAAATTTAGAATGATTGAATTTACACAAGTGAAGGATTTAAATTGACTTCCATCTTCAAAATGCTACCCAAATGCTGTTTTTAGAATGTGTAATAGTTCCCAGATCTTTAAAGAGTTCTTTTCTGGAATGTCGATAAGAACCAACTAAATATTATTGATTTTGTATAAAATACTTACTTGAAAGCACGATTAACACCCCGATCAAATTAGCTTTGATCACAAATGATTTCGCGCTGGGAAAAATATTCTTCAGAATCCAGTTGGACGGAACACTTACAAAGAGGCCACTCAGTTAGTAATGAGTTGAATCTTCGCAATCACGAGGAGGTAGAAACAAGCCCAATTTTTGGTAGATTTTTTATTATCGTAATTGCTAAATTTCCATGCTTGAATATCGAAAAGCTTTGGGTAGAGTCACCTCATGGGAAAAAAGTAAAAAGGCTTACCGATCCAACATACTTTTACAGGCATCACATGATACTGTATTCCATGTTTCGGTATGCACCATCCGTTTTTGATACAGTTGAATCGTTTGCTGGTCGAGAGAAGACTACTGCATAGCAGGCATTAAAGTATTTCCCTTGTAGAAGTTAATTCTTCAAGCAGGTCTTTAGTGCTGGCCGACAAAGACATTGCATTCAATGGTTCATTAGTTCATTGGTGCCCCAAGCAGTCACCAATCCTGGTGCCCCCTCCTTTTACCAATGACCCAAAGCAAAAAAAAGGGGAACATGATATTATCAGGTTTGTTGATTTTGGTTTTGAAAATAGACAGGTTATAAGAATCTGGGGTTCAAAAAGGGCGTTTCAAAGCGTTTCAAAGTTTACAAGCTCTAGAGAAGGCGAGGAAGATTCAGAGTATTTCTTGGGGAGTCAGGGATAAAAGATCAGATTTCCTGGTAGCAATATGTATGGAAATAACTGTCAAAACGGGATTGGTTAGCAATGGAACGCTGAGAAGAATGAAGTTGCAGAGATTTGTAAAGTTGCAGTTGTTGATGAGATGAATAGTATTTTACTGCAAGGATCTAGGTTTAGTAGAGAAGGCATAGAAAAGATTTAGAAGCCCCTACCCAGGTATGAGAGCAATGCACCAAGAAATCATGGAGTTAGACCTATCAGAAATAATGTTGCCAATCCACCTAATAATAGTACGTTGCAAACCAAAGATATAGTGTTTAGAATGACAAAGTTTTCTGCCAGACAAAATAAAAACCTTAGAGGTGTAGGAGATCACACTGCAATTACCTAAGGAGTCAATAACAGAACACCAAGCATGAGCAGCATGAGCTGGAAAAGCCCAGGTAGATCTTGCTGACCAAACCCTTCACTAATTGGTTACTCAACAAAAGACTAAAGCTCAGACCAGGTGTGTTGGAACTTCTATAACATCCCCTAGACCTGTCAATGTGTGAATAAAAACAGCTTTTCTAGATCAAAAAAGTAAAAATATATCGAAAGTTAGAGATAACTACTTATACTTAGTCCTTATACTTATCTTTAAAAAATTAGAGAAAGAATCAAAGAAAATGATTAATATATTTTTACTAATGCAGTAGAATATCACGGATACCGTACACATTACATCTAAGAAACAGAGTTCACAGAAAAAATATGACTTTGTTAAAGATCATATTGACCAACAGATTCCAGAGTGCAATGCGCTAGCAGTGAGTTACCTGATATCGATCTGTAATAGTTTTGTCGATTTCTTTTACATTTAGAGAACATAACCTGACCAACATTCATTTCTTGTCATCCATTTCTCAACAATGTGATGCTTCCTTTGATTGTGGTGCCCTAAGCAAAGGCTTAGTCTGCTTAATGGTTAACATGACCCTGCATGCATTAAAACAATAATTCGTTACCTAAATTTGCACATTGCTGGCAGTATAAAAAGCAGGGTAAGTGTAAAGTTAAATTAAATCCTTCCCAAGTTTTGATATTTCAGGACTACTGCCATGACCGGGCGAATCAAAGTTTGTTTGGCATTGTTATTATTAGTATCTAAATCAAGTTGCTTGCTATTGATTTTATTTCTAACGGAGCATTTGGGGGCAGTTTGACGATGAGGGTGAATCTTAATCAAATTACCGTGTTATGGTTAGCATTGGTAGTAATTTTCGTGTCATTAATTTCGTTTTCAACACCGTTATAGAGATAATCAATTTAGGGGTCTAGGAACAATCGAGCATTCTTAAAATAGAATTTGGGGGCATTTCTCAGACTAGGTCCCAACCCCATCTTATTCAGCATGTCAAACTTTGTAATTGTGCTTGTTGTGATTTTCATGCTTTTATCACAATTTGTGCAAGATCGTCGATTCAGAGGCCTTGGCTACTACACTAGGAGTCGTGACAGGCGATGATCCGGTTTAGGTTCCCACGAGGTGAACAAGTGCGTTAAAGTGCGTACAAGTGCGTTCATCTCTCTAACCCTTTAATTGAATTAAAGATAACATAAACTACCGAGGCATCCCCTCTTGCAAAACAAAAACGCTTTCATTAGCTGTAAAGAGGCATGCTAAACAAAATTGGCAAATTTGTTGAACCTTTCACGTCTTCGAAAGCTTCAAGTTTTGGAAGATAAAATCGAAAAAAAATTCTGGTCCGTGAAGTTTAAAAAAACGACAGGAACAGGTCCAGGCCACGAATTTGAAAGTGGGTGGCCAAGGCTAGCAAAAGTAGGGGGCCAAGGCTTTTCCCCCTTTTATTGCAGCTTTAAAAATTACTTACTTCACAGAAGAGTGTAGGACCTTCTTTCTTTCTTTCCTTCTTTCTTTCTTTCCTTCTTTCTTTCTTTCCTTCTTTCTTTCTTTCTTTCTTTCTTTCTTTCCTTCTTTCTTTCTTTCTTTCTTTCTTTCTTTCTTTCTTTCTTTCTTTCTTTCCTTCTTTCTTTCTAGGGAAGTAATTGCACATGGATAAACTGCTCAGATTTTCAAAATGAGAAGATGGATACTTTTGCGTACAAAGAATGTGTACTCGTTGAGTGTTGAAGTCGTTCCAAGTAGAGCATCAATTTTTCAAAACTTGACAGGTTTCATGCTGACAGTTTCCATTTAAAATCTTTGACACGACACCTGCCCACCCCTATCTCCCCCTAATTCAACGAATCATTTTTCAACTCCAGCATCAATATCGGTGAACTTTTACAAAAGGCCACGAACTTTACATCTAATGTTGTTATAAACTTACAAACTTTAAAGGCCTCGAGTTTTAAATGCAAGCCCTTCAAGAAACTTCAGCTGCTATAATATGTTGTTAATCTATTAGAAACTTTGAAAATATATGATATATATATTTTCGATATAAAAAGAGCACAACATATACAGACGGAGGACATCAAGATATTATAATAAAATAGTAAATTTATAGTGCAAATCTTTTTTGAAACACAACCAATCACTAAAAAACCTTTTAAACATTAAATTATTCGAATAAATGCTACAAAAATTTGGAGTTATGAAATGCTGTGAAAACTATGGTACAATTTTTGAAAGGCTGAAGATATCACGAAAGGCTAGAAATAGCATGTTTACCCTGATTCCTCCCAACTTTCAATTTTAAAATTTCATTACACTATATCCCTAGGAATGTGGTTTCCAAAGGGTAAATAGCAAAGCATTAGGGAAGCAAATACTCTACTCTGATATGTTTGCGGCACATACCACAGTGGATCATCTCTTATCTATCATAGCTGTTCATAATGTCAGCGGCAGAGTACTGAATGTACGCGCGGTGAGCCTACCATAAAATTCCTGGAGCATACTTCGCAAAAAATTTCTGGTAAAAACGATAAGAACTTGACTGGACAGTCAAAGCCAGTCAAAAGCTATGCTTTAAATTGCATATCAACATTCACGGATGCACCTCAACGAGCTCTGACAATGACTTCATTTATAATGTCTCATTGTAGTTATTGCCAACTTGTATGGATGTTCCAAAATAAGAAATTAAATAAACAAGATTTAAGATAGTGCACTTCAAATCATATGATAGATAGCAAATCGGACTTTGGTCAGTTATCAACTAAAACAAAATCAGTGTCTATTATACACCAGAGGAATTCACTTCTGCTATTGATTTACGAATTTCGTAGTTCTCGTCATTTAATGCTACGTAATAAGATACGCCCACAAGGGCTCAAAGAGAATATGAGAGATGCATTTGTCTAACAATAAAAAAGGACTGTATATATTCAAAAACAACAAGAATCTTGTAATCCCACAAAAGCTAACTATTGAAATAGGTAACAAATAATTAAAATGTAAGAGTGTAAGAGTCTTCGACAATATTAAGGTTTTTGTTAAGAGAAACGTAAAGCACTAACTTCAAGCAACCAGCAATGTTAGACTATATCACATTTAAATAATATTTAAAGCTAGCAGCTCGGTCAGTCCACGCTTTCTTTGTTCGTGTATATATATATTTCGTCAACGCTTAACTCTCTGAGGGATCGTAAAAACGTTCGAATTACAAAATTTTCGATTTACAGGAGTTCTTCGAGAAAAGTCGCAACACGCCCAACAGTTATAAAAAAATTATGCATTCTATTGTCTCTACGGGCACGAGTTAGGCTCAAACTTTGTCGCTTTATTCCGGCACAAAAATTACATAAATTTCGATTTTAAAAAAGTTTAATTAACGGAAATGGTTAGGAACATATGATAAAATCTGGCTATATAAAAATTACCAATAAATTACGCAGAAAATTCGAACTCAAAAGGTTGTTTTTCTCAGAAAACCGAAAAAATTAGCGGAACTACGAAGAGTTTGAATAACAAAGATTTGGATTATAGAGGTTTTTGTAGATTTATTGGGAGATTTCAAGGGACGGTCAAGGGACTGCGAGTTAGACAGAGTTTACTGTACTTACAGGAAATATTATTGCTGTAGAAATCAAATTTAAATTGATTATAAGCTGTATAAAACAAAACATTCATTAGCTACATTTATAAAAGTTTATGAGCGACTGTAAATTAATACAAAATTTAGAAAAAGATGTTTATTTCTTCTTTAATATTTTGAAGATAAAATTCCGTTAATTGACAGATAGAGAGATAGCCTGATAACCAGACCCCAATTTCAAAGGATCTGGTTATCAGGCTAATAAAGGGAGACCTAAATTGGACAACTGGCGCTAGAAATAAGATACCCAAGAGGGTGTGCTGGAGAAATACATCTTTGAAGTGACGATATTTATAGCTAAGGGCTTTTCTACCGGCTTTAAACAATATCCCTTAGTCGCTTTCCTCGGGAGCAACTAGCAGAAAAGCGCCACTGACGGAACAGGTACCCGAATATACACTTGGATGGAGAGAGGCACTATGTGTCTTAAACATTTGCCTAAGAGTCTTGCTCTTAGGTTGTGAGTCATATACCTGATCCATTTCACCACATAGGCCATAAACCTGTATTTTAACAGACTGATTTGTTGAGGAGAGGGAGGAGAAGAACAAATGAACCTGCTGTCCAGCAATTCACCTTATTTGCAACAAATGAGCATGCCCTTTGCATGCAAAACGGGGAATGGCTTCGTTTTAGCAGCAGATGAAACATTACTAGCTGATGTGTGCATTCAACATAAAAAAATACTTCAATGAAATACACTCTATCAACTATGCCGTAGGTCTATTGAAATCTTGGTAAACAAAGGCATTTCCTCAACTGTCTGAGTGAAACTTAATTTTGAGATTTGACGGAGTCCATCATTGTCCATATTTGCCTGTCTTGTCTTTGCTTTTCTCACCAATCGTGCACTAGAATAAAAACAGTTCAATAGAGTCACAAACAAATCCTACAAATGTAGAATGCAATTTGTAGGTCGTTATTTACAAGTTCTTCATTTTCCAGAAGATTAATCATTGGTGATACTTGTACTTTATCCGTGAGAACCGGTTTGATTGTTTTCCAGAACTTTCCATTGTCAATTTTGGGTGTCTAAATTTCTGTAATAAATTAATTTAGATTTTCTTAATGTTGCGACACATTTATCTCTTTGATGCTTATATGCGTTCCAGTTTTCGTTGGTCTTATTCCTGTTGTATATATTCTTTAGCTTAGACCGGTGCATTATTGCTTTTCGCAGTTCTTTGGTCATGAACGGATCATCAGCATGCTGACAAAGTACTTTTGTCAAGTTTGTGTTTATACAATCAGAGGACACTTTTCCTGATAAATCTTTCGTGGTATTAGCAATATCATGTGTAAAGTTTATCGCGCTAAACTTATTATAGTCTCTGTATTGAATTATCCTTGGACCTTTCTTGATATAGCCGCCTTTAAGAACTGTCAGGATCATTGTGTGAAAATCAGAAAGCCCCGTTTCAAATGTTGTCGTGCTTTTAAGGCTGGGTTTTCTATGTGTTTTAATTAAATCTATGCATCGAGGTTTAGATGATTTAAAACTGGTACTTGACAATACTAGCAAAGTTATAGCTATCCATAAAATATTTTACTGTTATTTATTTCGCATTTTAGGTCTCCATTAGCAGAAAGTTTTCAAATTTGTTGCTAAAGGAGTCTAGGCATTTTTCTGTCTCACCGAAGAAAAACTTTTTGGCACTGAGATGGGCGATACATACAGAGGAGTAGCCATTTTTGTTTTTTTCAGATTAATTTCTACAGCTATCGTTTCAATGCCTGGGGGGGAATTGTAATTTAAGAGTTGCTTAACCGGAAGGCCTTCTTTTATGTAAGCTAATAATGCACCTCCAATTTCGTTACGGTCGAATCAAAATTGTCTCATAAAGCCTTCAATAACAAACTGGCTTGTAGGGAAGGTCTCATCAAGTTTTGTTTCAGCTATGGTGAATACATCAACTCTACCTCCTGATATAATAGGCTTAAAAAGTCCAATCTTGTTTCTGATAGAATTTATATTAATATGACCTAGTATTAGACCACTTTTGTTTGTGAGCCGTAAATCATTTAGTTTCTTGTATTTGTTGTCAGTCACGTTATTAGAATGGGGTCTTACATGGCTATTCTTGTTAAGGACCTTATTTAACGTGTTAGTCCTTTCAGGAACAGTTACTTCTTCTATTAAATTTTTACCGACATTTTTTTGCACAAAATGCTTTAATGGAAGTATATCTTAGCGTGAGGCATTATTTCTCCCTCAAAAAGATTTTAGCTTCCTTATGATGTTTCTTGCAAGTTGGGAATTTCCTCGCTGATTTAGGTGACTTCCCAAGTGCTCCATCTGGATTGTATTTTGTCGCAAGATGTCGCATCCGACTTGATTGAGCATGCCATTCAATATCTTTCCCTTTTTGTCAAGATCTAATTTGTCCTTTCGCAGTATAATTTGAGAAATTATAATATGATACTGTGGTAGATTTGCATGTATAAATGAATTCAGCTTTTTAAGCCTCTTAGGTATTTCTTCAGATGTTTTTTTTAATATCATTAGTCCCAATTACTAAAATTATCTTCTCAGGATTTTCTCTGAGTAATGGTTTTAGATAATCAAACAAGTCATCAGTGGTTGCACCAGGGAAGCTTCTAACTCTCATATTGAAACGGCGACTAAGGGTTCGCTGGTCTATATTTGATATCATACTATCCACGGCAATGAGAACTGTATTATTACATTTTTCGGCATTTGATTCTCTGTCGAGCTTGAATGTCATCCCATTATTGTGAATCTCTTTGCTATTGGCTGAAGTTTTCTCACGTTTAGAGTTTGTGTGATAATTTGCTTTTTGTTGGACTTTGTTTGTTTCGTATTTCTGTCGCCTTTTATTTACACATTGTATTCGTTGGGAGTTGTTGGTTGAGCACTGTTTATGTCGAGGGTCATTGTTGCTCTTCTGTCGTGTGACTGTGGTTTAAAGCACAGTGCATGTTCTCGTGGGCTCTTTGTATTAATACAGTTTGGTTTGTTTGCATCTGTTTTTTTATAGGTTTTGTTGTTCCTTGTGACATTATCTTGATGGCTTTTGTTTCTCTTCAGCTTGCTATTTTCAATTCTAAGTTGACAATTTTCCTCCATTAATGTATCATTTTTTTCCTCAGTAATTCGATGGAAGTATGCAAGTAATCCTGAATATCATCGGCCAATTTAGTGACGATATCTAAAAACGCCATAAAGTCAGTTTTTTGAAAATCTGATTGTGATTGAGAGGCTTTTCGGGGGCTGGTTTCCATGCAAGCAATTGGGGAGCCTTTTGGTGTAATTAAGCTGGTCAAGTTTTGCGAAAAGATTTCGCCAAGGTTATCCAATTCATCTTCCAATGCGAAATAAAACTGCTCACCTTTGGCTGTTAGGTTTACTTGTATTGTACCAGATTCCATCAAAAGTGCAGTGTGGTCCATTATGCGTTCCTTGCTTAGGCCAGTCAAAGTAGCAGCATGTTTGGCAACGTTTTCAGAGTGTGGGCGATTTAGTCCTCCTTACGTATCTTGATGATTAATTTAAGGATGAGTAATTTCATTGTAAATTCATCCAATTTTTCTTTAGTAACTTGCTCTATACAGCCGATACCAAAAGACTGATTTTAAACATTATACGTTTTTTCTTCCCTTGACGCTTTTTCTTTTCAAAACTGGCAATACATATATTTATCATCAATTATGTAAGCTCTTTTTGACAAAAACAACTTTTATCCGATTGAATCCTTCATAAAAACATCAAACTTGTATCAATCGCGATCTTCTTCTACGAAAAAATTTATTGAAGCTTTTTCGAAAAAGTGACTCATATATACTTACTTTTTATCATTGTAAGGATCACTTCTAAAATGCTTCTGCTGGTTCATAGTGTACCGGCCGAATTCTAGCGGTGGTCTAATTATTTTAAGACCTTTGGCATCCACCCTAGAAAAATGAATGACATTTCAGAACATCACAATTTTTTTACTATAATTCAAAATCCAATTCTGTCTAATTCTGTAGAAGGAGACTTGGAATGAAGGCAACATCATATAATGCTGCCACTCATGGGCACACAACATATTCGAACATTAAACAATAGAAGGTGCTTCAGAACATGTCCTTATGACAATTCAGCAAAATAAAGCTTTCATTAAAGTTTCACTAAAGGTTATATTGCACTGAAGACTTGAAAAGATTACAATACACCAACAAATACGGGCTGAAATGTTTGAAATGAAAATGTGGAATGACGTTTTTCTTGGGAAAGACAGTTTCAAGGATCACAATAAAAACGATTTCTACTGAACGGGCTGCTAAGGAAGGAGGAGATAAATAACGGAACAGCACATGATACATGTTGCCTTTCTCCCCAAAGCCTGACATGCCTGTATCGTAGCTAGGAATGGTTCTCTTCTAACCGGAAATTGTGTTTCTCTTTACGTCTGCATAACATAACAGTATCAAAGCCATGGATAAAAATTGCAACAGTCCAGAAAACTTTGCAGCTCAACGGCTATGAGACGGAGGCAGCTTATAGAACGATGCAGTAGTTGACTGGGAGTAGTTTTGAGGAAGATCAAAGCAAAACTTTGCAAGAGTGTGTGAGAGAGAGAAATTTACAGTTGTAATTGAATTTTTCCAATTTTTAGACAAAGACCAAACTATTGATGATTTGACTCAAATTCCCTTTCTAAAAACAGGTTCTTCAAAAGGTACACAAATTTTTCGAACAGGGCAGAACTGCATTTAGAGGAAGGTAGAGGCCATTCTCTAAACTCTAAAAACTAGTGCAGCAAACCTGAGGTAAAGGTCATCATCTTCCGCACCCCAGCCCCAAAACATGTTTGTAAAGCCATTGATCTTTTCATAATGCTCCCTTGTGAATAATTCAATTCCACCAAAATGTCCTGGAGCAAACAGTCTGGAAACAAAATAAATAACTTCATATATTAATCTATGCGTTGTTGGGACAATGTTATCAAACTAGAAAATAAATCTTTATAAATATAAATATCTGGAACGTAAATTGAAACAAATTGTTGATGAAATGAACTAAAAATAATGTTAACGGAAATGATGAGCGCATATTCTGCCAACTTACTTACCAAACTTTGATTAAAGTTGCCAGACCCCTCGCGGTATTCAATAATGGAAATTTAAATTTCAAATATATTGGAAACGAAAGTATGCATTGATTAAAATGTAAAAGCTCAAATGCTTAAAAAAGTATCTCTTCCTAGGATTTAATATTCTTTTCAAAAGACATCAGCAAAAAAATCAAAATCACCTGATTGGAAACAAAAAAAAATCGCATTCTCAAAAACATTAAGTTGACTTTTCATCAATAAAAAAATTAATGACAGATCGTGACCGCCAACCACGAAGGGCAAAGCCAACAGCAGCGTTAGTTGCAAAACAAGGTTTCACGAAATAGCAAAAAAGATGCTTTTTTGAAACGCCCAGATATAGACGAATGTTTTAAAAAGCAGTCGAGATTCTATGTTAAAAAGCGTTTTCTTGTCAATTGTTGACACAGGTATTGTCCTTCAGCACCTTGCAAATGATCTCAAACCTTTTTGATTACAACATTTTCCTTTCGATCATCGCGCCATCATTCGGGAAACTTAAAGTCACTACTGCAATTACCTGTAATTTAGAGTGTTTACAGCCGGTGCCAAATGGACAGGCGATGCAGCACAGCCGTGATAATTTTTATCATTCTCCAACAGTAGATCGACATCATGGAAGATATAACAATCAAATTCTCCAAACTGCAGTGTGCTATTGAAACCTATATTATAAATGGCACCTTTGTTGAACGCTGTTTTTCCAGTCTGAAAGTGAATGATAGGAGAAGTTAAGTTGAGAACACTGTCTGATTGCTTGGTATACTCATATTGCTACAAAAGCACCAAGCTCCAATGATGTTGTATTCTGATTCGACGAATCAGCTGAGCTCTCGCGAAATTTCTGCAATGTTTAGGACAGATACAACATAACATATTTAACAAAAAAAGAACATTATTTAATGGTGATTACATAGATGATCTACGCAAAAATACTATTAACCGGTCTATTGCGGCTTGCTTCATACAACATAGGTAGAGCTATATATGATTCGCTATGTTGAATAGAACGATTCCAAGGTTACCTTTTGCAAAAAGTCTATTAAGCACCAATTCTTTAATTGCGCATGCGTGTTGCATAATGGTCTTAATAGAGCTAAACCACTGTCTGGTACGATCCCTTGCAAGCGCAAATGGCTTGGATCGGATTCCGAGTAAGCGAGTGCTTCTGATCAGATCTGGACACTTTGGATCCATTTAGATCCGATCTGATCCGAAGTCTCGTTTAGCAAGGTAGTATTGAATTAATTTAGGATGATACTGACGCGCGGTTTTGTTGAATACCTGTTCAATGACGAACATCCTGTACTCCAATAACTGGCGTTGAAGAATCGGTGTCATGTGATAGAGGAACATCTTCAGCTGCAACTCTCTGTTTCTGTACGGTAACAAAAACGCTACCTGGAAATATTAAAAGACTCCCGTATTCAGAGGATCCCATTAAATTGAATAACAATAATTCGAAACATTTATAGTGACAATATGAACTTATTTTATGGGAAATAAAGTATTAAACTCGCATATTGTGGAATGACAGCGATAATTCTAGGAATCAATCGACAGTACCAGAATTCTAATCTGAAGAGCTTAAAAGGAAGTGAGAAAATAAGTTTTAAGTTGGAGTGGCACTATCCCAGGGATTCTCATAGGGCAGCAGAAATACACTGAACGTAGAAGAAAAGGCTGACGATAGAACTGAAGTTACAATGACTGGAAAAAGCCTGACTTGGAAATGCCTCACTGTAAAAAGTCGGACTGGAAGAAGGCTGACTTGGAAATGCCTGACTGTGAAAAGTCGGACTGGAAGAAAGCTGACTGGAAAAAGACTGCTCGGAAAATGGCTGGAGACAATGGAATTGCATTAAAAAAGACGGCTCAATATAACACAATGAAACAGGATACCATTTCCAAAAAAATGTTAGTTGTATGCCAAAGTCTGACCAAGTAAAAGAACATGCTCACCTTGTATTTTGGTTTGCAATGTTCGGGACGCCACCAGCCTCCCAGATGCACTTTTCCTCCGTTTTTTATGGAGAGATTGTCAATATTAGCAGCTTCTTGCACCATTTTGTTAATATCAACACGCAAGGAACCAACTGTAAATAGAACCGGCAAGTTAAGAAAGTTTCCACAAAAGAGAGAAATCATGGCATTAAGCCGTAATGAAAAATGGCATTCTCCACAAGTGTGATGCAACTGTTAGCCCTTTTAATCAACCAATCACATCATCGTATTTTCACGAATCAATGTATGTACAAGCATTTACTGCGTAACAGGCGCTGTAGATGGCATGTATCTCATAAGCAGGCAGATTTAATTCATTCAGAACATATGTTACCTATATTTTTCTCGTCGTCTAGATGAATTTCGTCTTACATGGTTAATTCATATTCATTTTGTAGTAAATAAAAAATAAAACATAACCAAGCCTTGTCTACACAAAGCCAGTATTCTGAGTGAAACGTATGGTGAATATCGGTTATGTTTGGCAAAAACTTCAAGCAAAAAAATTCAACCCAAAAGACAAGACTAACAATGAAAATATCGTTAGGAAACACAATCAACACATACAACACTGCCAGACTTTCGACCATCGTAGATCAGCATCAGACTTTTTCATAAATTACTGATCAAAATTACGGGAATATAATGTTAGTTCTTGCATTTTAATGATATCTTAAACAATTGAACTATTTTGCAATTCTAAGCAAATGAAAAAAATACAATAAAAAAAGCCACATCAAAATTTTAATATATTTAAGCAATGGAATACTTTCTTGCTTCACAATGGTACAATTAAATGAATATTGGTTAAAGCTTTCAAAATTCTTAAATCAGTTCATTATAAGAACCTTTAATAGATTTAACTTACAATAATTAAAACAAAATTTAAAAGGTAAAGTGGATCATTTAGTTACTGCAAATCTATTGGCAACATTTAGTTACTGCAAATCTATTGGCAAAAAGAAATGGGGGTTGACTTACCCAGCTTTTCGCCATTAACAGGACAAAAGCTTTTGTCAAATGACGAAAGATTAGAGGAAGCAGATGACGAAACTGACGCTGCTGCTGTTGTTGTTGCTGCTGCTGCTGCTGTTGTTGTTGTCGAGTGTAATTGAATCTGCAGATCTGGTAATTCAGTTACGTAAATTCTTTTATGGGTACTGTGTGTGTCACTGTATAAATTAATAGCAATCATCCCAAGAACATACAGCAAACAGACAAAAGTAATGGCTAAAGACAATCGATTTTGCCTAAACGAGATCGTTTTTCTGATCGACAGCATACTGACTGGGGGATCCGGTGCAAGATTCAACAGGATTAAAAACGTTGGAGAGCAACGGAAAATTGACAAAGCATCTCCAAGTAGTCCTGGACAACAGCAGCTTGCAACTGATTTGAATAACTTCTAGAAGAACAAAAAATACATTGACAAACACAAAGGCGCAAAATTTGACACAGTTATTAGGTTTAACTAACCCCCCTGCGAAGCCCGTTACGCAGGCAGCCAGTGGCCCTGCGGTAGGGTATTAAGATTAGCCTCGGAAAAGGCAAGATGTGTATAATACCCTACCGTAGGGCTACTGGCTGCTCGCGAAGCGGGCTTCGTAGGGGGACCAGTCTTCCGTTAATTGAAAAAGAAACTATGGCAATTCGATTTAGAAATGCCTTAGTCAAATTAATTTGACATTTTGCGAAGAGCTTACTAGATAGTTCCCTTGATAAGCAAAGACACAGGTGACCTACCCTAATTTTTTACAAGTACAACAAGCAAGAATTCTATTCTAAGAAAATGTGCAAATGCTAGCGATTCATAGAATTGTTGTGGAGCAACAAGAGAATCTAGAAGCAATTCTTTCTCAAAGGCCATTGTGATTATTTAAGTAAATGCATGATAATGCTTACTTTTCGTGGTTTCTGCTACCCTAGGTTCCAGAGTGTCTAATAGAAGTTGCGAAATAAGATTGCTTTCCTCCCCCGCTATTTCTCGCGCCACTTGTGCTCCAGAAACCCCTAATAAACACTAGAAATCCAGGGAAGGTTTCTGCCAGCGGCCTAAAACTATTTTTTGAAGCTTTAGCAGGTAAGCAAATTTTTTGGGTGATCAGCTGGTTCCGGAAATGGTCGTTCAACTTCAGGTAAATCATTCGTGGACAACCACACCAAAACGGCAAACATAAGGTTGACCAAACAAACTGGACCGTCGCTTTGTGACAGTGAAAATTTTCAGATTTCTTAAATTAAGTGATTACAGTACCCCTTTAAAAGTTAAGTATACAAAATATAACTGAAAACAAAAGCAAAGAATTTTTGTCATCTAGGGATATTTAGTTGGCCGTTTCAATTAAAGAAAGGATGGCTCACAAATGAGCACAATAGCTAGGCACTATCCTGAACAATGTTGCCAACCTTGCAATGAAAATAATTAAAAAATATTTTGTCAAAAGGCGATACAAAATACCTGGAGAATAACATCAATCTGAAATTAGATTGTTACTGAAAGAATACCTTTTTGGCGTAAGGGAGTAGCTGAAATAGAGTTTCGGTCAGGATCAGTGTCCTGAAGGTACGCTAGTGCATTCTGGGAGAGACACGCATTACGGTCTGTTCTCACGCTCATACGCATCAAACTAGAATTTTTCACGCATTTTACAATAAAGTTTTGGTTTATTCAATTTATTAAGCGTTCTTCTGAATCCTAGCGAAATCCTCTTTCCTTTAAAGGCCTAGCTACAGAAGACAAAATGACTAGATAAAAGCGAATCTCCACAGGTTAAGTGGTGCCATATTTATCGGAGATCATCGTTTCTTGCCCACCTAAACCAAAGGCTAGCTCTATTTCAACTAAGAAACCAAGCAGTTTTTTGATGAAATGTACAGAGGACAATGACCTCCCTTTAATAGCGTAAAGGAAGGGTTGGAAGCATCCAATAATTGATGAATAGTTACGACAACCTGCAAGACGTTTTTGTAGTAGCGGGTTTAACTGGTGTTTACCCGAAGTACGCGTTGCCGAAGAACTAGAAGGCGTTGCGAACAAAGAAATGTTCTAAGGGTCACGCCCCCATCATATTAGGATTAATTCCGGATCTGCAGATCACATACTCTGGGTACCAGAGCCTAAAAAATTGGGAAGGAATCTCCATTTTCCTCCTGATTTCTTTGGCTCCGGTTAGAGATTGCATAGAGCCTTAAGAACAAATTAAGAACAAGCTGAGGCTGAGCTACTGTAAAATGAAATTTTGAACAACGTTTTATCTCAAAAACGAGGATTTTCAGCCATGTGTGGGTGCTTTTTCGGTGAATATTAAAACAATTAAGTTTGTCTCTACGCACTTTGTTGGCAAAAGAGGCCTGAACACCTCCCCAGAACGAAAAGCTAGAAATCGCACTGCTTATACCCTATAAATTTAAGAACAAATTAAGAACAATCCAGCCTCAGATTTTCAGAAAAGTTAAGAACAATCATCTGAACTCAAATTTACTGGTTCTTATAAAGAAAAGAGTGTATGTCAGGTAAACACAGTAATGAACACCGAAACTTTTAAAAAAGTCTAGTAAAGGCACGGAAGAGCAATTTTGAAATCAAATACCTGCTGTGGTTGCAAAAGGCCATTTACAGAACAGCAACACCAGTTTATGGAATGAGGCTCTTTTCCGCAGCGAATGTTTTGACAGGCGTCATTAAAATGTTTTCCAGTCTACGAAATCATGAACAATTTTATTCTCAGAAATGTTATACTTTGCGAAGAATTTTAGCTATCCTTTTAGCTATAGTTTTAGCTAACAAAACCAAGTCTAAAAACAAGGTCGTTGGTGAACCATACATCAAGAGCATTAATAATGCATAACATTAAGAATTTTTAATTTGTTTAACAATGCCACAAACTGGAACGCATGCCAGCTGTATAAACAGGTAAAAGAGGTTTGACGGCATAAATGACATATCCTTGGGGGACGCATTGAATAAAGTATTTTTAATCTTATTTTGTTTACGTAGTTTTTTGTATATTATGTAGGTTCTTAGGAAATCCCCCTGTGTCTCGAATGTTCCGTCGTCGCGACACATCACCATGCAGCATACAACAAAAATTTCGTCAGATGAATTTTCGGTGGATGAACTTTGTCGAAAAAATTGCGGAAAAATTTTCAGAATTTCGTCGTGACAAAATTTTGTCGTGGATTTTTAACACAGAGATAGCAACATATTACCAAAATCGTAAGTGACAATCCCATACAGGTTGCTTTATATTCAATCCTATAGGTACCGACTTCGTGGAGACACAGTCACGGGGGCTTGATTGAGCACCGTTCGGAATTTGGCTTAGGCCCCCCCCCCCCCAGACAGCTTTTTCACACAAAACCTCATGCCAGGAAAGCCAAATGTCCTCAGTTTGTGCAAAGGTGGAATCCAAAGAGATACTTTTAGCATCCAACGAGTCTCTACCCTATATTTATAGGCATGAACGTTCATAAACAGAGTATAATTAGAAGACAAGTATTAGTGTGTATAAATGTAAATCCTCGAATTGCCCCCCTCGAAAAAGCACCCTAGAACTACAAATTGTCAATAAGCCCCCCTCCCTAGAGCAAGACCCCACTGCTACCATAAATTCTCAAGTTGGACCTCACAATTTGATGATTTTCCCCATCTGAGGTTGCCTATGGCGTTTTATTGAATTACCACAACAAATTCATACTAAAATAAACGAGGTCTTTTAATAATGTCAACAATAATTCTATAAGCCCCCCTCGTATAAGCCCCCCCTCGAATAAACCTCCATCCAAAAATAGCAAAAATAAATAAGCCCCCAGGGGTCTAATTCAAGGATTTACGGTAGGTACAAGATTTGGAAAGCATAAGACCATCTCCAAAAAAAAGTTGGTCTCGAAATTGTGTTCCCCATAGAGTTCAAATTAGGTTGAAAAGTGCAAATACCTTGAACAAATGAAAGAAATAGTACAGTTAAGTATAAAGAGGCAGAGGTGGAATCCTTTGCAACCGGCGACAAAACAGTTACAACAGTAGCGTAGCCAGATTGGTAAGATTTGAGGGAAAGGGGTTGGGCAAAGGCAAGTTGAGCAGGAAACATTGGGGTACCCACTCTTTTGGACCCAAGGTATAGGTGGCGTCCGCCCCTCGTTACGCCACTGAGTTAGAACTATTTTTATTGAACGATGGTGAAAACGAGGTTAGTTCAAGAACCGACAGTGATAATGATAATGATAATGATAATGCCTACGATAAAGATAATTATTAACATTATGTAAATTTTTTAACAAAATTTCCCTAAAAGAAAACAGACATATTAAGAAAGCTCTTTGTAGATCTTTTTCCGTGATTTTTCAATATCCCCAACGCTCTAAATTTTTCTGGGTAAGGAAAATGACGTCATTTAATCATAAAACAGAAAAGGGACCAATTTTACTTAGGTAGGTTAAGTCTTTGCGAGCTTTTAGTTGCTCTTGTCGCAATAAACAAGTACACGAAAGTTAGCACCTGAGGCGGCGTCATGGTTGTTGCAGAAGGTGAGGATGTTTTCGAATTTTGACGATTCCAGTTCGCTGGAAAATGTCTCATTGGATCAATTTTCTACCTTTACAATGCAACCTTACTCTCAGAATTAATATCCATAGGCGGAACGCTATTCTCGTTATTCGCGCACCCAACCCTGAAACATTGAAATGTGGCGTTTGGTTTGACTGGCTTCGGGTTGCCATTTAGCAGCTAAAATATCAACGTGCCAAGGAGTGAAGAGGATCAAATAGAAATGAAAATAAAAACAATCAAATATACCAATGAGCCGAGATTGCCAAGTAAACACCAAAAATGCCGAATCTGCCGAGTTAAAAAAGATTCAGAACTCCAGTCAGGGTCAAAGAGGGTAGCAAATTCCCCCTCTAATGGTAGTCTTTATTGACAATAACCCTCAAATGGTACCATAAAGAACCGAAATCAAGCCATTGGTAGCATCCATTTATTTGTGCTCATCTGGTCCTACTTTGACAGATTTCTTTTCCATTGACTGTTATTGATTTGGGAAAGATAAGATTTTGTTTATTTTCTATTATAGATCGCAGACGTACGGCGGCCAATAACTGCCACGCACTTAAATTAAACCGATTCACATTGAAACAAAGAGATTATTGGGGGTATTTCTAGAAATAGTAGGATTGATTTAATTTTTAAACATCACTTTTTCGTATTTTCGTACTTAAATAAAAATTCCAGGTGATATGAAAGTCTCCAAAACTTAGACAAAAATGTGCAATTTGTGAAAACAGCCCTTCCGGTTTTCCTTTAATAACTTTTCGCAGAAAAATGATAAAAATATCATTTCAAGTTCAATCAATTGAGAAAGGTCTGATACACTGATTTTTATAGTCTGCAAGAGGTTAAAAGTATTCCTAGAACATTTTCAGCCAGTGGCGTACCCATGGCTGCAGCAGTGGAGGGGGGGGGGGGTCTGGGCGGAGGCCTCAGAAACTCGCAAATGCGGGGAAACGCCTTTTTTTGCAAAATTTGTCCCCATTATTTGATTCATTTTAGCTACGGTAAATAGCAAAGTATTCGGTATACAATTGTCGCATTCATGTTAATCCATCCATTTGTTTGCCTTTAATTTGTGATGATGAAATGAAATGAATGAAAGTGAATATAATTGCCATGAAGAAGTTTTTGTTCTGCAACTAACAGTTTACCTACCTCCACCACCCCCCCCCCATGAGTTTTAAATCGTTTTTGGACAAATCTCGAGGACCATATTTTAGAAAAGTGGGGGTTCGGACCCCCTATCCCCCCTTGGGTACACCGCTGTTTTCACTTTTCAGTCTCTGATCTGCTTTCATCGCCCCAGACAGTGTGGCCAGTATTTTCACCGCAAAATCTCGATTTTCCCAAAACCGCTCTTCAGTTCTTCTTTAATAACTTTTTTAAATCTCGGGATTTTGGTCCAAACAGCCGTTTAATCTCTTTCTCCATACCTGCTACACTGTTTTCGGTTTTTGTACATTGTTATGATTTTATTTTGCGTCGAAAGTAGGGGAATTTTTCCAAAGTGCGAAATTCGCCACAAACCACGATGTAGACTTGAGTTTATAAGTCGTAAAATTCTTGCAAAGCAGCAGAACGCAGAACAAAAACAGAACAAGAACCGTGAAAATGGGATATTCAGCCTAAATTTTTAGACGATTGCGCAAGAAAAAAATCACCTCAACATATATAATTGAAATCAGCAAATTTTGCTTATAAAAAGTGCGTCTTTATCAAATTTCATTTCAAAGGCACTTTAAAGGATACGTGTAAACAGCTAACCGTCATCCCCTTCCTTCACCCTTCAGGTGAAAACGGAAGATTTTACGACCACGCGACCCAGCGAGCAGAAAATTTTCACGACCATGCTTTTTAGATTAGCTTAAAATACATTCAGAATATTTCTTGCAGGTATTTTCCTGCAATCGTTTAAAACATTTTGTTATTGTTAAGGCATGCTCTTATTACGTTTGATTAATTCAGTCTTAAAATTGAATTCATTACTTTATATGGCCCCATAGACCTCGGCGTATTCCTTGGAAATTAAGCAACTAAAGGATTTGTCGGATTTTTCATTTTTTTTTTTACTCTTTTTATTTCATTCTTTTTAGGACTGCCTTTTACCAAACAACTATTTTCTTTTGAACTTAAACCTTTCTTATGCTTCTCTTTGAGCTACAGTTCACAAGGTCATTTGAGTCAAAATTTCAATTTTCACAAATGATTCAAATTTTTTCCGATTAACCTAGCTTTCTACTAACAGAATAAAAGTACTAAAATAAAAGTACTACAAGCACATTCCTTTCTGTATAATCTACAGGCAAACTGGAAAAACCAGACCCTATGACCCTAGGACCTCTATGACCATTAACTACGAAGAACAAACCAAGAGCCATGCTTTTCAATGCTATCATGTTGACAGCTTTGAAAGCATTCCGACCTTGGCTCAAACATTTAACATTATCATTTAACAATCGTCTTTCTCCTGTCCTTTTATGATTTCCAGGATTATCAAATCAAATCAGACTTTCGTTGAGCCATTTGTTTTCAAATTCAAAGTAAAGAAAAAAAAGTTATCCCCCAGTGTCACACGTTCAGCCTGATCACCTGTCACACGTTCAGCCACTCATGAATTGTTCAGAATCACAACAGGAAGCTCGCGGTTCCATCGAAGAAGCCACTAGGCCAATGAAAGTGCTCCTGATCAAAAATCCCGGTGAATGAAAATTGTGCAAGCTTTTGTTTGGGTTTAAACAAATATTCGTTTTTGGAAGATTTTTGTTTAAACTAAAAAACCGACCGAGGGAATGACCAAGAAAGTTGAGGTGCAGGAAAAAAAGAAGGGTTGAAGGTCTAATGACCACTTTTTCGTTTACATTCCGCTTACTTTTAAAATATTCTCCTAGCTTTTAAAAACAAAATGAAACAGCGATAATTAGCAAAGAGTTCAAGCAATGTCGTCAGCAAAATAATTTCGCGCGTTTTTTGAAGATAAACAAACCAAAACTCCTTCATATTTATTTTTATCATTGCACAGTCAGAATTCATTAAAATATCAAATCGTTCCATAAGGGGCGACGCTACTCTATGTCCGGCGTGAGCTTCACATGGGTCCACACTGGATCAGTGGAAATGAATATCTATGATATGGTTTGAGAATTTTGGTGTACTTTGTTGTGGTTTTACCATACTTTTTATATTTCGCAGTATTTCGCAGTATTTTGCAGTATTTCGCAGTATTTCGTTTCGTTTCGATTCGTTGATTAGAACAAGCCCTACCTTGAGTAAAATGCCAACAGTCGAAGATGTTTACTATTGATCTCCACAAAACAAGCTTTCGCTTAAACGGTGTGATCTGCTGAGCAACAAATTCTGCTTGAGCTTCCTCGTAGGATCTTCTTCAGTCCTAATGATTACCATGAGATCGGGATACGGGAAACCGGATAGTCCGTTTGAAAATTTGTGCTTTCGTTGGACACCCACTGTCAACCAACCAAGAAGCATCTGTATTTTATATTTCTATGGCATTTTGCTGGTCCGCAATTTACAATGCGACATTCGTTTACACATTCTGAGGCTTTTGGTTTGGTGTAGCAAAAGCAGCAGGGGCGGATTCAGGGTGTCGCACAGGTCGCACGGATAACCGTCAGATTTTCAGAATTTACACTTACGTTCAGAAGTATTGGGACGAATTCGATAAACGAATTATGGCGTTCTGTTGGATTCGGTTTTGCAACGGAAACTTTTTCAGATTTGGGCAGTCTTTCTACAAATAATCTAGGCCTAAGTTTCCCCAAAATGGAATAAAAAGTTAACAAAATGCTTCAACTTATGAAGCATAACCAAGAAAACACAGGATTTTCTCGATTTTCCTGATTATAACAGCAAAATATACAGAAGGGTTGAATGGCCTAACAATATCAAAGTCACATGACCTTCCAAAAATTTTAGAGATGTCCAAACAAATACAACTTTTTAATTTCACGTTTGCATAACAAAAAAATTATAAAAGAAATTATAAAATCAAACTTTTAAGCTTCAAAAAAAGTTATCTTCATCGACGAAAATGCTACAATTTTATTAAACTATTGCATATATTCAAGCTACTTTTAAAATTGCGTAACATTAAAGGAGAAGCCATTGTACTCATCGTCGATGATTAATTTTTGCTTTGAGAGAGCATTTTCTTTATATAACGCTGGAAAATTTGTATTTTTCATGACTTTTATAGCCATGTTTTTGCTTATGTTCCATTATTTAGCTTCTTTTTACATGACAACATGGTGTCATGTAAAAATCTATTACTTCGCAGTTCCCCCAGTAAAGACCTGTCGTCCCTCGGTGCGTAAACTTCTTCGGTCTGCCAACCCTTGGTAAATTTTTTACTGTTCTTGTACGGGGAAACTTTTTACACACCAGAAAAGCTGCACTCAACGAGCAGCCGAAAATTGATGCAATATCGCAAAATCCATTTGCTTTATTTTAGTAGAAAGCAATTTGTAAGCGCTTCTCTTAACTCAGTTTTTGAGTTTTCAGAGCTTCCATGTTTTCGTCTCGAGACCTATATAAATTTTATGGTCGATGTATTTTTAATTTTTTGGCGTACATAAAAGGCTTCAAGATATCAACACGTCGTGTGAAAGTTTCATGGAAATAGCTGCCGTATCTTTTAAATGAGAAAGATTTTAAAAAGTCTTTCCAAATTTGTTGCATAGAATGTCTTCGAAGTTTCGAAGGGTGTCCCCAATACTTTTTGAACGTAAGTGTAGTTTTAGTCTACAGTCATTGCAATAAGGCAATCATGTTTACCACAATCTTTTATTTTCCTCCTTTCAGATAATACATTTTGCTCTCTTTACACAACAAACACAGGACCGAGCTTGGTCGATCTCACACACAAGTTATTCGAGTACAAATATGCGAGTTTTAGGTAGTTTTTCCAGTCGAATCTTTGCTTGGAGTGCTGTGTCGATTTTGATCAGTTTCTCTGAAAATTTTACGGGAAATCGAAAAATATTGCAGGTGCGTATGGCTTAATAATACTTTTCTCAGATTCTTTAGGAACTGAAACAAAGTTCAATAGTGTGGCTTTATTTTTTTGTAATTGGTTATTGCATTACAAAACCTGCTTTTGTTACACCAAACCAAAACCCTCCGAATGTGTAAACGAGAACGCGAAATGTCTAGTCGAATGTGAAAACGAATGTCGCATTGTAAATTGCGGACCCTGTTTATCAAGATTGCGCCTGCTCAATTTCACGATTTTCTGTGTCAGTAAATAAAGAATGCGCAGTTGTGCGATTCTTTAAGTATTGGCAATCTCAAATTAAATTCAAATCCCATGCAATTTGCATAGGCATTAAGCTGTATTCAAGGACATGATTGTATCGAATGTCCGATTACAAAAGCAGTTTTATTTGTCCCAATAGCTTTCATCATTCAAATTGTTTTCAAACTTTGCAAATAGTAATATTTTGTTAAAACGAGGAACAAGCGGAATAACCCAGGAACAAGCAGAACAACCCAGTAACAAGCGGAAATGTGAATTGATTGTTTAGTTAATAACACGTGGTGGCGTTTATAATCCAACTCTCTGAAGTTCGTTTGGGCTAGCACGTGCACTATCAAGATTAAGTGTGAGAAGGAAGAACCGCAGGATAGGCTGTGCGCCGGATTCTGTGAATCTTGCAATGAGATTTTAAAATGAAAGGTATACAGGAACAAAGCAATACGACGACGAGAATCCAATGTCACGAAATAAATTTTCAAAATAAATTAAATTTAAGAGTATACTAATATTTCGCCCCGGCATACAGGGCTTCATCAGAGTAAAAGGTGCCGTCAAATACTTTTGTTATGTAATTTTCTGGTAGTTGGCAACCATTTTCCTTTTCACACACGGCAGGTGTAAAACGCAGGTTAAATCGTGCGGGTCCAAATGAATGGCCATGGGCAAAAGCTTTCAGGCTTACAGCCTATTGACGTTGCTGTTTTGACTTTGTGTTCTATAAAAGTTTTCACCCACTAATGTGTAAGCATCGATAAATCCATTCAAACACCAAGAACAAATAAATTTGAAATATCGTCAAATCATTGTATGCTTCCCGATGCTTCCTTTTCAATTGCTGCTGGAGCTAGTTATTGTGTGCGACGGAAATTCCCAACATATACACACTTTTTTATAAGAACCAGTAAATTTAATTTCAGGCTGAATGTTCTTAATTTTTTCGAAAATCTGAGGCTGGATTGTTCTTAACTTTTCTTAAATTTAGAGGGTGTAAGCAGTGCGATTGCTAGCTTTTTCGCTCTAAGGAGGTGTTCAGGTCTCATTTGCCAACAAAGTAAGCTTTAAGATTATAAGCTTTTTCAATAACAACAATCTTCGAACAGACGCCATTTTCTTTTGCATTATTCGCGGTGAGTTCGCACAAGAAATTCTGCCAGTAGAAATTAAACTTCGAATTCGCAGGCGAAAAAATTCGTGGCGAAAAATTCGCTTCGCGCGGAAAATTCGTCTTGTGTAAATCAGGCTTTACGGATCATGGTGCTCGGTGTCAGTTTGTAGTAATCGGTAAAATTTATGGCTTCTGTTTTTAAAAAATTGTTTTTATAAAAAGTGTTATTATCTTAGCCAACGTTTGCCTACTGCTCCTGTATTCTCTACCAAAATCTGCGCGACTTCTGACTTTTACGCAAACGGTTGTAAGCCGAAAACCTTGGGCCTAAGGCCACTAATTTTGACCCGCACGATTTAACCTGCGTTTTGTTAACCTGCATGACCTGCGTTTTACACATGCCGTCTGGCCAAGGCTATAGCACTAGCTAAGACGAGCTGGATACCTTTATACCTGGATAGCTGGATAGTTTGTTGGTTCACTTCACTTCATTCAAAACCCACAGCTTAACAGACTACTTCCGCTTTCTCGTTCCCTTCTCCTAACAGACTACTTCCGCTATTATTATTTTATATAGTGAGTCTGGTACCCAGGGTAGCTTCGAAGCTGCATTGCAGCTAAGAAATCTACACATCGTCTGTTGTTGACCACAACAAGGAGCAATATATCAGGGACCGCGCACCACTCTTAAAGTGGAGGGGCTGAAATGGTTGTGACCGAAAAATTTTTGAAGCCACGCCCTCTTGAACGAATAAAATAAGCTTGCTTTTTATGTTATTTTGCAAGCAATTCTTCACAGATGTATTGGTTTGAGGTCAGGGTAATCACATGAAGGCCCATGTCATATTCTATCTTAAGGGCCACTAAGGCTTTTCATCATGCAAAAACGATGGTCTTGCTCGAAAATACGTAAACAATGGGTCTATTGTAGATTGCAAATTTTACAGTCAATAAGATGGTCCAAGCAGTTCCGATAGGTATAGAAAATGACAATAAAATTAAAGAGGGAGACAATTATGGCAAAATCCTCGGTTTTTGAAAAAACCGCATTTTGAAAAAGTTAGTGATTTGCAAATTTTCGCAAGTTACGTTAGATTTTTGCGGCTCTGGTACCCAGGGTAGTATCCAGGGGACTGTTTTTCAAAATGCGGTTTAAATTTATTATTTTGCCATATTTGTCTCTCCCTTTCATTTGTTTCACGCATAAATAAACACGTGGGTAGAAACTTTTTGCGACCACGCCCTTTAGATTAGCTTAAAATACATTTTAGCATATTTCTTACAGTCATTGGCTTGCAGTTGTTTAAAACGTTATAACTTTGTCTGAAATATCAACTCCTCTCCAGAGGCTAATTTATTGCAGTTTTGCATTTTTCTCGGGCACCAACATTCTGAGCACTAGGAGAGGGGGGCATTGCAAAACAAGGAGTTTTTGCTGTGTAGAGGTGCCGGTATCTTTGGCAAAAAATATTTTATCAGCAAATGGGAACTAAGCACCCCCTCTTATGCCCCGTAGCTAGCGATGGCTCCAAGTTTATGCCAGGAACGTATGCGCTCCTCCCTTGAATGGGGTACCGAAGTGATGAAATACCTAGCAACTTGAGCACAGGCTCTTGCCCCATCAGACCTTTGTAATATTGTAAAATGGATGTTTTAAACCAAAAGAGGGATGCTGCGAAGACTGATACTCTAAAGAATGACGGTTTCTGCAAGCGGCTATACTTTTCTTTCCATTTCCAGCTTCTGACATTCCAAGGCTAAACTTTAATCCAAACTGCTAACATGAGAAACGACGGCTCTATGTGAACTCTAATATTCATTACATTCCAACGAAATATAAAACGAGGTACAGCGCAGTCTTTCTCAAGCACTGTCTGTCCTAAATGCAAACTTGGCCGCAAGAACTTTCGAAAGCCTCTTGGGCGATACGGCTAACTTCCTTCTAATGTTTTGCCTTTTATGTCTGTACCCTTTGAATCGCTCTCCGAATCTCCCCGAGTCTAGCTAACTACGCATATTAATACGTACAAGTAAATAACAGAAAAGCATAGCTAAGCATAAAATGTTACCCAATATAACTAATGACTACGCAACATGATGTAATCCTAATTTATTAAGTGTCTATACAAAGACACTTAATAAACCAACAAAAATTGTGCATACATTACTAGCAGGGATGTCGTCATAAAATTTTAACCGGGAGGGGTTCTATGAAATTTCTAAGTTGTTTTTTTCATGGAATAATTGCAATTTAAACATGACAATAGTTGATGTTGATTCCGATCATTGGTTGAGAAGCCAGGAACATTGATTGTGAGGGGGCAGCTGAGATCAGAACATAGATACCATGGAAAGGGCTGGGGGGAACTTGATTGCAAGCGAGAGGGCAAAATGATTTTATTGCTCAGGGGTTTAGTGAAAGCCGCCACAATGGTTGCCGGGAAAATTTTTTTTGATATATGACATTCTAAGAATGGCCAGAAAATGCATATAAATTATTTATAGCATCGATAAGAAAGAACTTTTTTGAAATTAATGACTCATTGGTTGGATTTTGAAATGACACATTTTCTCTTGCGTTAACAAAACAGCAATTTTCCTTCTATAGTTGTCACACTTTGTGTATATTTTCATGCATATAAAGTTTACAATGCGTTTAAATCTGTCAATTGTTGTCTTTTCCTTTTCTGGTTTAATCGTCAATAGCTGTGGTGAAGTAACAAATCGAGGGGGTGGCAAATGTTTGTGGGCCGTACGTTACGCCACTGAATCTATCTTAGATGATGTTTCCGGCATCCCTAGAGTATGTATTTTCATAATTTATCTTATCATCAACCATGGGGGTGGCCTTAAATCTTTAACAATTTTAAGATTTTGGCCCCTCCAATTTCAAATACGTCTCGCTGGCCATGAAGGCCATTACTACTCCAAGTTTAGGGAAAGGAATATTGTTTTTCTAGTCATTTCTTGGAGTTTTGAGTTCGACAAATATCTAAACAGCTCAATTGTGTGGCTTCTGCGATCAAATAATAATCCTCACATAGAATTTATTAAAACACTCGGTTATTTTTTTCTCTATTTTGATATTTCATTCTGGGAATCAATACTATTTCATATTTCAAAGCTAAAAACCTAAATATTTATATTTTTTCTCCAAAAGTCGCAATTATTTCATATTTCAAATACCCCTTATAGGGCCTCGACGCTGCGTAATGCTGCGTGGTGCTGTGTCGCGAAGACAGAACATTTAAGACACAAGAGGTATATTCCAATAATCTACGTAATATACAAAATACCTACGTATGCAAAAGCAAGTAAAATTGCTAAATTCAGCTCTATTACAATATTGTCTTGGTTCATAACTTCATGAATAACAGTAATCCGTTAGCAAACTTGAAATCTCTCATTGGTCATATATCGCCAAATTTTGAACATATCTTACTAATTTTGCATATTGAAAGGTATTTTAGGCCATTTTTTCAGACTGTCTGGTCAAATTTAAAAAATTAATATAATATAATTTGAAAATGGCTTTGAAAAAAGCAAACATTTAGCAAACTAAAGCTTTTCGTCTAACACTCTTCAGAGTTTAAAACGTCAGATCAAAAATTCTACGCTAGGAAATATATACACCCAGTTGTGGATCGAAATAGGCCAATGAGGGTTACAATCTGGGTTTTCCAGTAAATGCTGCCCGATAGCAGAATCGCAGGTTTTAGTTGTAATTTTAGATTTGCAAGACCGAGGTGGCTGTTCTCTTTGGGGATAAGTTTTGTTTCTAATACTAGACGGAACATGTTGTTTTATTCTATCCTCCAATCTTTGGCTAGTGCGTCATGACGTCACACTTCGGTACTCTATCCAATTTGTGATTCAATGATGCGCCCAGAGACAACAACAACGACAAAACCCCTACATTCGCAACAACAACACGTTGTTTGCGCGCTGCAATGAGGAGAGTTGTATTTTCAGCTTCATGCGAGCTCTGTAAATGCAAAGGTGCTGTGACAACAAGAATAAATCGTCGAACCAATGTCTACGTGTGCTGACAAAATAATGGTGATTGCATCTGATATGGAACAAAGTGAAGTCGCCGAAACAAATACAGAAAAAGGGATTGTACCGGTGAAGGACAGCTTAGAATCAATCAATAATGGCCTGGGCACAGAAGGAAGTCAAGCTGACGATGCGAAGCGTTCCCAGAACGGGAAAACAGAATGCAAAGGATGTACCTGTCCATGTCACAGCACAAGTATAAACTGCATATTTGAAGAGAAATCGACAGAGAGTATTAAATTTCGTGAGCTCCTTTTGCTTCATCTCGATATAATCGAAGAGCAAAATGAGAGACTTCAGTCGAAAGAGAAACAAATTCACCATTTGAGAAGTGAAAACGAACACGTAAGATTTCTTGTTAAATGTATTCAGCATTCATAAAATTTAATTTGATTTTAATTAATTTCTATCAGGATGAATGGAATGCTCGAACAAGTGGAAAAGCTTGTAGGTTAGTTATTGTCCACAAAATGTCTTTTTCAAGCTATAAGAACCATCTTTCAAGGCATTGTGGCCAGTATACTGGGGCACGAATTTAAAACTATAAAAAAGTCAATGTGCTTGTGTATCATGGTGCTGTTGACGCACAAAATTACTATGCTCTCCTAAGTGGCATTGTAGAATGCAAGACTCGCACAAAGACCAAACTTTATAGTCTTGATGCCAATTGCTAGGGTAGTCATGAGTAATGTTGGACATCTTTAATTGTTTTCTCAATCTTTCATAACCACTATTTCTTTTCGATATCATTGTCTGTTCTTAGGAAACTGTATCTATAAGGAAATTTTTTGATGAATTTATTTTTTTGAATTTCATTGCACGGAGGTTTTTTGTTTTCTTTTAAACCGGTGCTAAACACTCCCTGTGGATAATGTGGGACATCCAACAGGCAGAATAAACGCAACACATTTTTTGTGATCTAGATAGGAATATGGAATAAGGCCAGGGATAATGCATGAGTTTAATTATAGGGTGGGAAATGGCTATACCTTCCTGAAAAATGTCTTTATTAGTTGAAAACATTCATAATGAAGGCTAAACAATAATGAGTCCCGACAGAAGAGGAAACGATTCCATCCGAACTCGCATTATTCATTGTTATCTTACAAAAACAAAATTAAACGGGAAACCTAATTTATCTTATTAGAAATAGGGTTAATTTGTTCTATGGATATTGGGTTTATTAAAATTTTATGGCCAGGCCATTTCTCAGGGAATCATCTCATTAGCTGTCTGGCATTTCTCACGTGCATGTGCAATATACTTCATCCAGGGATGTTGAGGAATCTCAGAATTTTGCCATGTGATGAGAATTGTGCAATTGATACCTATGTTATCCAATCAAATTTGTTTCTCTGCCATTCAGTCAATCATAGTATGAAATCAAAAAAAAAACATTGAGAATTGCCTGATCACTGCAGAAAGCGACACCTCTATTTTGGAGTCAGAAAATCAATTGAATTTAGGCATACTTAATTCACAAACATGCGTTCAAAACCATTTTATTCAATAGCATTGGTAGCAAAAGGATTCCGGCAGAGAAAAAAACAAAGATGAAAGGTACTGCAACAGTATTTTACGACCTTTTTATTCAATCTACACAACAGCTTCAAGAAGAATATTCAGAAGTAAATTTGTCCATGATTGCCTAGCGTCCAGCATTACCCATGACTACCCTAGCACTTAATGTATTACCTTTTACAATCCTCCTCCATTTTCTTGTGAACCATTACTGAGCTTTTGCTCAAATAAAAGAGTGGAGTATTGGACTTTGTTTGATTTATCAATTTTATATAACTTTTCAATTTTTTAAAGTGTAGCTGATCTTCGTAGTTGAAAGTGTAGTTGAAAAGGACCAAAGGCCATTAGAGAACATAAGGTTGCCCTTGCCTAGTCTAAAGAACTTATTGCGGTTCATTCAAAATTCTTAATTCTAGTTGCCAAACATTGTATAAACATGTAACCAAGGTTATTTGTAACATTACCCTTAGTTATTTACTTTTTCAAATATTTTTTGATGTGGCCAAGCAGAGCACCATTCAAGAAAATTTCTATAGATGTTACATATATAAATGTATATTTATAATGAAAGTTTTATTACCACTTAGTTAAATGCAAGGATTAACCGTATGGAAAGGAGAGTTGCCCTCAAAATCAGGAAGCAAGTTGATGATGACACTGATTCTGTAAAAAGCAAAGCATCATCTACTCAAAAGAGGTACCCTTTTTTGTTCATTTTGTTGTGAAAGACAATTGAAGGTCTTACATTTTTGCCTAATTTCAGTTTTAGTTCAAATTATTATGTCAGGCCTAGAAAAACAATTTATAAGAAAAAAGGGAATAGAAAGGCAATAAAAAACTGGAGAGGTATATTTCTAACAGTAAGCATAAGTAAGATCTACGAAAAATTAATGCTTAATAGACAGATCAATGTTATTGAGAAAGGGTTTTCAGAGGCAGCCGCAGGAGGAAGAAAGGGTAGGTCAACATTAGATCATTTGTTTATTTGGCAAGCAATAAACGATTATTACAAATATCTAAAATGCTCAGTGAAGTTTGTGTACCTGGACCTAGAGAAGGCTTTTGATAAGCTGTGGCTAAAGTCTTGCATCATAGATATGTATAGAAGTGGGGTGAAAGGAAACTTTCTTAAAAATGTCTACGAATTAAACAATGTCCATGATTGCCTAGCGTCCTAGGATACATTCAAATCCACACACCTAGTGGAATTACAAGACAGGTTAGAATTAAAGAAAATTTAAAACAAGGAACTATCTTGGCAGCCCCCATCTGTGCCAATCATATTGATAAAGGTATGCAAATAGTAAAAAGAGAAAACCTAGGAATTAACTTTGGGAACATTTTGATACCTCCACTACTTTACCAGGATGATATATTAATTGCTTCCATATCTCACAAGAAAATGCAGGAAATGATTACTATTGCTGAAGAGTTTCAAAAGAAAAACCTTCTGAATTTCAACTTGGATAAAAGTGAACGAATGATCATGCAATATAGCAAAAGTAAAAAATTCCAAAAAGAAACTTTAATTTTAAATGGCCAAGTTATTAAAGAAGTAGAGTCATATAAATATCTAGGAGACTTGAAAAATAACAAAGGAACCTTGGATTTGTGCATCAGTAAACGAATCAACACTGCCTTGGGAGTTATTAAAGAAATAAAATTCCTTATTAAACAGGAGGCACTCAAGAAACAAAGTTTTGCAATCAGTATCAAACTGATTGAAGCAATTTTGATGCCAAAAGTTCTGTACGCATGTGAAACATGGACTAACGTAACTAATAAGCAATTTAAAAACTTAGAAAAATTGCAAAAAGATGCAGTAACAATAATTAACTCTCTACCCCAATCAATGTCATATGATGGAATAGTCCTTGAATGTGGCCTGATGCCTATGGAATTTAGAATAAAAGAGAAAAGATTAATATACTTCCATAAGGTATTAAACATGAACGAAAGTAGATTGACCAAGTTAGTTTATGAAGAGCAAAAACGTTTAAATTTCCCAAACTGTTGGTATAAAGAAGTGATTAGTGACATAAAACTGTTTGATATTAACCTCAAAGAAAATCAGATCAAAAATTTAACCAAAGAACAGTGGAAAAAAGTTGTTAGAGAAAAAATGATCATAATCATAGAGAATAACATTAGAAATAATAGTAAGACTAAACTTAGATTTATCAAGGGTAGTAAATTTGAAATGAAAGAATATCTGGGGTGTGAAGACGCGTCATCCCTGCTGAAATTAAAACTAAACATGGTTGACTTAAGAGCGAACTACAAAGGAAAGTACTCTGATTCTCTTTGCAGAAGATGTGGGGCCCATGAGGAATATATTGAACACTTATGGGATTGCCCAAGTTTTTATCAAAAACCCAAGATGGAAAAAACATGTTTAGCTACAAATAATTCAAAAATTCTTAAAAGTATCAACAACACCCTTTAAAAATTTCTTACCAATGGATGAAATAGAAATAAAAAGATTGGCTAAAATTATAGCACCAGCTTGTGATACCCAGTAGTTGGGTAACTGCTCCGAAATGGAGATTTAGCTTCAATTATTATTATATTATATTATTATTATAGATAAGAAGTACCCATGGCTAAATTGTCCCATTTTTTTTACAAAACAATCATCATTATGATCTTTTTACAAATAGTATTAGTAAGACTTTACATATTAAATCAACATTACCCATAATGTTGGTTTGCAGATAGGGTTTTTTATGACTATTCTTGCAAGTTTTCATGTGCCTTCTTCTCTGTCCTGTGTTGTTTTGAAAAGTATGTGCAACTGTTTAGGGTAATCACTGCCAACAATCAAGTGCTTATTTTGAAGGAAATTTGTTTTCTGATAGTATTTGGGAATTTCCATAGCAGGAAATGTTCCAGTGGCACAGGGAGAAATTTAATGTGTAATGATGACCAATTTGTGCAGCAATGGGTGAAATTTATGCAGTGATGAAATTTTTTATTTTTCCTATCGAAACTACAAGCTATTTTAAATGATCAATATTGAAATACCAAGAGGGATCACTGCCTAGCCGACCAGTAAATAGCAACTAGCAGAATGAACCATGAACCTAATTTTTTCCTTCTTTGAATTAGCATAACATATCAAGGACTAAATTCTATGTTAATGACAGTGCCAAAAAGGAGAGACTAAATTCTTGAGAATGTTTTCCTTGATATATAATAGTTTTGCCAAGAGCAGTGAACAGCAGCACAAAAAGAAGTTTGACAGAAGGCATTTACTACCATATAAGGCCTAAGGTGTACTGCTGTAGGTGTAGGCCACATAATTTACAAACGAAACCAAATTTTTAATCTTATTTGAAACAGTACTGGTGTTTGATTTACCAACCATGGTGACGCCTTGGTAGTAACCACACCCTGTGCTTCTCCCGACTTACTGCTCTAGTTATCTAGTTATAAGGTCTATCATTTAAATAAATATTTTGAATGACATACCAAAGAGTCAGTTTAATAAGAATTTATTGCAAAGATTGTGCCAGCTACAAAAGAATTTCAAAATCTTTTGGTCAGGTAGATTTGTAGTCTATCCACCCCACCCCCACCCTTCAACAATGCCTGTCTCAAGATGACGCTTGGAAATGACCTTACTTTTAAAAGGCTTTGAAATGATTAGGTCTTTTACTTTCTAAAGCCTGGTTGTTGACCCCATTTTTGCCTCCAAAATTATCTTTTTACACTGATTTGTGCAAGGATGAAAATGCCTGTAAATAAACCCTGGGCTGACATCCAAATGAATGTTGTATAAGAATGTAATTAAAATAACACAGCACATAAAAAAACAAACATCCTTGCATGCACTGTGCAAATTTAACATTTTTAGAGTTTTTTCTGTCTAATGTCAGATCTTGCAGTGAGATGATCCCTTTGATTTTATTAAAATGTGGCTATACCTCTCCACTTCTCAATTTAGACCTTTATCAAGATTGCATGCACTTTTGCTGTCAGTGTCTCACTGGCACTAGAATAAGCTGACACACAAGGGGCGATCAGCCTTCATTAGTTCATTAATGCAGATGCACTTATTAGAAAGTTCATCTTAATACATCAAAAGGAAAATTTTCTTTTAAGTTAAACATGACTCATTTTGGCCACTTACATTGAATCAACAACTGATCATTGAATGTTAGAACAAAGAGAAAGATTGGTACAAACTTAAGAGGAACATTTTTTAGAAATTATTTGAAAACAAAAATTTTAAATGATGCTATCAAACCCATGATTTCCAGAATCAAAAATGTTTTTTTCGTTTCCACACATCCATGAAAAAGTTTCATAGACAGACTCAAAAGTTTTGTATTTCAAAGTAACTTTTGGTCAAGGTCTTCACACCAAGGAAGAACAGATTAAATGATAAAGTTCATGTTGAATTGCCATAGCGTCTTCTAAGGGCTGTAGCCTCAGTGTATCAAAAAACAGCAGGCAGATATTAGAAAAGACCATACGTCACATAGGGCTCTCAAACAAGAAGATATTTTGAGATGGAATACCTTGACATTGTTGGGTGGTTTTAGATTCTTACCAGTTGTAGGGTGCTCGAATTCTACACATTTTTTCTTTTGCAAGTGCCTCCTTTAGTATGACAAGAAAATTAAGCAGCTCAATTTCAACAAACTTTCAATGAACCAAGTCTGATGTAATTTCATCTGCATTTCAAAAATGTTAAGTATTTGATCATTGAATTGAATAAAATTATAAGCTGCCACTGGTGTGATCCTTCATGGTATTCAAAGATACTTCATTTCATTTGACCCTTCATTTGACACAAAGATTATGTAAACCCACTTAGGCAATGGACAGATAAATCCATCAAAATAAATGTTTTACATAGTACCCCATTAAACCTGTCACATTTAAAAAAATGATTACAAATTACAAACTATATGTCAACAGAAAAGTATGTGCTTTAGCAAACAACAGAAGAATTTTAAATCAAATTAAGTTTTTGATCTTGTCATTAAGTTGAGGTTTTTTTCCTTACATTAGTTCTAGAAGTTACTCAATTTGCTCAACGGAATTACCTAGAAGACCACGAAAATCTGCATCTTATGGCACAGTTGGTGTTACCATATCTTCAAAACAAAATAAAGATGTTGGAACTGGTCTGTTCCTAAAAACTGATGTTGATTATCTTCAAGCACCATCATATTCAATAGCAGAGGCACCAAAAGAGCCAGAAAAAGACATAAAAATCCCAGGTAATTTCTTTTAACAGAAACATTTGTTAAAGAACAATGAGAACAGATATTTCCATTTGTAGCCAGGGATGTACTGAATGTTTTGTGCATGAAAATTACAATTGTAGCCAAATATGATTCCCAATGGTTGTCAAAGTTTTTGAAAATAATTTTGGTATCATGTTAATATTAGCATAGTATCTGCTTTTTATATTTTACAAAATAATTTAACTCATGCCAGTGTAGTCACTAGATTTCTTGCGTACTCCAGATGCTTTTGGCTGCTTACATTATGTCTTCCACATCAGACTTTTATTAGAATAAAATTTAGACAAGGCTATAACGTTTTTCTTGTTCAAGTGCCATCATGGAAAGATATTCCAGTTGAGCATACATCTAAAGTTCAAAGACAAAAGCTACATCACAAGGCCAGTGTTGAGGGCATTGACGAGGTATAGTTATTTTTGGATTCTACTTGTTCTTGCAAACTTCATATTCCTGAAATCTACTTGAAAATGTAGTATGGGCATTGTAATTTTTATAGACTATTGCCAAATGGTTATACCAAGAAAAGAGATACAAAATATTACAAGAAAGGCAAGCATTTCCGAAAAGAAGCTAGATCTCGATTCTCACCATTTGTGACAATAACGTCATGACAAGGGATTGAATAAGTCCTGAAATTATTGTCAAATTACAGTGGATTTCATTCCATAGAAATTCATTCAGTGTCACATTGAAAAGAGAATCAACAGGATATGATTTGCTTTAATATCATGAATACCACAACGTATTCTAAGGATCTTTTGATTAAGAATAGTAATAAATATGGTAAGCAGAGGGAGCACAAAGCGGGGAAAATATAATTCAATTCCACAAGAAATGATCTGTGATGCAATAACATATTACTGAATTTGAAATAAATGTACTGAATTGAATGTGTTGGAGAGGATTTGAGGGATTATGCAAAATATAAAAGATAAGAGAGGTGAACATAGGCTAAAGTAGGCCCACAATTTGAAAAGTTGGTTTAGACAAAATATCATACAAGTTATAATATTGATATGTCATGTAAGTAATGATATGAATTGTGTTATGTTTTGAAATGTGAAAACCAAGTGCAATATTTGTGTTCAATTTTCTTAGAGTTGCTCCTGAAAAGCAGGCTTTGCATTTGTCATTTAAAAATTTAGCCAGGCCACTCTTTACAAATTGTAGGTCACTGATGACGAGTCCTACCAACGCCGTCATTTGAAAATGGAACTAGACGAGATTCGGAGAAAAAAGTGAGTGAATCTACTTATGATTTTGAAAAGTAATTTCAAACAATGCTTTATTTATTTTTGATTTGGATATCGATTATTGATGCTAATATTGATAATTGATATTGAAAATGTTATTGATTATTGATATTGAAACTTATATACTTTTATGATACTGTTTTTTCTAGATGGGATATCCAACAACTTAGACAAGAGAGAATGCAAGAGAATCTGCGTCAAAGACAGAGGGAAAGAGAAGACCCAAGTCAATTAAAAACCCAGTCCAAGGCAGATGACATAAAGGTCAAGTGCTTGCACCCACCTAGTGGCAATGGTAAGAGCATCAAGATTTTTATCTTTGGTTTGCCTGTTTTCGTAGTAAGCTGCTCAGTTACAATGATCCCCATTGGGGTTTTGCAATTGGCTTCACAAATTTTGGCGATTAGCATGTAGCCTGCATGCTTACAAATTTAGGGAGAACGCTTGTTTAAGCCCTTGTAAATTAAATCCTACAGTTTTCCATAAATTTATATGGTTTGTTTAAAACGTGAAGTTTTTTTGGTTTTCCAAGCATATTTGATCGTTACTGTTGATAATCGAGCTGCTTTGGCTCAACAAAACTGCTTCAGCTCTCATTTTTAAATTGAAATATTAACTAATGTAATACGTTCAGCGGTCTAAGGACCTATTTCCAGAATCAAACGAAAGAGCAATGACAAATTTCTCGGAACAACAAGATATGTATTCACGAAATGCTTTTACAAGTAAATCGTATTTTTTCAAACTAACTGGAGAACATTTCACAAGCATTCTCGTTAAGCGAAATGAACTAATTGTGTTAGTATCTAAATACATGATTGTGCAACATAATGGTAGAACTCTAGGGACAAATAAATCATATGCGAAGGTCTATTTAAAATCTGCGAGGTAAATAGGATTAAAGATATAATGCCGAGAAAATACGAATGTGTTACTGAGTTAATTAGAAAACGTGAATGTAGAAAAACAAACAAAATGAGCTTCAAAATATATATCACGTATAACTTTGTTGGTAGCAACCATTAAACTAAAATGCTGAGCAACACAAGTAAGGCGTGGCGGTGCGGTCGCTGTGAAGTATGACGTGTGTTGCGAGGCAAAGCACAAAGCAGTATTACATTACCATTGTTGCTTATTCGGACGTAGGTGCTTATTCGCTGTCCTGTACATACAAAGAAACATTTGATTGCCACATCTTAAATAGAACAATAACAGTTTATATCCGCTATCTCGAATATCCACTATTTCGAACATTTGCCATCTCGGACGTTTCTCCATTTCCAATTGTTTTGATACAAAGGTTTATATAGAAAAATACTCATTATTTTTTTTCGTTTATATTGTTTTAGTAATAACCTGATTGGGCATTAGCAATCTTGTATTTTTTTGTGCTTTGTAACTAATCTTTAGATATGTAACTAATGTTAGAACACCTTGCAATTTTTTTATTTTAGTGGGATATCTGTTATTTCAAACATTCGCTTTCTCAAACAGCTCTCTTGAAAGGTCGAGATAGCGGACGTCAAGTGTCCTGTACTCAAAATATGTCGTGTTCAAGGAAAGATGCTTGTTCGGGAGACGAAAGCTTCAGTCCTTTGTTTCGAAACAATACCGTCTTAAACCAATCAGTGTTGCAAGGTCGTAGCACATGCGCATTAATAACAGTTTTCGCACAGCTGTTGTCTCTAGGACCATACAACTTCCCGCCAGGGCTTCAAGTGATAATTTGCATGTGCAATGACCCTGAAACAAGGGCTAGTGCATGTCTAGAAGACGGCAATGGTTCATCTCCCGAGCAAATGCTCTTGGTAGTCTGTACACCGATGAATTTGGCTATATTCAGCCAATTTTTAGAAATTATCGTAGATTTTGTTTATATGTTCCTATTTTAGCCTGCAAACTTGAAGCACAATTTATACACCTATGATTGTTATTTTTGTTTCTTTAGTAATGGCGATTGAAGTCGTCAATGAAGTACCGGTTTTTGCGTTGGGTGCGAGGATTCCGCAACTTGAACGATCGTGAGTTTAAATTTTACAAGTCATCCTCATACACGGCAATGAGTTTTTGCTTGCTAACTAACGACAAATTACGGAATTGGAATTTTGCACGATAAATAAATATCCAACGACAAATGATTCTAATAGTTTTATAATTCTCATCTCTTCCTATTGTAGCAATGCCTCAATTAATCACATAATTCTTCTGATATTGTTTTATACGCGCATACTAACCGCATTCTCTTGGTAGCTAAATAAATAATGTAAACGTTCTGTTGAAACTCTTGATTGTTTGCACTTTCACAAAGCATTTTTTGTGCTATATTCTATACATTCTAAATTGAACCGGAAGTTGATCCAGCCTGCCAAATAAATCAACTAAAAATACTATTTTTGTTTATTGTTGTGTGAATGTATTTTTTGCAATTTTAAGTGGCGTATGGATTTTTCTAGGGAATTTGATCTTCCCTGGTTTGATGTAGCCAAGAAGGAAATCCAAAACAGGCAAAGAAAACTGAAATCGTGCAGGGGAAGTAGAAGAAAGACTTGGTATAAATATTAAGTATTTATAGTTTGTGTTAATGTGTAAGTGATGTTATCGATAGTTATTATATTAACAACGACTTGATATGTATATTGTTGTTATTTTTATTCCGACCTCAAACGCGATAGGGCCTACGGATAGAGCACTCTGTCTACCAAAAGTGAGCACGTGTGCGTCAAAGATTCGATCGTTGCAATCACGCCATCAATGCCACGTAGCGCTGTGACCTGTGACGTCATTTGAGCAAAATCATAATTTATTCAAGTTGCCAAAGGTTCGAATCAACAAAAATTTATTCGCGTAACTTTTTAACAAAAGAGAAGTTCGAATTAACAGGAACCTTACTTAAAGACTTTTAGCTATTATACACAGTGCTATTTTTTTATAATATAAGCAAATTATCTCAAAAGCTGCACGTTAATCTACACAAAGTTACGATTCATGCTGACCTCCTTTTACCAATTTCCGGTCTGCCCTTCAAAATAGGTTATTTTAATGTTGGCATCAGAATTCCGTCAGAAGTAAAGGGTTAGAAATATTTAAAGACCGAGTTTTTTGTATGGTAGGGCACTTGCAAGCAAACGTATTATTTTGCTAGCGGCTGAAATGTGCCAGATAGTTGACAAATAGCGAGTTATGTTGGATCGACCATTTTCTTGAATCCCATGACTGAAATCCTTTATACGTTTGGGGGTGTTGGTGGGGGAGGGGGTTACTGTGCTAGCGTTTCGATACTGTGCTATAATAGGAAAGTTCGTGTTTTAAAGTATTATCATCTGTTCAATTATGGAAATCTTTCCTTAAAAATAAATGGAATATTTCTTATGCAAGTGACTTATAATCTATGTTTTACGAGGCCTGGCCAATCTGTAACGTATATTTCTAGGGAAATGTGTGATATTAAATACTGTACTATCTACAACCTTTAATAAACCAATACTCAAAACTCGTTAAATGATTTCGATTTCCTTTTAAGTGCCCGTATGTACAATAAACTTTCTATTAACTTAATAAAATGTCATTGCTGTCAGACAAATAGTCAAGCAATCTGCTCACTCATGCACTTGGCATCACCTCCCAGAGGCTAGATAACGTAATGCCATCCTTCAACTTCTCGATCGCTAACCCGAGCTGTGGACTGTAGACGGGTTCTCTGTCTTTCTCCTACAAATACATGACATAGACAATTTTTTCGTGCTGGAACTAAAAACGCAAAGTGTAGTCTATCAAACACGACTAAACAACGGATACCTGAAAAACCCCAAACTTATGAATATTCTAAAAGTTACTTCAATCTGATAGTCCGCCACCATATAAACTGGCGTAGATAAATAAGGAGGGATAAAATAATTTTTTATAACTACTCGCAATGATTTACTCTTTGTAGCTACATATATCATCCTTTATCAGAAATATATTGCTATTTGAAGAAAAAATCTTACCAAGAAAATCTTTGGCTCTTAGACAGAACATTCCATTTGTAAGAGCAGGCTATGTCTTGATAGCAAAGAATGTCAATTTAAATTCGTACGCTACTGCATTATACAAGCTGCCAAGTAGCTTAACAAAAGTAAGCACTGTGTGACTTGAAAACAAACAGAAGCTTACCTTGTTTGCATCTGCAAAGTATGCCTTTAAGGGGGAAAAAGGTTGAAATTAGAATTAAGTTTATATTGGGTGTTATGTTTAGTTCTATTTTGATCAAAAGCAACAGACTTGGTAAAAATTATTTAGTTATTCTTCCGCTTCATAAAGGGCAATCGTTTTTATCTATAGAATTTCTTCACTTTTTGGTCGTGTGGATAAGTAACGTTATGAGAAAAGTTGAAAGCAGTCGTGGGTGAAAAGTTTAAAGGTGTCAACACATCGCTTTAATAATCACAAGGTCTTTATTTTTAATACTCTGGTATCAGCAAAAAGTTTTATCCAGCCAATAGTTCTATTAAGTATGAAAAAGTTTACTGAATTTCATTGTAGTTGAGGGATATCTTCATCAGCATGTGTATATAATCAACAATAATATTTATTTGATAATTAAAATAGATTTTTGTCTTTCTTGCAAGTAGCAAATAACTGTATCAACTTTAAAACTAAGGGTATCAATTTTTTTCTAAAACATCCAAATATCTGAAAATTGAACAGGCTTGTTAAATAAAACTATTCTTGTGCACTGGAACCTGGAAAACATTTTTAAGAATCTGAAAACATGAACTGAAATAATTCTTATCCGTTCCAAGAATTTTCAGACAGTGTTTCAAAATAAGTAAGATAAATTCTCGTACCGCGAATGCGTCAGATGTGCTTCCTTCGTCCACAATTTCCACATCATCTTCAACCGGGTCAACTGTTATGTCTTCCAAGGTCTGCGGCTGTATAGCACCGAAATAACATTTAATGCGTACTGAGCTAATCTGTTGCAATCTTATAATTTTACAACAGAATTCATAGGCTTTTATCAGAAAGGATTTTGCTGCAAACATGCATTACTTTTCAAACATATTAAAAGATCTTATATCTAATTATTGATACAAGTTTTGAGATCACCAGGTTTAACAAAGAAGCAAGTTACGTTAGAGCAAGTTTTAAAGAATTATATCAAAGACTTGCATGCTTTTGAGAGATGTATTGGCGTTTGTACCGTAGAGACGTGAACACCTTATTTTAATCTTTAGAGAATGGGAATGAAGGCGAAGACACTAAATTATTTATCGGCTGCAAAAGGAAAAAAAGCTACAGTAGCCGCCAAAAGGTACTTTCTATAACCCATCGCTTTCCCCGACCAATGTTGCTTAATGCATTGTTAAAAGGTTGGACATAAACCAAAGAATTCCTTTCCGCTACATATGACATTTAACTGTAGAAACAACATGTTTTAGGGAAGAGAGGGGTCGTTCATTTACCGAAAACAGTTACTTTATTCTACCAACAACATTAAAGAAACATGACATTACAAAGACTTTTGGCGAGGGGCAAATCATTTCATTAAATTCCCGTACACCTTTGGTGGAAATCCTATTGTTTTTATTTAAAAATACATGGAAATCCTTTTGTTCTCGTGGAAATCTCATACGCTTTTTCTAAGAGTAAACTGCTTTCGACTTTTGGCGGGGTTTATAGCTCAAACAAGTATCTTGAAATGCGGTATTTGACACTGCAGTCCTTGAAATGCGTCTGAAATCAAATAATTTATTTTGGCCACGCTTTTCAGAGTTTAGCTTAAAATTTCAAAGTTAACGGGCTTGTTATAGAGGGAGTTGATACTAACAGGAATGCTTGCTGTGCTAAAGCACGAGTTCTTTCAAATTTTTTGATATTTTCGTTAGCGATTCACTGCAAACCTAAAATGAAATCTCACTACCCACCTTGTCATCCGTTTCAAACTCAATTCCAAAGATTGGGCATGCACTGTATACCTGAAATAAAGGCAAACGAAAAATTTGAGTGAACCAATCAAAAATTTGATGGAAGGCTACAACAGTACAGCCTACCACTTACTGCTTACTACCCATTCTCAAGCCTTGGCTTAGTATATGAATAAAATTGAAAAATACACTTATATAGGCGATGGGATTTTAGTCGATCGTTGAAGAAACAAATGGACGCAACTCAAGTATTTGTTCTAAATGCTTGAATATTTCTTTCAAGGAAATACGGTGAACTTGAATGCAATCAATCTTCTATTCTGTCCTTCCCATCGTGTTATAAGCGTTGAATTCCTTAAATCGTTAATTACCCACCCCCTTCGTATATGCCTCTTCAACCTAGCCCCCGATTTGTGTATTTTAAAGCTGTCTTTCTTCCTTTCAATTTCCATGCCAAGGTATAGTATTGGTATAGTATTGCGATGTATATCGTCAGATGAAGTACCAATATTGTTTCATTTGAGAGGAGCATGCCTAACAGCGACAGAAAACGCGTGGTTGCTACAAATAAATGATTAATTACTTACACGGTACAGATTTTGTATTTCCTTAACTGTATCCTGCAGTTTCTCAAATGGATCGACACGAAAACCAAGGACATATCCACCACTCTATCGTAAAATAAGATGTTAGAAATGAAAATGGGTTCCAAAAATTCTGATTAGCGGTGATAAGCTTAAAAGTTTCAAACATGAAAAATCTTGCTGCTTTCTGAAAAACATCTTTATGCTCATCATATGTATAATTTTGTAAAACAGCCAACAGAATGTTTTTTCCCAAAAACCAAATGATAAGAAGTTGCTAAATAACAAAGTATTAGTGGTTAAATCTCACAAAAGAAGACACTTAACTCTACGACAACGATTCTCAAGTCAATAATTGATTAACAATATTCTCAAGTCAATAATTGATTAACAATAATCTTACTTGCTGCGTGGTCTCCAACACAAGTGCAAGGCCAAATTTCGAGTCTCTTACTTTGACAGATTTCTAAAAACAAGAGTCAAGGCACACTGATGATCAAACTTCAAAAACAGCAAAAATACGGAACGGCTTTTTCAACTGCATATCTTGAAAAAGGAAAAGGCAAAGGCAAAGCCAAAGGCATGAAAATAGTCCGTGCATTATTTCGTAAGTCCTGTCAAGCCGGGGCATTGCATGTCTGTTTCAGATGTGGCCGGAAACAGAAATGTATGGTTGATGTAGGTTTAACTTTACTTGAAAGGCTAGACTTGCTTCCAGTCTTCGTAATTTTTTTCTCAACAATTTTCTGAGTAGGTCAAATAAATTTTTAACAGCAAATGCCGGTTATGGTATGTGGTGACTAATCAAAGTCGATGCATGAAATATTTTATGCACTTTTTGGATTTTTGATAGCAAACCTATAAAAAATAACATTTTATAGGCAGAACTCTGCATAATTCTAGCATCTTGAAGCATTGAGGTGCAAGGCAAAATAATCCACTTTATTTTAACTTTCTTAATAGCAATATTTTGAAAACTTGAGTATAGTTTTGTTAATATAAACTACAGGGAGAAAATATGCTCAAAGTTTACAAGCATGATTCAGAATGCTTTGAGCAGGTCGCAAATGTTCGTGGCAACAAAAAAATTTTCAGTTCTCACATGTCGAAAGAACAGATCAGCTGCAACGTGTTTTGGCAGAACTTGCCAAAGCTTTAATCAACACAAATAACAAGCTTCTCGCCCACGAGATTAAAAAGCATTAAGGTCAACACAGGACAAAAAATTACTGATTAGGTCGCAGTACTTATGCAAACAATCAAATAGCTAAAAGCATTTTCTCTTCCAACATTTTAGCAAAAAAGTTGATAATTACGGTGATTTTAAGAACAGCTGGATGATCTTTTTCTTCACCAACAATAACTGTTGAATTTATCGCAAAGTACACTGCCATCTGCCTTAATTTTGGTGCTTATTGTTTGAATCCCACAGAGTGCAGAAAGTTCAAAAATGCTTTTCACAGAATCTGTTGTCGTTTACTGTCAACACTGTAGAGTTTTATCATTTTTTAAATGATAAAAGGAAAAACTTTTCTCAAATTGTCAATACAACTTTTTCAAAGCAAAACCGTTGCTTTTAAGTATGAAAATGGCAGGTTTACACAACAATGCATTGGAAACAAACTTTCAAATTATGAATTTTCTTTCTACCTACAATCTTCCAATATACCGCACGAGGAAAACATGCTTCTAGGAACAACGCGACGATTCTTTGGCTAACACAGGTGGCTTATCTACACAAAATATATTTCCACAAGCTACACTCGAATCACCTGTATAAACATCTTTATCAACAATGTCCATGTTATGAATAAATACTCACCATTTGCAGATAGGGTATGCTGACATTAAAGCTGTCGTTCATATTTGCATGCCAGACCAATCGAACGTTTGTGATATAAAATGTCCCCAAGTTTCCCTAAATGCAAAAAGGTAGGTAATATTAGCGAAACAGGAATGTGGTTCTTTTTCTTGGACACAAAGCATAATAAAACTTGCCTTACTAACACAGATGCAATATTTTAAAGGACATTATTTATTTTAAATCACAGTGCTCGTCTTTTGCGTCAAGGACCCAACATGTTCTTGTTAAATAAACCTGCAGAAAGATAGTAGCCATGAAGCACTGATGCATGTTCTTACAACGAGACCATGGATTGCATTGCTGCACAATTTTTGGCTAATCAATCTTAATTTTCTATGAATGAACGTTAGCTGTCGTAGTCAACAAGCCTCCAAAGTACATTGAGCAACCTCGAACAATAGACAAGGGCCTTTTGTCCTGGAAACGACCGAAACTTTGCAGAAGTGGCCCCCAGATATGAAACACCATCTTACAATGGATAGTAACACCAGCTCCATGTGTGTTCCGTACATTGCATAGCATCTTCGAAGGGAAATCAGCTGGGGGGAGCCTGTTTTTATAAAGAGAAGGGCAATAGCTTATTGTTTGGAACGATGGAAGGTCACTGTAGCTGGAAGGGGAATCGCCCCCCCCCCCAGGTAGTATGTTAAAGAAGGTTGTGGTTTATTGCAGTTTTTAATTGCAACAATATGCATAAGCTTGCTTTCAAACACCCGGGCTTTGAAATGTGTGCCCAGGACTTTTGATCCTTAGAATTTTTGACACTGATATAATGGAAAACAAGGTATGACATGGGCAGAAAACAAAGAGTTCATACCTGATCACTTGATAAATTCCACACACCATTAACCTATGAATAAATGCAAAAGAAAATGTAAAACTTTTAAATCTAAGAAATATAAAGAAGGCAAAAAAACCGATCGTTAAATTAATAAATTAATTAATAATAAACTAATTAATTCGTTTTCCTGTAAAACAATTCCTATGCTAATCTAGATCCGACTACATCTTTATGAAACACAGAATTTGGTGCAAGGTTTCTGCATGTCAAAAATTTTGTTTCCAGCCTCATTATGACAGTGAATTGGCTGGCGATTGCCAGTATGTGAGAGCTCAAGGTACCATGAAGACCATTTTTACCTTTAGCAGATTTTAACGACTATTAGAAGCTTTTAGTATCATCATTGCCAGTAAGGTTAATGCAAGATCTTATTTTCTAACTCTTTATTAGATTTCAAAGAGAATGGGGATTCATAACGAAAAAAATTAACCAATCATTGTAAGAAAATAGCTCTTCCAAAAATCTAAAAGCAGGTATATTGTAATTAAGCAATAAGGAGGTCCTTTATTATAATATATAAACTATGGCTTTGGTGTTACTTTGAAACATAAATCATTGAATATATATAATCGATCTATTGACCAATCAATATTTTTCAACAAAACACGTGCTTACCTTGTCATAGACCTGTTCCAATGGCAGCAACCGAAGCTGCTTATTATAGATCAAGGCACCTCTCAGTTTCAATTCCCTGTACATCTTTGTAGTTTCATAAGCCCTGTAAATTTAGGGGTGATGCAACATAAAGCATGGCCTCCTTTTATGAGACACAAGAATCATGACACAAGGTCTTGCAGACATCAGTTTATTCAACTTGACAAGGTATGTGAATCCTAAAACTATGCCAGAACCACAAAGCAATAACATAATGCTACAACAGGCTATTCAATAAGCTGTTAATATTCTGTCACAATATCACATTTAGGTTCAAGTTGGTACCTGTGGTTTTGCATCATTCCTAGATCACATTATGGGATTATCTGAAATAGAACTGCATGTGAATACAGACCTTCACCAGATAGAATATCTTACAAACCTTAATTAATGCTTAAAGAGAAGCAGAAGCACTAACATTTCATAAATGGTCTGTTAATGAATCTTTCTCCAAAATTATCAATACCAAGAAGCAGACAACAGCAAAATTTGAAAATAATATTGGACAAATACCGAAATACTGCTAGTACTGTAGAGAACAGCCGCAGACTTCCAGGAACCTGTAAATAAGACATACAAATATCAGTATAAAACAAGCTAAAACGTCAGTATAGATTTTTAAGTTAAAATTGTAAGCCAGCCTTTAATTGAAAAAAATTAGCATAGTCTACTGTAATATTTAGCATCCAGGATGTAAAGTACAAGTAGAAAGACGCATGATAGAAAATGCATGTCAACAAGGATTAGCAATAAAAATGAAACTAGGCACCTTTTATAGCCAAAAGATATATTTGCTCAATCCATAATCTTAGGAAACAGCAAATTTGAGTTATTGAGCATTGCAAGAGGCTTAAAATATTAGCAACTCATGTTCCAGTGTTGTTATGAGATTAAACTATTGGAAACCAGTTATAAATTCAAAAGCTTGTATCAACAAACATTTTCTTTTATGTTAATGAAAAAACAACATTTAACGGGTGTAGAAAAAATTTGATCAGAGTTTCAGTTAAAAATGAGTTTCTTGACAGGTCTGTTTTCGTTAAAAAATCATGTTTAGTTTGAATATAATTTCAGTGATACCAAGATCAACCCAGATTTTCTGTAAAGCATATAAACAATTTAGAAAGAAAATGCTTATGAATATATTCAAAGCCATTCAAATACATTATTGAAGATACTAAATGATCATAGCTCAAGAGTTCTAGCAACAAATTGGTTAATGTCAAAGTAAGCTGATCAATGAATGCAACTTTTGAAGCACCAGTCCTTTTCTTTTAGCATGTGCCATTGCACACGCCTGCACACACACAAGTTAAATTGTGTGTGCTTTTCATCATGCAAACAGAAGTTTTTGCAGTTTTCTGTTAACATCAATATTCTATGATCTCATGATTGTTTATCCTTTTCCCTTGATTAGCACTTTTGACCACAATATGATTTTTCAATTTTGTTCCTTTTATCAATTTTATCAGGTTATCACTTCAAATTTTCTTACAAGTGCGATCGTATGCGCAAATTTGTTTACATGTGCCATTTGCCACACACACATAATTTTGCTCACGAAAAGGACTGAAGCACCTAATAAGAAAGGGGAAAATGCAATGCTGGTCTTGATGCAATAACAATGTTCACTATAAAATGAAAGTGAAATTATAAAACAAACTCAAAATTACCAGGCTGGTAAATATAAACTCAAATCTTGTGTTGTTGCATCGAGTTAACATGTACAGTGCCTCAGTTTGGCCTTTAAGTTTCTGGAATAAAAAGAAAGAATTAGACATCATCAAAGAGAAAAAAAAACAAAAAATTGCATCATATTCTAATCATCATTTGGTATGGTACAAAAACCTTTAGAATTTTAGATAAATTTTCTGAATAAGCAACATATAACCTTCCAAACAAACATAAAATGTTGACTGCAGTATTCAAAAGATGTTATTTAGAGTTTTACTACTTGCTACAATGTTCTTTTCAAACTTTGAAAGTCTGAGAATGAAAAATAAAACAAATGTTCAATGACATCACTGTCCTGGTATGTTTTTGTGCACTGATTGCTGCCACTTAACCATCACAGTTCAAAGGAGCAATGCAGTTATTTAGGTATTGCTTGATCTTTTAGTATTTTTAGGACAATGAACATAAATTGCCAGTAGATATGGTATTAGGTTGCTGTGAATGTGGGCTCATTAGAGCTCAGCTTTATTGAACACACCATAAAATTATTATTGAAAACAAAGTTCTATGGCTCTACTCACAGAGACAGCTGTCTTTACACTGGCATCCAACACACAGTTATAACCGATGGCTTGAAGATAAGAAGGCAATTAGCATGATTAAATTTTAAGGCTGAAAACAAGTAACTTCGCAAAATAAGGTTTGTTTACATTACCAACTTAAGCTTGTTATGAAAATAAAGAAAGAGCAAGCATTTTCTTAATTATAATATAAGAATACTTTATTTTGTTAATAATAGCCAGAATCTGTACACCATGATTCATTTTCACATTTTAAAAAAATGGAAACATGAAGAAGCCTTCAACTTCACAGAAAAAGCTTTTGGGTTCAAGAAATATGGTAATCCATGCCTTGCCACATGTATCAAATTAAAGATTTTAATATGAAGCAAAATCAAGCCTTTTGCAAAGACATAAATGACATGAAAATAATTTTAAAGTTGATTCCTTATACATCCGCAATATATATACACACCATCAATTAATTTTTGAAAAAGTTTCTCAACAGACTAGAGTCTTGTGACCTCCTTGTTCTTCAGCTTTGAATTGGATAATATATAAGCAAAGAGCAGTGTTGTAAATCAGTTCTAATATATTATTTGGCTTAAGCCTGTAACCTTAAACTGTGTGGAGATCTTTATCTGAAATTGATTGTTGTTGTTTATCAAAATGCTAATTAATCATGACTATAATTATTTTTCGGCCCTCAAATTCGTTTTGACCCCATACCCAATCCATTCTACCCCCTCCCTGTAATCAGCCAAAATTACAGCACAGTACCAGCAAATCTGTCATTTTAAAGCCCTGCATTTTAGGTAGATATTCTATGGTAAACAATAAAGAAGTTTACTGTGCTTACACAGATTAACTCTAGGCATTGCCATTGAATGCCAAATTATCCTGAGGTTTGTAACAATCATTTTTCCTAAAAAAAATTAAAGAAAGAAATAAGAGAATCACATGCAGAAGAATTTTTACATACCATGAAAGAGGAATAAATCTTTAAAAATCAATACCACCAGTTTGAGTAAACAAATTACTGGTGTCTTAATAGGAAAAAGAGACAAAATGCGAGGTATTTTATACTGTGAAAAGCAAAGGAATTCAATTTTGAATTCTGAATTCTCAAAAGATGCATTGGCAAATAGAATAAGGTGGTTCTTAAGTTACTACTCTATGTTTTATGTTTGATGCCATTATCAAATAAAATTATTATTCAACAAGTAATTATTCAAATTATAATTTAAAATTATTCAACAAGATTATACAAAAAGAAGAATAACCCACCTCTATCACCATTGTTTCCTTTAGTATCTTCTACAGAATCCAGTCTATCAATAACTACCTATAGTGTTTGAAGGGTTATCAAATTAATGTAGTTTCATAACAACCATCAAACTGACATTAGATGTTGAGAATCAACAAAACAAAATTCATACTTGGACCCAACATTCTGCTATTCCAAACATGAAAAATCACTACTTGTGCATTTGTTATGTTCAGTTCTGTTTAGTTTGCATAATGTAGAATGATACTACATATAACGTTACTTACGCAAAATAAATACACTGATAGCAAACATAAAGAACCTTAAACTAACATAGTTTATTAATACAATAAACTTAATCATAAATTTGGCTACAACTAAATAATACAAATATTGTATTAAATAATATAAATAATCATTCTATGTATGATTTTCTAGAGAAGCTTCTTAGTAGCTTGAATCGTGAAAGACAATTAAAGTCTTTAGGAAAATTATTTAAAATCTGTAATTGTAACAATTTAGCTTATCTTTGTTACATCCCCTTGAGGAGGAAACTTGTTGGGGTGTTTGTCTGGAAATAGGAAGTAACAAGCCTAAAGTGACACCCTATTTTTGAGGTTTCTAACAAGACACTTTTATCTGCCAGGTGTTAAAAGATGATTTTGCACTTACCTCGCCAGGTCTGTTCTTCATTTGGCTGTTGCAAAAAAAAAGAAATTCAATAGAAAACAAACAAAATTTGAAAGTGGTAATTGAGCTAACAAATTGCTAAATATCTTGATAACAATATTTAACCCTCTCAATTCAATTTTCATATTAATTCAATGAAGTTTATAACGCCAGAGCTACAGCTAAAAAAATTCAACAGAAAGCAATACTACATAGCATCTTTTGAAATTGTGAAAATATTAAACCACCAACATCAACCACCCCCCCCCCCCTAACAAACTTCATTTTCATTACTAATTCATGCTCCAAGAAATAGTCTTGTCAAAATATATCAGGGTAGTTTGACAAATAGTTGATTAAGACAATATTTTGTTATTTAAGTACTTTTTAAATATCAACACCAAAGGTACATTAAAAAATAAGAAAAAACAATCAAGAAAACTGCACTTTACATGCAAATTGATGACTGACAGCTTTTGGGTATAAACATTCATAGGAACCCAGGGCGGAATCAATGTAACTTATGCCAGAGATATCTGGCACTGACTTTGTAGTTTCCTTGGCATACTGCCATAAAACAGAAAAAAAGCTGGTGTAAAGGTGAATGGATTGGCTGCCTAGTTTGGGCCAGGGTCTGACTCATAAACTACAGTTGTTGGCAAAGAAGACAATTAATAGTTTCTATTATGCATTGTACAATACAACGTTTTGGCATTAGCATTAAGATGTAGAACCTTCGGAGCAGCTTCATAGTTTACTGGGCAACCAGATTGGAATTTTTGCCTCAAGTACCAGCCGCGTTTGCAGCCGTGCAATTTCTATTAAAATGATTCATCCAGCTGCACAGGATTCTTCTTTAACTGAAAAAATTATCTTGACACTTTTAATGAAATTTGAATTTGGAGACCCTCAAGAGTTGCAGATCGCCTAGGTCGTCATGACTTTTTGCTTGCATACGCACAAGGCTTGTTTTTGTACACACATATGCCAAATAACAACAAACATATGTGAAGGATATTTTTATCATTTCTGGGATATAAAATACACATGGGACAGGAAGATCTAATTTATTACCATGCACAAAGTTTTCAAAAATTCGAGCAGATTTTGGTTTACAGAAACTATTCTCATCTGGTTTGGTCCCCCTCGTTCTTACTTTTTAGGAATTATGAAAATGTTTATCTGTGCTATATTGTTTTTATCGCCACTTATGATGTTACTAATGTTTTTCTCTGAAATGTATACCCAAAAGTTACATACTGTGTTTTTATGGTAATTAGTCTCAGCCGCACAAAATATTTATCTGTGCTATTTGCAAATGCGCAAGTTTCATGGACATGAAAGAGATCCTCTGCATATCTTTTAAATATTCCAATCTGGCCGGCCAATATCTGGCATGAAGTTTCATGGATTCCAACCTTTGATAGGAATTGGATGAGATACATTGGACCTTCCTCTAGATATTTCCTCACTCAATAAATGTAAAACGTACTACAGCAAGATAAAAGAGTTATAAAATTGCATCTTAAACTTGCATCAAATTACCTAAGATTCAAATTTCTCAAGAATTTTAACAGAGTCAATTTAGGGAATCGAGGACACTTTATCTGGCTCATATTGGTGCAAAGTTATTTCTAAGAGCTATGAAACAGGTAACAAAATCTACAGCAAAAATAGCAAAAAAAATTATTTAGCTTATATCATTGGAGTACGCCAAGACCCTTGAGTTTATGTATGAATTAGCATAACAATTGTTTGGAAATATGTAACTAAACTGATTCTTACTTCAATGTTATATCAAAGCGGACATCCCTGTCTTCCCAGAGATCTGCAGATGGCGCTGCCGTTTTGTCTGCCTCTTTTTTGACTGGTGGGTTCTGCATTTTGCTTTTCTCCCAGGCCCTTTTGCTTAGCAAGTCTAGAGAAAAAATCATGTTGAGCAACTATCAGAGAGTTGATGAGAGGATACAACTGCACGCGAGGTCATTCGAACACTAATCAAAATTATGTCGCATTGCTATAATATTTACACTAATCGCACTTATCTTTTTTGCCTTACCTGAGCTATTTGAAGAGCACTTCACCTGCTCGCAGGTTGTCTTCTCTCAGACAGCCATTTCCAAAAAAACACAGCAACAGCGGCCTCGTTTCTGTGTCGCATCTTATCGCAGCGATGACAGAGAGCAAAAGCTGGCTAGATACTAAAAAACTAACTTTTTCACCAAAAAGCCTTTTTCGAAAGGAAATCCTACTTTTCAAAAAGTGAAGTTTTTGTACAGAAAAACATTCATTGTCCAATTTTTCAACTGTTGACCTGGCTTTTCGAAATATAGTTTTTTCGACTGAAGGAATTGCTAATTTGAATAGATTACAGGTTTGCTTGTCAAACGAAATTTCCAACGGTTACGACCTGCAAGACATCAATATTAGAAGCAAAAAAGCGCAAAATGAAATTAGCTTCTTATTTTCAACAGGTAACGAGCAACGAGTTGGCTTTTATGACTGTTGCCTGTAAAACTCACATGTCCATGGGGGGCGGCTCGAGCCTTTCCAATCACGTTGTTGTCGGAAAATTCAGGGTTTCGTCGGAAATTTGACAAATTTTTAGAGTGCTGAAAATCAATCAGAGACCACGCAGCCATTGGGCTAGGAGAGGCTATGTGGTATATGGGGGTGGTATATCTGCTATATGGGGGTTGGATTATATTCGGATGGGCCATGGAAAATTCTGCGAAGCCTTTCTTGGGCTTTGAAAAATATTGTGTGCAATTTGTGGGGCCATAAAGATTTGATGTATATTTTCCAAGTTTGCCATAGGTGAATGTTTCTCACTGACACTAGCAATTGGCTCTCTTATAACACCAGAGTTGGAATAAAGTTTAAATGACAACTCAGGCTTGTTGAAGAACATGAGGATTATCTTTGAAACCTAAGTAACAGAAAAGAGAAAAGGAAAGATAAAGCAAGGTGATAGCAAAAATATGTTGATTATTACTCGCAGGTAACATTTAGAACTGGAAAACTGAACACGCAAAGTTCTCACTTTGGACAAATATGCTATTCAGCATAGTTTGAGAGTGAAGAAAAAGTAATACAGATGAAGATAGGTTCCGCTTTTAACTTTCCCACTGGTGGCTCAAAACTCGGAGTAAAAAATACTTTGCTAAGGGGTTTGTATTCTTAATAAAGTATTTTCCATCTTTCCAAATAAGTATAACCATATCATAATATCCCTTTGATAAAGAATACTATAGCAACTACGATTTGCAGTTTTTGAAAAAAGAAAGTATACTGCTGTTTTGCAGTTTCCAGTCTGCTCTGTCATTGAAAGCTGCCAGTGATGCCTCAGCCCCCTTTATGAAATCTTATGGAGGGCTTGAGCCCCTAAGCTCCAATGATTCGGCACCTGTATTTCAAGCCTATAAAGAATCAGTGGCAGAAGGTAATGATGAAATGAAAACGATGCTATATCAGCATCAGATATTAAAACACCAGATGTTTTTTTTATAATTCAAAATTTTAAACTACAACAAAGCTACTCAAATACATGTCACTCACAATAGTGAAGGACGCAATGTCATCTAGTCTCCATTATGAGTGACATTTACAATTTTCAATTACATCTAAATATAAACACAAAAAAGGGAGAGAAGTAAAATAAACAAAATCAGGAAAAGAAAGGTACCTCTAGAAAAATTTACAGACACATTTTTTACATAATTTACATGTTTCAGAGGTAGAACAAGTAAAGAAAAAAATAAGAAAAGGAGTTGCTGCTGTTGTGTTTTTCAATTAAAAGAATCTCTTAGTGTTTTTGATGAATTGAAGTGTGGCCTCCACAAGAAGTCTATTGGCAAGTACATTTAATTTGGAACTTCCATAAAGTATTAATTCACGAATTACCGTTGCGGAGAGGTTTGAAATTTTGAGTCCAGGGACTTCAAAAAGCCGACCAAAGAGCTTATTCCGCATTACTTGGAACAAATAGCAGTGCAGGATTCCATGACATGACTCTGGTGATAGTGGGTAAGAGATGGAGATGAAGTCATTTGTGAAACATATCACATTAATGAGATAGAAGAAGGTTCAGATAAAGTCGCAGGGGCAATGCCCCCCACTTTTCTACAGAGGAAAATAAAACTTTGCTTAGTAATCCCTTAACTTTGCCCTTAGCTTTAGTTTGGTTGCTTTGTCTTTACCCTAGAAGATACATATTAAAATTCAATATTGGAATTTGATCGAAAAAATCCGTCATTGTCCAAGTTGTACAACGGGCAACAGCTTGGCTTTGGAAATACAATGCTTGCTAAAAGTCTTAGTACACTAACGTATAGGCACCGCGCACCAGCCTAAAAGTGAGGGGGTTGAAAAGAACGTGACTGAAATTGTTAGGCCACGCCCTCTAGAACTTCGGAAAACGCCCTTTTAGAAAATACTTGCTTCTGTCCAATAATTATCTATACACAGTCCGATTCAGAAAAGAAATCAATTACCACAAATATAGATATATTTAGCTTGAGGACCATTAAACAATATGTTAACAAAGTTAGAAAATACAACATATATTTATACAAAAGCAAACACATAGAGAATGTACAGAAAAGGGTTCCCAGTCAAAAAGACCAGCTACTCTGCGCTTCAGTGAACTTTCTAAATATTTTCTAACCTATGATATCAAAAAAGTAGAGGGGCTATAGCCCCTGCTAGCCCCAATGGCTGCGCGGTACCTGCTAACGTCAGTTTTCAAGGGAAAATTCAGCCATTTTCCTCCCCCCTCCCATTGAAAAATGTTGGTTTACTACAAAATGACGCAAGGGATTAAGAAAAAAGTTTTTTCCTGCAACTTCTATGATATTTTTCTAAATTATAAACAAACATTGTTTCGGGGGAAGGGGGTGTGGAAATAGGAGTATTCGTGAAAAGAATTGAAAAATAAAAAAACACAACGCAGATTGCTGGATGTTACAAGTGCTTTTGACAATGATTGTAGATCAAGAAACCTGATCCAGAAGAACTTGGTGCCAGCACAAAATGATGGAATTTCCTTTTTCTATGGCCTATTTGCTAAGGAAAATTTTCTCAAAAGCGTCGCAATGAGAAATCAGCTGTTAATGGGAAAAAAATGTTGGAAGGAAAAATGTTGAGGATATGAGAAATGAAGAATGAGCAGATTTGTTTTTTCAAAGTATCATAGAAGAACTTCGAAGTTTAATTGTAACGATAATCAATCCCTACTATAAAAGAGAAATCAAGATGCAATTATAAATTCTATTAAAACTCGTTTTGACCAATCCAGTCTGAACCCCTTTCTACTCTAGAGTCTTTTTGTTAAAAGCATTATATTCCAAAAGTTTGAGAGCAGTCCAAATTATTAAATCTTTTGTTTTTAGCTGATATTTCTTCTGTAGATATTTCAAGGTTAATGTTATTCATTAAACCGTGTTTCATAAATTTCTCTCCTCCAACTTATTTTGGGTACTTTTTTAATCTAAAAAAGTCTCATTATGAGCTAATTTAGAAAGGTTAATCTAAAACAAAGGTTATTCGAAAGCTTTGCGCGGCTCTTCCTATTTCATGTTATTTTTTGGCCATCTCTAAGACATCATAATTCTAAACATTTTCTGCCAACCATATTGGCGGACTTCCTAAGCCCTTTCAAGACTTTGATGTTTTGGCTCCTCCACTTTCAAGTACGTTTCGCCAGCCCTGGTTTGAGGTCAGTTTTCAAGCTGAAAATCTACTAACGGAGACAAGATGTATTACATGAAGACTCACTCTCCGTTGTTGTCAAACATGATCCACATTCTCCTTTTGATCATGCAGTAGGCGTTCACGGATTGTCTTTCAGTCTTTATATATATAATTTTTAAAATTTGCGACTGCATGCCTGTAAACACTCACATTTAGAAGTAATTAGTGTTAATAATGTAAAATTTCGCTAAATAGGGACTTTGCCCAGCCAATATGCAATAATGCACGAATGGAAAAGAATGCGCGGGAATATAATGCGGGCGCGCAACAAAGATTCCAATCTTGGTGACGAAAATACCCAAGGAGCATGCCCAAAGAGTTCTTAAGTGATGACATTACAACAATCTACTTACAGAACTTTGAATTTTATCCCCAAAACCTGAAAGAGTAGGCATGAATTATCTGAAAGTCTTAAATATGCAAAGTCAGTTAAGTGTGTTACAATACATAGTCAATAGAAAAAAGTTACCAATATACTTTTCTTTTGACTATGGTGTTACGATATATTGTCACATGACCATAGGCTCTTTCCCATCAAACCTCAGTTATTTGGCCTCTGTTCATAACTTTATCTTTATAATGAGATTTGATCCCCTACAGAACTCGTACAAAACAGTCGTTTGGAAAAACTACGAAAGCGATCAGAAAATTTAGTCTTCCAGAAATGGTTTTGCTGCGGAGGAGTATACCGACCCAGCCCCCTCCTCCAGTATCAGGTCGCGGGACAAAAATAAGACACTACGCTGGAAGTGCTGGTGATGTTTTGTTAGTACAGTTGGATCGTGTGACGTTGCCGTTTGCTGCCCGTTTTTATTTCAAGCTTCTCCAAACTGTTGCGCATTTCATGGCACTGGCCGCTGGTATGCAAATTATATCATATATCGTAAGACATTAGCGTAATTACTATTTGATTTAGGTGTTTGTCGTCCTACAAAAACAGTTAATTATATATTACTATATTAGGCCCTTTCCTCTCAACTATCCTTCAAAAGCGGGTTTGTAAAAACCTTTATTAAAAATAATGAGTTCTAATCTCATTTATTTTCTTTATTTTAGTAACTTAATATGCTGTACAAGTTTGATAACGACGTCATATGTCCCATCTGGGTCATTTCCTTCTTCCTGAGATTTTGACCTTCTGGCATTGCGTAGGAATGTGGTTATAGGTTGTTGTAGGAGTAGGGTTATTGGTGGTTATAGAGCTATTATTGCAGTGTAGACGCAATGTTTTGTGAAATTCTTCCGGCAGAATTCTTCCGGCAGATTCGTCTATGTTAACTGTACTGTAACATTGTACCAATGTAATAAGAACTTTGGCAACAACAGCAACAAAATTGAAGGGGTTTTATATTTTTAATGCCGATAAATAAAACTATATCAGACTCAGTCTTTACAAAGGAGCTCTTTCACTTTGATTTTGCTTGAGGACTTCATCCCTCTTTGCTTATTGACATTGTGACTAGGTTGTGTGTTTAACTCTTTTCCCAGACTGTACAGTTTGGTCTTTGCAGGGAATGTGTTCCTACTCAAGAATTTTGACCAATCGTCCCCTCGGCAAATTAAAAGAATCTGCCATATAGTCCTGACATTACATTTGTTGGTCTGGTCACAGTCTCTCCTACCATTTAAACTTCTGATTACCAGAAATAAACAAAGAATACAAAATCTCATTGAAAGATCATCAATCGCTACAAATTCTGCAAACAAAATTCTTGCAAAATTATTGTTATCTGCAAATTTGAATTTTATTGTTTTGGCATCTCCTGCACAGAAAAAGTACTTTCCAGTCTGGCTCTCTTTCAGGCAAACTTTGTTCAGTTTTCTTGTTCTTGAAAATTGAAAATGTAAGCACATGACCAGAAGTTGTCCAACCAGTGCCATGTGCCTATAGAAAAATTACCACTGGAGTCTAAGAGAGAAAAATAATTCCTCCAGTCAATAGAGTGGGGGCTTTTTTGTTTGCATGTAGATTGATTCCATAACTGCTAGATGAAAAGACGACCGGGCTCTGCCAATTATCCTAAGCATATCGGCCATATGATTGATCTGAAATTGGACAACTATGCTGGTCATGCTTGCTTGCTTCTATTTCGATCCACAACTGGATATATATTTTCCATATTGTCCTTTCGGACCCTTATTCTGGCACTTTATACTCTGAGGAGTGTCAGATGAAAAGGCTTTTTTTATTATGTTGTTCAAATAATTGCTTTTTCAAAGCAATTTTTAAGTTCTGTACCACCAAACACATTGTTCACATTTTTATGTTCTCTTTGGTCATTGGGTCAGGCGGTTTGAGCCTTGTGCTTTGCTGTTCTAAGCATATCTGTTTCCATCAACTTAAATTACACATTAAACATTAATCCCTACCCTTTTGAATACTAATGTAGTTAAATCACAATCTCAAATTATTAACAATTTTCCCCAAAAACGGTTGCCAAGAAATGAAATATTACTTGGTGCCTGATAGTGGCTAACTATCTATAAAAAACCTTATTCCAGGAAGTGGGCTTGCTAGGTGCACCAGCCCTTTTACTGCCTGGAGAATACCGATTTCAAGGTCGGTGTCACCACTGGGAACATTTTCCCGACTAATGCACCTGACCATAAGACGAAAAGGTCTTCGGGAAAAGAATGATAGCCAGATTGGAAGAATAAGAAGACAAAGAAAAAGAGGCGGGTGGGAGGGGTCTTGAAAATTGAGCATTGCTGCGGCGGTAAACAACCGTTTGCAGCATGCATAGAACTTGCAGAGGAGGCGTAGCACTCTGTGCATCCCTTATAAACCTACAAATGTCCCGGATGTCCTAGGATAGCCTGCACGTGACAGAAAATGAAAGCGAGGCTAAATGATAGCAAAAAAGGGGTGATTAACTCTGTTTAAAACAGTGTTCTAAACAACATTTAAACCAATTGAAACTAGCTTAGAAATTTGACAAATTGTCTTTTATCTGCATGTAGAAGTTTGATGACTCTGACCATGATTCTCAGGATAATTCCATTCAACTCATGGGATAAACCAAGCATAACAGGACAGATGCACAAATTTGAAAATATACAAAAGTTGAACTCTTTCATTATGTGGAGTGTATATCTCCTACATGGATGAGACAGTTTTTAAAAAGAATTAAAGTGTTTGTATATTGAACAGGACTGTTCTACTAGACCAGATGGAAATGACGGGGAGTGCCACTTTGGGCCGGGAGATTTTAATTACCTGTTTCAAGTTCTTTATCAACTGGGAATATTGAATAGAGATGGTAAATTGAGATTTGCTGCTGTTTTTTGGGGGAAAATTGGGGCTAAGCCAGGTGAAGTTCCTGCTTATCCTCTGCGAAGGAGCAACACCGCTGAAATGACATCTAATTACCTGGGAATGTCCTTAAAATATGAATATCTTATTAAAAACGGGCAAAGCCAAATCATCATTTGCCATCCGACATTTAACTTAGCATGCAATTGACAATAAAAATTTGAAGAAGGTTCTGTGATGGTACTCAAACTGTAAAAAGGGACTTGTTATTGTTTTGTCAACCTACGTTGATAGTATCAATTGGTCAGAAAGAGTATTACTATGTTAATACAGATAGGATAAACATGGAATCATATTGTGGAAATCCAGACCTAGAGCTACAAGTTTGAATGATAGGTAGAGACAACACAAGCAAGGAAAAGCAGCCCAATACAAATGAATCCAATATGATAAATCAAAATTCAACCATAAATTATAATTTTGAAAGAACTTAATGTACTTAATTGTCTTTCCTTACTCGTAAGGTAAAGAGCTTGTCTTTGAAAGTCAGCAAATGAAATAGCTTGCGTTTTTTCGTTAGCATATACAGTAGAAGGATCATAATTATCAAAATATATTTTACAGAAAGTATTGACAGATTTGTGACCAAACTTCTTGCAGAATGCTTATTTCAGTTTTGCTTTGATGCTTTCCTTTCAGGACAGCCTGTTTTGGTTCACATAAACTCATGCTCTACTGAAAAGTATTTTCTTGTTCTTGTTCTTTAGGTTTCCTTGCCTAGAAATCTTCACCGAAAGTATTTTATCAAGCAAGTCTTGATCCTCTTAGTCTTTATCCTACAAATCTTCATCATTGGGTACATCTTTTCATGTTTCCATCTCTAATAAAAAGAGTTGTCAATGCTGGCCCAAGAGTTTATAAGCAATTAACCTACATAGCCTGTTTAATTGTCCAAAGCCATTAACATCGCATAGGTAACGCCAAAACCTTCAGCAAAATGATAACACAGGCTTCTTCTGACTGCTTTTTTATGTCAGAATCCAACCAAAAAATAAATATAGCAACACAGAAAAAGGATCCCTTGCAATTGAAAAACATTAAGCTATTTTCAATACATATGTTGTAAAGTTGTATTTCTCTTTTTGGTTTCTCAGGGCAAAGAAAGCAAAGACGCCTTCTTTGACATTATATCTTATATATTTGCACTCTCTACTTTATGCCACATCTTGACTAACCGGTTACTGTTAATTGACGTATCTTCTTGAGCTACTATCTACCACTCCACTGGCCTACACCAGGGTGTGACCGTCTTGATAGTAAAACCTTTCTCCTGGAATTCCTTTTGTGTAAGTAACTGCTACTGTTATCTGCTAACAGATGTTATACGTCCATATTTGTGTTTCTGTTAGTATCTTATATGGCAGAATAACTTTGGCCTATCACATGTATGCATTGTTTCCTATTTGAGGCTAGCATGTGACTACTGTTCTCTTCTAAGTATTCACAAGGAAACATCTACAATAATAAATGCCTGAACTTAACATCAAAACAAATATGAGATCATATTGCATGGTTTTAGCAACTTGCATGTACAGAGACAATGTTAGCTAGAGACATTTCCATTTCAGAAAATGCTGATAATTAATAAAGCTTAGTTTTTGCTCAAAAATTGGTCTAATAATCTTTATATCTTTATATTTATGTTACATATCCGATGATATCTACTTTCCTTTAGATAATCAACATGAAAGAAGCAAGAATGTTCAGCTAAAAGCAGTATATACTGAGCTTCCTTCAAAATGATTCAGAAACATACAATTTTTCTTTAGAGTACAAAGATTTGCATCCATGGCTTGTTATGTGAATTCTGAGCTCCCAGATTACATCCTTAGTGGTATGTCCTTTATAAGTTTTGAAAATATGAATCTGTGCAATTTTTCATCATTAATTTTATTTTCTTTTGCTGTATGGTTTCTCCAATAACCATTGGACTTGAACTTGAACTAATTGTTAGATTATTTATGTCCTAAGTGATTGAAAATACCAGTAAAATCTTCTTCAAATTGGTGTTACAGTTTTTTGCCTCTTTCCAGAGCTATCATATCACTTGATTTAGATCCTTTGTGTATTTTAAGTGTCAAATGCACAGTGTTGTATGTGATTTATTGATGTTATTCTTCTAGATTTGATACCTATGGAGGAAGAAATAGATAATTGGGTGAATCATGATTTCTGGTATACAAATCAGTGTATTGATCACTATGATGCAGATATTCCTTTGGCTAATGTCACAGACAGTACCTCAGGGCCACTTTCTAAGTCTTTGGGGACAGACATGTATTGTACACCTCAGTCACTGAGTCAGCCTAGTGTTGGTTCTGAAAGTGTACTAAAAGATTTATTAGTTGAAAGTGGACAGAATTCACAATGCCCATCAATTCCAGCTTTAAAAGTTGAAGAAGAAAGTCCAGTGTCATCAATGTATATGATGCCAAGTGAAGCTTCAATTTTTGTGCCAAGTCCGACAATACCAATACAAAGTGCCACATCAGATTCTGGTGGTATGTAAATTCTAGAACTTATTTTATATTTTGTTATAGAAATTTTAGACTATGAAGTGCAGGTCCACCAACACAGGGAATCTATTATGCTTGTGGGCCCATTAAAATTGCTAGTTGGCTCTGCTTGATGTTCATTGCAAGTTCCCTGTTATAAGGGTCTGTTTATATGGAGAAAATCATCTAACCTTCAGCCTGTAAGCTGAGAGGTGAGGTCCCACTCTTCTATAGAATCCTTTGTGTATTTCGTTTTGCACTGTATGAGAGGTGGGATCTCACTGAGGTGGGATGGTTTCTTTCCATATGAATGCTGGAAGGTGGGATGAAGCTGGAAGATATGAGGGGATTATTCATTAAAATTTTGTCCCACTTGTCAGCATACAGGCTAGAAAGAGGGGGTGATTTTTTCCATATACAGCTGGAAGGTGGGATAAAATCTGCATGTAAACATTTGATGATTTCATCCTACTTGCCAGATTATGGGCTGAGAGGTGGGATAAATTTGCTCATATAAATAGGCCCTAAGAGACAGGTGCACTTTTTCCAAGATAAAATAATTTGATTAAATAAATAATGTTTATTTAATTGATTCTCTAAGTATTGCTGCTTGTATTCCAAAACATAACAGCTTCTGGTCCGTTCCAATCTTTTGTTTTAAATTGAAAAGACCATTAGATTCAAAGTTCATGTTTTGGATTAATTGCATTCTGAGAGTGATTTATGATAATAACAATGCTGCCAAGATAACTTTTCTGTTAATTATCTACAATTAAATCGCAAATGGAAATTCTTGCTTTCACTCTGAGGCACATATTTGATGATTTGATCATAGTCAATTGAAAAAGCCATTGACTGTGATTTGATATTAGCAAACAAAATACTTATTCTATCGGCACAGCATGTCGCTCATTTTGACTCACCAACACTGAGTTGAAGGTGATTGCATTTATTCAATCTGACGGAGCTTACCATCTTTGCAGTTTTAAGTGAGTCGATCATGAGTGAATCATCATGCTCATCACCAGTCCCCTCGGCAACACCAAGTGAAGCAGATTCGATATACATTCAAGAGGGCCAGATGATAAACTTTCTACGGAGTGACAAGGGTCTGGAGATGTTCGCAAAGGCACAGGAACTGACTAAGGAGGAGCTGATTTATTTTTTGGAATGCAAGAGAAACGGCGAAGATTACTATCAAAACAATCATGCTAGTCCGTCAGAAAATGATGAAAAACACGATGATGGTAAGAAATAGTGATTTCAATAGTCAACGAATCAGTTTGTTTTTTCAATCAGTTCTTTGATCTAAGAACGAGGCAAGTTTTTCCTTCGCAGGTACATTGCGCGAAATTTATCTCGGGGTTGCTAGATGGGATTTACTAAAGACTTCATGATGGGTAACAAACTCAGGTCAAAATACCCATGAAAACGAAAACTTACTCCCCAAAAGTACACTACATTTAAGAAGTATATATCTCCGCGCATGAATTTTTTAAATAATTTTACAAACTTAAACAGGAAACTAAGAAAATTTTTTTCAGGAAAACTCGTTATGATTGTCGATAGTATTTGACATTTTATTCCCCCATGTTTACCATTGCTCTTTCATTTAAAAACTTTTTTGTTTTTGTTCATTGTTTGTAAGAATTTATGCTGAAAAGGCCAGATTTTGGTAGTAGGCAAAAAACAAATTTCCCAGGCAATTTGACTCTAAGAAGAGGTGAAAATTGAAAAATTTTGCCTGAAAAATTTAGATTTATTTGATGGTATGTTGGTCCCATAGTGAAATGAAGATCGGGAATTCAAATTAGGCTGTCCAGATGACGTATAAGGCAGTTTTCTGGAACTTTCTATCTTGGATCTAAATTCGTTGATCTTACCTGTAACCACTGGTTTCTGAGTCACGTTTTGCTAAACTTAACAACATCAAAGACAAATTTTATGATTCTCGAGAAGTCCACCATCTTTTTCTTTCGTTTCCAGTCATCTGCAAGTGTAATCAGCGCTCGTACAGAAACGCATTTTAAACGCACAGAGATTCCTAGGATAACATATCATACTAAAGCACTTTCCGTCCGACACTCTTCAGAGTATAAACGTCAGATGATGACCAAAAGTAATTTGAAAATTTGTATCCAGGTGTGGATCGAAAGTAACTTGAGAGAAAGAAAGGCAAGTTTTATTGGTTTACCAAGTATTTGTACTTGGGTATGCTATGTTTCCGGTATTTCGTGCAATCTTCAAGTTGTGCGGTTCCAAAAACTTGTTTGGTTTTTGTAGGGAGGCAGGCTAGAAGTACGTTACTGCATAAACTCAGATCAGAACTGTCGAAATAAAATCATCCACAGTTCTGGATTGATGCATACTCTATATTCCTTCTATTCACTTGTACCTTCATAGTCAAATTTTTTAATTGGAACAAAATACTGGAAATGTGAAATCATAGTATACAGAAGTACTTTTCGTTCAACTTTCCTCAGCGTATAAACGTCGGGTATCGACTAGAAGGTAAGCAGAAATTCATATCTTGATGCTGGTCGAAAGGATAAGTATAATTTCTATTTTGCCTTTAGTCATAAATGGACTTTTATACTTTGCGGAGTGTCTGACGAAAAGTGCTATGTTTCTGCTCTTCCGTGCTACCTACAAATTTTACGGTTGCTAAGACTTACTTGACTTATTCTATATATCTGACCTAGGCGATAAACATTGCCCTGTGTACCCAACTGTTTTTTAAAGAATATACATATGACCATCTAAGCTATTATTATGTAAGGTAATAGTGTGATATGTTTACTGAAAAATGGAAGCGATGCAAAGAGATATTCTTCCTTTAAACCTTTAGCTTGAGAAATGCTATCCGCCATTCCATTTAGCCAAAGTAGGTTGGGCTAGATTTAAAGCATAAAATCATCACGGAGTGGTTTCATAACATATAAACGGTTTTATTTAGACCCGAATCTTTTTCTAGATAACCCTAAACGTCGACGTCACCGAGGCACATATTCGAAGAGCACATGCTTACAAGTGATCGAATTCGTGAAGAAAGGATACAGTGCTAGAGCTGCTGCCAAGAAGTTTGGTATACCGAAAAGCACAGTCCATAACTGGCTGCACGAAGATGTAACGACAAGACCAGAAAAAGGACACAGGAAGAAAGGTCTGTCTTATCCAGTTTCTAAGATATTTTGCCCAGATAATTTGTCAATGATTGGCATACTACATTATAAATATTTTTTTTTTCTAAAACTCAAGCGATTTTGATACTATTGTTCAATAAAAAGATCTGTATAAGACGTTTGGTACAATCCTTTAATCTCATCCTATGCGTCATATTTCTAATTCTCTGAAGATTGTGAATAATATATAATTTTATTCATTTCTGCGTGTGGATTTTGTCACGTGTAGGATGAGAAATGATTTGTTATGAGATAGTTCGTTCTGTCCAAATTTTAAAGGTTTATGGCAATATTTCTTGTTTAGATTTTCATCATGATAAGTTGGATGATGTGGAGCACGATTATCATAAAAATATGACTGACCTGGGACATTCACTAGCCCAAACTACCATAAAAGACGAACCAAAATTCAATATTCTTCGTGACCAACCCAAAGTTGAGCAAAAATCAAGTTCTATTAACAGTCCTAGTCCGGTCTCATCTCAGAGCACTTTAGTGCAGTTATTGACAAGTAACAGCAAACCGACTGCCGTCAAAACAGAACCAGATGACAATATCGCCCTTAGCGATGCTGACATGGAATATAGTAAGTTGATTGTATTTATTATTGCCCTTAGAATTCACAGTCAAAACGTTCAGGAGCTTTGAAACAGATACTCATCGAGTGATCTTCTTGTTACTTTTTGCAAATTTGATTTTTCCAAACATATTACGCTTTGTCAAATAACTTCTGACTTCAAGGAAGCATTTAGTGGCCTTTCAGGTAGCCTTTCATGGCCTTTGAATTTATAAGTGAGACTCAGCGCAATGTTTGTTTTCCAACATTAACTTTTTTACGCTGTAACTAGGGACTGAATCATGCATTATGCTGCTTTGTCAGTGGGTTTTATTCTGTTTTTCTGTGATGTTATAAGAAAACAAGTAAATATTTTGAATTATTTTCAGGAGGCAAAGTTTTTATGACTGCCTAAAATGCTAGAAGTTCTACTTCTGAGGTGAAATTTTGCTTGTAATTGTGGGACTGGAACCCAATTTTTAATCTGGGATTTTAATCGGGACCCCGACTTTCGACCAAAACTTCCACGTACTAGGAGAAATTGCAACGGCTACTCGCATTCTATATTGCTTTCTTATTCCCTTAGTGTCATAGGGTACTAGAAACATATTTTACTTACTATCTAATTACTATGATTTTCAAAGAATTATCATAAGGCTTTTAAATGAAAAAATGTCAACATCTTCTTGAAGATCACAAAATATTGCACAGTCGTAAGTCTCAAAATGGGTTTCGCAGCCGGGAAATTTATCAAGGATTTACGTTTTGTTGTTTCGTTTTAAAGTAAAAGCTGTTTGTACGCAGTTTCATCAGGAATCGCGCTATAATATTCTCCAAACCTTTTAATTCCCATCCTCTTTATAACCCTGAAAGCCTTTTGCGGGGAGATCGTCTGGGTTGAAAATGCCAGTTCCCTAGCATATAGGCTAATCATTTGAATTTTGGCCATGCAGTATATACTTGCAATACTTATCAATATTTTTTGTTAGTCGATTTTGGTGTTATCGATGAGATTTTACATCCCGATGACTGGATTGAGCACGAAAGGTGGTACAAGGAGCAGTATCATAATCATTATAACAGGGATTCGCCCAATGGAAAGCAACGAAAAACCTACGGCACCTACTCAAATGAACATCGTATGAAGGCGACAGAGTTCGTGAAATCGGGCAAAACGCTTTCCGCTGCATCTAAACAGTTCAACATTCCGAAATCGACAATTCACACGTGGCTTAACGAAGGTAATGTCCCTTGTGAATTGCCACCAGAGCTAGAGAGCGTTGTTTTTGAGGAGATTGAACAGTCCAAAGGCCATAGCTCACCTTTGCTTGCGGTTATTAAAAGAAAGGCCGAAGAAGTTGCAGTGCCACACATGGAAAAATTTAAGCCCAGCTTTGCTTGGTGTAGGGATTTTATGAAGCGTCACTATATGGACCGCAGTGATGAGATAGATGCGAAAAAACTTTGCCTAGAAAGTATGAAAAAGAGAGGCTCAATTAATGACCTCGTTTCGGTGCTTGGTTTGCATTCTTCGAATGTCGAGGGGCCAGTTATTAGAACTTCAAATTCAACTAGTCCAGTCTCACCGAGTATGAAAAGTCTGCTGTTTCATGGAGGAATTGAACCAAATCGAAATGACTCGAGCGAAAGAATTTCATGAATGAATAACGGAATGTATTTTTATTACTGTTGGCTTGATTGGCGTCCAGTGTTACATGGACTTGTAAATATTAATAAATATAGATGTCGTTGTGTGGGTGGGCAGGCAACATACCTCGTTAGTGCGGAGAAACAGTAGCTTGCAGGTTTAGCAAGATGTGGAAAGGTCCCTTTGTATTTTAAGCAGGAAAATAAGGTCCTATATACGACCGATTAGTCTCTGGTATTTATACTCTCTGGTACATAACCTCTGATACTTATTAAAAGGAGGAAGGCTATCAAAATTTTGGCCTTGCTCTGATTGAAATAAACCAGAAGTGATAAAGGTAAATGATGGTAGAGTAGATTTTAGTTTTGACTGCATATGAGTTGCAGTATACTGGTTGGTCGTTAGGTGAAATTATTTTTCAATTGCTTTTCCGTTTTATTCGGTTTCCTGTACCATCCTCAAGTGTATTTGACACTATGGGGTTAATGTCAGTTCAAAAAGCCTTCGTATGTAAAAACTGGATGAATTTTATCACTTTTCTGTTTGCTGTGTGTTATGCTTAGAATATAATTACAATAGCATCTTATATTTGAATTTATAAGATTTTTGTATTCAGATTTGAATAGAACGAAATGTGTTGGCTATTTTTCGCAAGTTCGCAAGTATCATGTTTTCTCGAATAGAAGGCGCTCTTTAATAGAAGCCTCCCTCAACTGGAAGCACGTTAAATACAAGCCAGTATTATGTAAGAGCCTCATTCGCAAGGAAAGGGAATTAAAAGAAACCTAATTTAACTAGAATATAAATTTATAAAAGGCATCCTCGAATAAGAGCTGGATGTTATTTTTTGTTGACCAAGTTTTGGATTCGTCTGCTTTTCGATTGCTTTGCTTTCAACAAATATGTCAACGCTTGGTTTGATCTCAAATTGAACGATTTGCAACAATTTTCTTCTCTCCATTCCTGCCAACCATGGCCAAAGTTTGGCGAAAAAATGAAAATTAATTTAAACTCTTCCTTTAAATCTTTATTTTCATGTTCAAATAATCACGAGTAGTATTCGGATAATCGCATTTTCAATGTAAATTTCCCAGAAAGGATAGAAGATGTCCTTGAATTAAAAGGTGCACATGGAAAGGAACTGCATTTTATCGATAATCGGAAGAGATCGCGCCTTTTATTCGGGAAAATACGTTGAATATCATACACTACAAAATAAACTCCCTTAAATACCTTTCCTGGATTTATTTAGAAGGACAACTAGACAACAAATATTTAATCGGCGATAAATTGATTTATGTTATTTTTACCAGGATAATCTTTTGTGAATCAAATCATATGTGAATTCCTGATTGTTGCAGCTATATTTTAGAAATTGATGTTGAAGTTTCTTGTTTTCAATTGCACGGTCTACCAACCTGCATACGCACCTTTCCCGGGCAATCATCTCATAAGACAGTATGGTGAACCCGTGTACGAACTAGCCTCGTGCACACTGGCACCCCCTGGTAGTATGAGTACATTTTATTCCAACATTCATTTGTTGACTAACCTTATTCGCCGAGTCTCAACTGCACTCTGGCACGCCCTGATAGTAAAAGTATATTTGATTCCAGCGTTCATTTCACGACTAACCTTGGTCGCCACGTCTCAACTGCACTCTGGCACCCCCTGGTAGAAAAAGTATATTTGATTCCAGCGTTCATTTCACGACTAACCTTGGTTGCCACGTCTCAACTGCACTCTGGCACACCCTGGTAGTAAGAGTATATTTGATGTCAACATTCATTGCACTACTAACCTTATTCTCCACGTCTCAACTGCACTCTGGCACCCCCTGGTAGAGAAAATATATTTGATTCCAGCGTTCATTTCACGACTAACCTTATTCGCCACGTCTGAACTGCACTGTGGCACCCCCTGGTAGAAAAAGTATATTTGATGTCAACATTTATTGCACTACTAACCTTATTCGCCACGTCTCAACTGCACTCTGGCACCCCCTTATAGAAAAAGTATATTTGATTCCAGCGTTCATTTCACGACTAACCTTATTCGCCACGTCTCAACTGCACTCTGGCACACCCTGGTAGTAAGAGTATATTTGATGTCAACATTCATTTCACGACTAACCTTATTCGCCACATCTCAACTGCACTCTGGTTTTCCTTCGTAGTGAGAGTATGTTTGATTCCAATATTCATTTCACGACTATCCTAATTCACCACGCCTCAGCTGCACTCTGGTAGTAGAAAATGTTTGAATCTCAAGTTTCTTGGGCAGTTCCTCAATTTTTTCTTAGAATTTGTATTGGCCTTGGGACATCCAATTCACAGCAACTAACTAATTTTTTCAATTCAAAATCTATGAAGACGAGCTTCTATTGGCCTCATCAAGGTTACAAAGAAATTTATCTAAAAAGAGATTTTCATTTGTTGTTAAAATCTAGATGATTGTACAACACCATTCGGGAGAAACATTGAGCCAAGATGCACGAAATCAAACTTTTTAATGTATCAGATGTTAATGAAAAGTTGAATATACGCTGGGGTCGCTAAATTATGGTAATGGATGGCCAAAATGACGGCTAACATTTGCCAAAAGGTCTAAGCCGAGAAATTTCCAAAACAATTTTAAGAGGGAACAGGCTTGAATGAAAACCATTGTTTATGACAGAAAACCATTCGCCAATTCAAGAAGCTTCAGTTTGAGGAGGATATTCAGCAATAAATTTGAAGCGCTGTTGCAAGTATTGATAAAAGATGACAACGAAATTTTGTAACAACACGATAAACACTACTCAGTTGGAATTGAAAATAAACCACTTACAAATTAGTTCTGACTTATGACTACAGGATCAAAACTGAGCAGTTACTTTTAGCAGGAACAATGACATTATTGTTTCAATATTGGCAATTGGCGAGTCGAAAAAGCTTTCCCGCTGCCTGAAACATTGAGAAAACTGTAATTACAATCCTGAAAGATTCCTTGTTCTTGAACTGTGATAAAATTAAACATCGGAAAGCAATTAATTTTGTTACACTTCAGTTTTATTTTAATTCCTTAGAATTCAAAAATGTATCTTGGTTGTTTATAAATAACAAACGAATTATCGAAAATGTTGTATGTAATGGAAGGCAAAAAAAGGAATTCTACTGGCAGATTCTTGATGATGTGCAGAAAATGAATAAGCAGAAGGTTAATATCTGGCAGAATCTCATTCCTTTTACAAAGATCAGAAGGTTTTGTCTTATTACAAATGCAAAAATTAAAATAGAAAAAAGAATAGAAAGGAAAGAATAAACAGCAGCAAATTAATTAAAGAAAATAGCTGATTGCCGAAATAAATGCGTTTCCGATGTATTATTTGCAAAGAAGGAAAGTATTTGGAACGCATACCTCATGGTAAGTATGCCTACATCACTGGGAAAGGTGCCCTGAAAGAAAACTTGTGATCATGATGCAAAATTACATAAACCTAGAAATCTTCTAGGCAACGATGATAGCAAAATGTTCATAATGACACATCGAAGGGTCCTTGAGGGAACATATTTGGACTTCTGTAAAATCAAAAAGACTTCATACAAAATGGTCAAGAAAGAGTAGGACGCCAAAAAAGCAAAAAAAGTAAAGATTCCTTTCTTAGAATGAGGTTTGTTTTCAATAGCATATGTTTTCTCCTGAACACTGATGTCAAAATATTAAAAAATTGTAGTATCGTCAAAAATGCAAAATATGTCCTCAACAGAATGTCTTTAGACATTTCGCTACCAAAATTGGGAAGTAACAAGAAGCAAAAAAAGAGGCTTGCAGTTGAGTGTTGCGATACAATCGTGTATTCTAGCCGATCACCAACTGGTCAAATAAATTCCCGAAGCACGACCTACCAAAACTTACGTTACGAAACACACCAAGTTACGTTTAGAGAGTCTATGATGAATTGACACCAGTAACATTATTAAGGTGTTATTATAAGGTAGTATTCCCTCCCGGGCCTATATTTCTTGTTGTTTATGGTTGCGTTTTGGGGGGGGGGGGGTTAAGAGAGTTTCACTAGTGGTGGAAGAAGGCCATTGTATCTTTTCCCAACCCCCTCAAAAATGGTTGGCGTTTCACTAATGGCTGTCTTTGCAATTGGTGCACCGACAGCCCAAAAAAATCGTCCAAATGGTTAGAGAACGCCAACTTCAGTCTTATGATTGACAATGGTAAAATATTCTGAGGACCACCTTACCCTTATTTGCTAACGGTTTTTGTTTGGTAAACTGGAACAAATATCAAAGATAAAATGGTCGTGGCGTTCTCTCACGATCATCATCGCACATCATGATAGCACTGAGTTTGAATATAAAAGATAAAATGTTCTGTTGAAAACTCTTGTTTTCCTTAGGTATTAAAATTTTAAACTAAATCAAAACAGACGGATTTTCTGAAAAGTATTGAGAATCTAACAACTAGTACACAATAGAATATCGACCGAGCAACATCAAAACAGTCTGTTTCGTGATAAGAACAGCTGTGAGGAAATTCACTGACTCGGATGCAAGATATAACAGCAAATGCAAGACGACACGCTGAATGGAGAAATCAATCATTGTAATTATTCAAATACATATTTTTCAAGTCTAATACTGCCAGTCATAATTAAGTCGCTGATTTTGTTATTTCCAGCTCGAAGGTTTATTTTTTCTCGGCATTTTCAGCAGTTCTTCGCGAGAGGTTTTCGCACATATGTATGGTCATTCTGCAAAAGGCACAAGCGGTTTTCTTCAATGTCTCTGCTTGTTCTGCTTGCTCCTGAAATTGAATATCGAGATTAAGTTCCTTGCTCATTCAAAGAATCTTAAAAACTTGAAGGCATTTGACACACGTAAAGGTAGCTTATAGCTTACAGTTGACCAATCAAATTGCGCATAGAGAATATCATGTGAACAGTTGCTGTAAATTTGAAAAGTTTAAGTTAAAGCATCGATCGACCGTTTCAAAATCATTAATATCGGTTATTTGGAATCTACGATCAACCATCTTCTCACATAGTGTCTTTGCCAATGGGTTGAGCTTTTCCTTTACACAGTTCAATTTGAACAGTTTTCTATTTGTTTAACGCACACAGGCTTTGATTACCATGGCCTGAGCTGTTCCTTCATGTGTTGTACATATGCATATCAAATGCCTCTGAGATTCTGACTTAACGAAAGAAATCGAAGATCTAAAGACAACACCAAAAATGAAAACATTTATAAGTTTTCTTTAAAATGAAATCAAAACATATGCAATGTTCAAATTGCTTACACGTAAAGCTCTTTTTCCCCACATCTGAAGACCACCACTGGTGAGAGACTCGACCTGTGAGATGACAATCAAGCCAAGCAAGAGAATAACCAAAGTTGCTTTCATTTTTGAATCTCTGAGATGGTGTTGCAGAGTGAAGGAAGCCAATCTCGTTTTGTTCGAACTAACTGAAAGATATTGCTTGCTGATTGCTTTTATGCTGACGGAAAACAATCAAAGAGGAAGGAGGAAGTTAGCAATTACTCGTTCTTATCTGCTAAGTTTTACGCCTGATTGCAAGTCTTTTCATTAAACATTGAAAAAATGATGAAAACCAGATCCAAAATTTTGATGAATTGGAATTGGCAATACATTGTATTATCAGCAGATGCATTTAATTTAAAATTAGACAAGACTTACCGTAAGTTAAAATGTGAATGTGATTCATCTACAAACAATCTCACGTTCTCATTGATGCAGTTAAAAATCTCACAGTTCTAGCAACCTTCAGCCTGTTTACCATTGAAGTAGTGTAATGTGCTAAATTTTCTCTATCTATTCTTCTAGGTCCACTCGTAAAGGACCTAGAGAAAAAAGCAACTAACAAGAAAAGGAAACTTTAAACAATTTATTGCGGTACAGAATTTGAAAATGGCTTTGAAAATAGCAAACATTTTACAAAATACTAAAAGCTTTTTCGTCTGACATTCCTCAGGGCATCAATTCAAAAGGATTGCGTTCCTACTGTTGGGGCCCAGACCTTCCTTGGTATCTTAAGACCCCATACAGTTATTGTTATTACATTCGGTAGTGTAATACGTGCCGAGATACATGGCAGCATGTAGAGTTTTAATTATAATGTTGATTTAATATTTGATTTAAAGCAGTGGTAAATAACATGTTTTGATTCTCAATACCTAATAAGGACAAACGTATGGAAAATATCAATCGAAAAGTCTCAGTCAACGTGATTATGTATGTTGTAACTCGAAATAAGTTAGTTAGTTGGTTGGAGTAGAGTTGAAGTAATGATGGTGATCGGCGGAAATGTAAAATAGAATATTGATGGGTTTGATACAAAATAGTTACACAAAATAATGATTTTTCTCTGAATCTTCATCTTACACTTTGTCTATCATTAAATATTAAAATAGGGGCACCGCTAGAAATAGTGGTCCCAACAAAATTAGAGGCAACGCCCGGATACACGGATCTACGGATACACGGATACACGGATACACGGATCGAATGATGGCGAGGGAAACAGATGGAGATGTAGTGCGTGAAATGGCCGCGGAATTAGGCAAGAGTTGAAGAAACTTCGGAAAGCTAGAGGAGCTCACAGAGCTTATGTTACAAGAACGATCGCCATAGCTATGGAACGAGTAAAGAATTTTCGGACAGGAGATAAGAAAGAGCTTCTGAAATACAAGGGGGTCCTGACGGATAAGAAGATGGTCTTGCAGAAAATGGATGAAAAAGTATTGGAAATTTTAAGTGACCAGAGTGATGGGGAGGAATTGATTCAAGAAGAAGAGGAATCTGAGGCAATTGCAATGGAAATATCGGAGGTGCTCTTAGAGATCGACGAAATCTTGGAAAAGGACACCGCCATACAGCATGCACCCGTGGAAAACACCTCATTCTCTAGGAGCAAATCGACTAAGTACCACCTAGAGTAGTTGTTGGTAATTCGTAATTGAGTGAGACGAAAATAGAACATCTGGTTGCTGTGCTGAAATAAATGTAATCGAATCGAGGCCGACTCGTTAAGAACCTAGAGAGAAAAGCAACTAATGAGAAGAAGAAACAAGAGCAGGCAGATAAAAGACGCATTTTCGACCCTTTTAGGCGAAAAAAGAAAAGATGATGAAGCCTACAACACCAGGTGTTCCCAGGCGGTCACCCATCCAGGTACTGACCTGGCCCTACCATGCTTCACTTCGGTGATCGGACGAGAACCGGTGTATTCATGGTGGTATGGCCGTAGGCGAAGGATAGGGTGGAGAAATGGCTAGTCTTGCCTTCAGAGTGAGACTTGGTCTTTCCATCCAGCAAAGAATGTGGGCAAAAATGAAGAGAAATCGAACAGGCTGAAATGAAACATGTAGCGAAGCGGTTGATGGACATTTTCCTCTTCCAGCTTAGATCTCCAGCCAGTGATGCTTTAGCTAGCAAGAGCAGAACGGCTTCTTGAAAATATGGCTGACTACATACAATTGCAAGTACAAGTAAAAGTTGGTTAGTTAGTTTTGGTAGGCAGCTAGTGTTTCGTGTTTCGTGAATTCATTTGACCAGTTTGTAATCAGCTAGAATACACGATTGCATCGCAACACGAAGCTGATCTAAACCGAAATCGAATGAAGGATCACATTGACTGATTGGCAATTTGTCCCTGTCAATTTAGCCAATGTGAAAAAGTAGTACCACCTAGAGTAGTTGTTGGTAATTCGTAATTGAGTGAGACGAAAAAGGAACATCTGGTTGCTGTGCTGAGATAAATGTAATCGAATCGAGGCCGAGTCGTTAAGAACCTAGAGAGAGAAGCAACTAATGAGAAGAAGAAACAAGAGCAGGCAGATAAAAGACGCATTTTCGACCTTTTTAGGCGAAAAAAAAAGATGATGAAGCCTACAACACCAGGTGTTCCCAGGCGGTCACCCATCCAGGTACTGACCTGGCCCTACCATGCTTAACTTCGGTGATCGGACGAGAACCGGTGTATTCATGGTGGTATGGCCGTAGGCGAAGGATAGGTGGAGAAATGGCTAGTCTTGCCTTCAGAGTGAGACTTGGTCTTTCCATCCAGCAAAGAATGTGGGCAAAAATGAAGAGAAATCGAACAGGCTGAAATGAAACATGTAGCGAAGCGGTTGATGGACATTTTCCTCTTCCAGCTTAGATCTCCAGCCAGTGATGCTTTAGCTAGCAAGAGCAGAACGGCTTCTTGAAAATATGGCTGACTACATACAATTGCAAGTACAAGTAAAAGTTGGTTAGTTAGTTTTGGTAGGCAGCTAGTGTTTCGTGTTTCGTGAATTCATTTGACCAGTTTGTAATCAGCTAGAACCCTACACGATTGCATCGCAACACGAAGCTGATCTAAACCGAAATCGAATGAAGGATCACATTGACTGATTGGCAATTTGTCCCTGTCAATTTAGCCAATGTGAAAAAGTAGTACCACCTAGAGTAGTTGTTGGTAATTCGTAATTGAGTGAGACGAAAAAGGAACATCTGGTTGCTGTGCTGAGATAAATGTAATGGAATCGAGGCCGACTCGTTAAGAACCTAGAGAGAAAAGCAACTAATGAGAAGAAGAAACAAGAGCAGGCAGATAAAAGACGCATTTTCGACCTTTTTAGGCGAAAAAAGAAAAGATGATGAAGCCTACAACACCAGGTGTTCCCAGGCGGTCACCCATCCAGGTACTGACCTAGCCCTACCATGCTTAACTTCGGTGATCGGACGAGAACCGGTGTATTCATGGTGGTATGGCCGTAGGCGAAGGATAGGGTGGAGAAATGGCTAGTCTTGCCTTCAGAGTGAGACTTGGTCTTTCCATCCAGCAAAGAATGTGGGCAAAAATGAAGAGAAATCGAACAGGCTGAAATGAAACATGTAGCGAAGCGGTTGATGGACATTTTCCTCTTCCAGCTTAGATCTCCAGCCAGTGATGCTTTAGCTAGCAAGAGCAGAACGGCTTCTTGAAAATATGGCTGACTACATACAATTGCAAGTACAA